CTCTCTCTCTCTTTCTCTTTCTCTCTCTCTCTCTGCTTCTTTTTGAGACAGAGTCTCACTGTGTCACCCAGGCTGGTCTCCCAACTCCTGGGCTCAAGCAATCCAATGTGATCCAAACTCCTCAGTCTTCTGAGAAGCGGGGAGCACAGTGCAGGCCTCCAATCCGGCCTCTGAACTCTATTTCTGGTGTAGATGTCCATTCCGTACGCCAACTGCCACCTGCTCAAAAGCTGCCTTTTCTGTCTTGAGTGACAAAGACCACATTGAAGGTGTGATGGTCCCTCTCCCACCTGGCAGATTGGCCACTGTGGGCCTTTGGACCCTCCTTTGTCAGGGTTTTGACATTTTCTTACATCTGTTTCCATCCAATCAGCTATGAGCATCACTAGGAGCTCAGAAAAAGGCCTGGCAGGTGTGTGTCACCATTGTCTGTCCTCCACAGCCCCTGGGTGTACCACACTGTGTTTCATGGCATTGCTGAGCTAGTTCTCCATTCTCTGAATCTGTTTTTCAGCAATTTTTTTTTTAACAGCACTGGGGTTTGAACTTAGGGCCTTGGGCTTGCTAGGCAGGCGCTCTACCATGTGAGCCACTCCCCCAGTCTTCACAGGTTAATTTAGCTTGGTGGTTCCCTATGTCCTCGTGGTGGGCTAAAAAATGATCCTCTAAAATGCCCTCTTCTGAACCCCCTGAAATCTGCGGCCATTACTTTCCAAAACAAGGGAGACTTGCAGATGTGACGGGCAAGAATGTGAGAGGGGATGATCACCCTGAATTCCTGGGTGACCCCCAACTGTGGTCCTTAAACTGCCCTTAGCAGAGGGCTGCAGGAAGAGCAAGGAAGGATCAAGAGGTGGGATGGTGGGGCCAGAGCCTTGGGGGTGGGGAAGAGGTCATGAGCCAAGGTAGGCATCTGTAGGGATTTGACTCCCACACTGCGCGTGCCTCAGTTAATGGGGCACCAGGGTTTGGGCAGGATGTTCTTTGATATGTGTTACTGTGCCCAGCAAGGAAGAAGGGTGGCTATGAGGGAGGAAACGCCTGCTGGTAGACATCCCTAAACTGCAGGTGCTGAGTCCTAGGACCGTGAGATTGTTGGGTGAGTCATCTACAGGGACAGTATGTGTGGGGAGAGAGAGAGAGAGAGAAAGAGAGAGAGAGAGAACAAAGATGTCCAGAGAAACTGGGGAGGCTAAGGCTGAATATTCTGCAGGTGTCTCAGCTCTTGGTGAGCCCCATCCTTTCAGTTCTAAGGAGTGTGGTCAATAGCTCAGAAAGAGCAAGTAGAAACCAGGAGAAGAGGGCAGGCACCAGACAACCCTAGGAGGACAGCTGGTGGCTAGGCTAGAAGAGCGAACGATGGAACAGTTCAATACACACGCGCGCACACACGCACGCACACACAGGAAACCTCCCATCCCCTCCAATCCACCAACTACAGGTAACTCTGGCTGAGCAGGGGCTGTCAGACCTACTGCAGCATCTCATCTGGCTGCGTCTCAGATTGGTCACGACCTGGCCTTATTGATGCTAAGAATTTGAATATTGGCATGAACGTAGAGGTGCCTTGCTTTAATAACTGAGCAATCTAGCTCACTCCCCCAATATCTGAGATAAGAAATTAAAGCAACACTACAGTTAGGGGGCATTTCACACCTAATATTATTAATAATAATAATATGATCATATGCAATCAAATATAATAATATGTGATTATAGATCCAGTGGCCATCAATAGATCACGGTTCAGGGAAATAGTGACATTTGTATTAGCAGGCTTCAGTCATTGAGAAAAGTGTTGTTTTTGTTTTAGGGGCGTGCTGGGTTCTAACCCAGGGCCCCATTCATGCTAGGTAAGCACTCTCTCACTGAGTTACACCCCAGCCCAACAAAAGTTTAAAAACATTCTGTTCAATCAGTTTAAGAAAGCAGGCAAGGGTGTGATACATCTTAAGAGATTTTGATCCATGATGAATTGACCATCTCAGTGCTTAGAGTGGATTGAGCCAGATAGAAAACTCACTGGGGCAGAATGATTCATTCTCCAGGATTCCAGAGAGCTGCCTCCAGCCTGAGACAGACAATGGCGTGTCTGTGTTACTTATGGTCACGACACACACTCTTCCATAGCCAGATCCAGTCTTCCGTGCCTATCCTGTGTAACCCTGAGCATTGGCCCACCTGGGCTGCCAGCGCCTCCCTGGTCACCTGGGTTGACAGCAACTCCCTGCTCACCTGGGCTGATGGTGCCTCCCTGTTTACCTGGGCTCATCGTTACTTCCCTGCTCCCAGGGATGACCCCACAGCCCTACCTACTCTCCTTTCCTTTGCCTCAATGGACCTTGCTTTAAGCCTTGGTGGAACTCAGAAGAACAAAAGCTCCTTTCTCACTTTTGACCTTCAGTTGTGATGAAAATAATATACTTGTCAGCTTCTCTCAGACAGTCACTCAAACTGTGAGTGCTGGAAAAATAGGAGTTTAGAATAAAAACGAGCCTTGGCGAGCTGGGATGAGGAAGTTTAGAGTATAAAGTGACACACATGCACATAAATGAAGGAACGCCATGCTTTGCCGATGCAAGAAGAAAGAAGTCTCTTGTTCAACGTGGGTGGAAATTTTTTTGGGTCAAAGAAGACAATGAGTCAGAAATTATGCAACAAACTCAATATTACTTGATTCTCTGTTGAGTATGTCATTGGGACTATGCTGCCCAGGAGAGGGAGGGGACCTGTCTCCAGAATGTGCCCTCTTTAGGAGATGGCTCTTCTACCCCAAGACCCATCTGCTCTGCTTCCTTTGTTGACTTACTGACTCTCTACACTGTTCTCAGCATCAACCAGTTGCACATGGTACCAGGCAGCCCAGGGCCAAGGCTCTTGCCTGAGTCCGAGTCCGGGGCAGAGCCTCGTACCTAAGGTGGGTAGGTGACAGTGGGGCTCTCTGCTGGGGTTATAGACTCACAAATATAACCAGGTACAGTCTGCAAGGATACGTGTGAGGCAATAAAGGCATCAGGGCTCTCCTGGGGGACCCAAAATGCTAACCTCAGGGCAGCAGAACCCATGGAGAGGGGCCGGGAATCATTGGGTGTGGTGGGCACTCCATGCCCAGCTCTCCCCCTCCTGGAGCTCTCCTGACTCAGCCACTGTTTTGTCCTCTCTGCCTCCCCAGGACTCCTGCCTGCCCCCATTTCCATGCAGCCTTCTTCTCCCCTGGGGCCCAGCTCCTTTCCAGCTACTTCTATCCAGTCTCCCTTTGCACAGCTCGCCTGAGCCTCCCTGGCTCCTGGCACTTTAGCATGCGTCCATCTGACCCATGTTAAAAAAGTCCACCTGACTCTGTCTTCTGAAAGAGATTCCCAAGAACAAACACAAATGGCTCAGTTTGTATATTCTGGCTAACTTGAGGGCTAGGGCCCCTATGCTCTTCAGGTGAGGGCTTGAGGGTGTCTTGAAGGTTCCCTTTCCACAGGGTGAAGGGGCTCAGCAGACAAGGCAAGAATGACTTAGCAAAAGACTGAAGAGTGGGTCGCGAATTTCTGTAAACATGGACAGGTTCCCTGAACTGGAGATCAAACCTATCATCCCCTCACTAACTAGAGGGGTGACAATGGCAAGTCACTTCCTTGTCCATAAAACAAGGGGTCTGAATAGATAACAATGCCATTTTGCCATAGTTCCTGCTCTGAACTATGCACAAATTTATTGCTAAATCCTCAGGAGGGTGGTATAACCCTTAACTCCTCTTGAAGATGGGGTAACTGAGTCACAGAGCAGTGGAGTAACTTGTCTGAGGTCACATAGTTAGGAAGTGGCAGAGCTGGGATCTGAGCCCTGTGTCTGCTCCGGAATCTTTGCTCTTGACCTTACTTCATGATTCTTTCAGCTCTTGAGTTTTACGGATCTAAGTTTTCAGCCGGATCTGACCTTTGCTGCGGCTGGTGCTCCCTAATTAAGTGGCAGTGGGCGCCCCCACATCCACCTCTCACACCTTGATGGGAACACAGGCTGTCATGTTGCCACTCCAGCGTCCCTCAGACTCGGGGACAAGTGAGCAATGAGATTAACAAGGCCAGGGAGGGGATTTGCTCTGTTTGCCAGTACAGATCCGTTCTTTGCAGCTGGCCAGCGTGGCACCGAGCACTCTGCAGGAACCTGGCCTGCCCTTTCTTTGCCCTTGCCCTCTCTGAAGGGCATGAGAAACGCTGGCCTGTCAGCAGGTAGAAATGCCAAAGTTACCCCTTCACCAGCCAAATGGATGCACAGGATTAGTCAATCCACTGATTTGGGTGATTGGCTTGGGTGTGTCCGAGTGCACTGCAGTTGTCAGAACAACTCTCTGGAGAAACACACTTGCCCACACCACCTCCGATGGCCCCAGGGCAGGTGTGGGGATGAGGCTCGTGACCCTGGCTCCAGGGTCCGCGGTTGATTTAAGACCCAGACATCACTGCCTCCAGCTTGGAGCCTCCATTTCTCTCCCAAGGATGGCTTTCCAGGCCTTTTTCCCAGGTTCTGGGCTGAGTGTAGCCCTGCCTGTCATGGTGGCTTGTGTCCACTTGGAGATAGGCAGGAAATGCCAACTGGCTGCAGGGCTTTCAAGCCCCATTGATTCCTCTCAGTGACCAGGAGAAAGGGCAGAGGAAATGCCATTTTCAGGAAGCCCCAAGGCTCTAGGCCCTGGGCCCTTTCCATCCCCAGTGGTGGCTCATCACGCATGGTCTACAATGGTTGCACTGTGCAGCCCTTCCCTTGAGTTTCCTAAGACATTGAACAAGCAGACGTGGGCTAATTGGCTATGGTAATGCCTCGGGAGAGGCCAGGCACGTGTGCAAGGTACCAAGTCAGAAGGGCCATTGTGGGGAGGGTGTTAGTGTTTAGTGGGTGCAGCAAAGAGGGCGGATCAGCCAGCTGGACGTGGTAAATTGTTATTTACAGTTTCTGAGCTTTTAAAAGAAGAGCTTCCCCAGAACCCGTCCTGCTTCCAGATGCACAGCACCATGAGGGCTCTGGTGACCCTGGTGTCCCTGCTGTTCCTGGGAGTCCAGGCTCAGCATGAGTGGACCTACTCAGGTAAGCTGCCAGCCCCTGCAGGTTTGCCAAGGTCCCTACCACCAGAGAAGGGAGCATCCATCACTTCCTGAGGACGGACGGCAGACACTGCTGGCATTTTGCCACTGGGTGACAAGGTGGGCCACCCACACTGGGTACAGGTTCCTTTCAACATCTCTGAATAAATTCAGAATGAATGGAACTTAAGCCTCGATGAGGGAACAGGAGATAACTTCCTCTTGCCCGACCTGGCCTCACCTGTGGCTCTGTGCTTTAAAACCCTCTGTGCTGGTGTTGGAGGGTTCCAGAGCCCACCTGCTTGTGATCGGGAAGCCTTTTGCTTTTTAGCTCTGCAGAAGTGGAAGGCAAAGCTCTTAGACTCCCCATGGCTCATCCCCCACGGAATAGCGCTGGTGCAGGACACAACTGAGCCTGCTGTGTACACTCTGCCTGCCTCAGACCACAGGGGAACATAGTAAAGCCTAAGTCAAGGTTGAAGAATCAGGGACATTCCAGGGGGGTGCAGGAAGTCCAGCTTCAGAGGGCAGCCCTGGTCTGCCAGCCTGCTCTGGAGAGGGGGAACCTACAGAGTGACCTTGAACAGTGTTGGGACTCTCTGCTCTATCTGGCCAGTTTTCTGGGGTTGGCTCAGAGGTGAAGGAAGACAGAGGTGTGAGATGAAGTTCCTGTCTGCTAAAGTCGTGTCCTCTTGGGCCAGCCCAGACTCTGGGACAGTGGCCTCCTGCAAACCCCCCTGGGCTCCTGAGATCGTGCAGATGGCTTTTAGGAGTGTCCTCTAGGAAGACTTGGAAGCTGTACCAGTGTTGAAAGGACCATGGCCAAAGCATTTGGATCCAATAAGGGGCTGTGTTGGGTGCCTCTAGAGTTTGGCAAACAGAATGGTTTAAAATTGGATCTGGTTATTAAGTAGTGAACATAAAGAAAAATAACAATCAACTTTTCTGTTGATTGCAAACTGAGAATCTGTGAGAAGTCCCATCACAAACACCATGCCTGGAAGTGATGCCTTTACCACATAGTTACCCCACGAAGGGGGTGACAGAGGTCAGACCCACAATTGCAAGTGGGTGAGCAAAGCCCCTCAGCTGCATGGGCTGAGTCATCCATAATAACCATGACCTTCATTCCTCAGGTCCCTGTGATTATTGGGCCAGATAAACTGTCTTGCTCTGATATTTTTTGGCTTGACTTAATCTCTCTCTTTCTCTCTATCTATCTATCTATCTATCTATCTATCTATCTATCTATCTATCTTATATATCTCTCCATCTATCTATCTATCATCTGTCTATCATCTACCTATCTATCTTATCTATCTATGTATCATCTATCTATCATCTACCTATCTGTCTTATCTGTCTATCTATGTATCATCTATCTATCTATCATCTAGAAACAGGGTCTGTCTCTGTTGCCCAGCCTGATCTCATCAGACATGTGGGCTCAAGGATCCTCCTGCTTCAGCCTCCTGAGTGGGTGGGACTACAGCTTGTGCCTTGTGTCCAGATTTTTAATTATTTAAAAACTAACCACTTCCAGGACCTCCTTTTTTTTTTTTTTGCTGTACTGGGCTTTGACTTCAGGACCTACACCTTGAGACACTCTGCCAGCCCTTTTTTGTGATGGGTATTTTTGAGATAGGGTCTCATGAACTGTTTGCTGGGCTGGCTTTGAGCCACAATCCTCCTGATCTCTGCCTCCTGAGTGGCTAAGATTACAGGCATGAGCCACTGGTACCCGGCTCCAGGTCCTCCTTGAGCCTGATTCTTCCTTAGTTGTCCTGACTCCATAGGTAGAGTCACCCAGATGGTCTCTACCATCCCAGGAGCCTGCAAAAGGGACTGGAGCTGGAAAATGGGTGGGTTTGGGGGTTCCTGTAGCTTGGGAAGGAGAGGGGTCCAGTTGGAGGCCTGAGGGGAAAACTACATCCTCAGATGAAATGAAGAGAAGCCCCTTGAAGTCAGCTCAGCGCACCAGGCCAAGGTTCCCTCCTGTGCATTTATCCACCGTCAGTGATGCAAAGGAGAGAGAGACTAGCTTTGTAGAAAAAAACTTCCATGGTTTTCAAAAGGAGAGCTAGAAGTTAACAAAAAGACTCCTCGAGCCAGGTGCCGGTGGCTCACGCCTGTATCTTAGCTACTCAGGAGGCACAGATCAGGAGGATTGAGGTTCAAAGCCAGTCCAGGCAAATAGTATGTGAAACCCTATCTCAAAAAAACCCATCACAGAAAAATAGGGCTGGTACAGTGGCTCAAGGTGTAGGCCCTGAGTTCAAACCCCAGTACTGCAAAAAGTAAAAAAAAAGAAAAGAAAGATCTCCCCCAACTCCCAAACCACAGGGTTGACTTAGATCCCCTTGACCCTCCTACCCGAGGCCCTGCTTCCACTTCTAGAAGGCAGCTCTGTGGGTTCCCTCAGGCCCTGGCCTGTGGTCTGGTATGGTGCTGTAGAGGGGGCTTGGCTGGGCAGCCCTTGAATTGTGCCCCACTCTCTCCTGTTGCAGATGGGGAGCTGGATGAAGAGCACTGGCCTCGGGAATACCCTGACTGTGGGGGACAGAGACAGTCGCCCATTGACGTGCAGAGGAGGAAGGTGCGTTTCAACCCCTCCTTGAAGGTGCTGAACCTGACAGGCTACGGGGATGAACATGCCGGCGAGTTCCTCATGGTCAACAACGGCCACACAGGTAAGGGCCCCTGGCAGGCTGCAGGGCAAGGCAGGGGACATTCGTGCACAGGGATCTGGAGCACATTGCACATCTGGTGGCCTTGGACATGAGGGGTGATGAGTGCCAAGGCTGGCAACCTGGTGGCCTTGGCTTCGGCCCTCTGCCAGCCCCTTCATTCCACATTATTCTGGCACCTGAGCTTGCGATGACCTAATTAGCTGACAGGACAGGCAGCACCCACAGTGCTGCTGGCGCCATGCTCCCCACCTGTGTTTCTGTTAGGCCGTGGCCTGGTTTTCCATGTCTTCTATATGGAGTCTGATGAGCTCAAAGCACCTGACAGGACTCTTCGAGTTGTAAAAAGAGAGCTCTTGTTTTTTGTTCCCTTCTAGAAAGGGGGTGAAGGTCAGATGGGAAAGCTGGGTCTTGGGGACCCCCAAGTCAGGAGCAACTGTAAAATCCAGTTGCTCTGTAAAATCCGCATGGAGCACCCTCCTGATTTCCAGTAGGTTTGTCTCCTCTGAGCCTCATGATAACCCCAGGAGGTCCAAGGAGCCATTCAAGCTCACATTGTCTAATGGCCAAGTGACCTAGACCCAGGTGTCTCGTTTTTAGGCATGTCCTCCTCGGTACTTTGCTCTCTCACTCCGGTGTGGATCTAGGGTGGGTCAGTTTACTGCCTAAACACAGGTGTGAATTGCACAATTGAGACAATAGAAACAAGGGCCCATTATGGGACTGGTGAAAGTCGTAGATGAGAGAATAAAGCCATATCTGAAAAGGCCTGAGGTGTGGGTAGCAGGGTATCATGGAAGACTGCAGACAATTAATGAGAGCCTCATTTTGTTTTGTGGCATTGGAGATGGAGCCCAGGGTCTGTGCATGCTGAGCTCTACCATGGAGGACATTTGCAATCTCAATTTTTTTTTAAGAGAGAGAGTCTCCTTGTGCAGCCCAGTCTGGCCTCTAACTCCTATGTGGAAGCAATTCTCCCATCTTGGCATCTGAGTGCTGGGATTATAGGCATGCCCAATCTGGGGCTTTTTTTGATGAGATGTCTGTTCAGGTCTGTCCATTTTTAAATTAGCTTGCTCATTTTGTTGAGTTTTAAGAATTCTGTTTTTTTTTTTTTTTTTTTTTGTGCTACAGGGGTTTGAACTTAGGGGCTCAAGCTTGCTAGGCAGGCACTCTGCCACTTGAGCCCCTCAGTTAGGCTGTGGATGATAGTCCTTTATCAGCTACACCGCTGGTTAATATTTTCTCCTAGTCTGTGGGTTGCCTTATTTTCTGGCCAAAGCCTCTTTTTTTTTTTTTTTTTTTTGGCAGCACTGGGGCTTGAACTTAAGGCCTCATGCTTGCTAAGCAGGTACTCTTACTGTTTGAGCCAGTCCACCAGCCCTGGCCAGGGCCTTTTACAGAGCAGAAGTTTGTAATATATTGAAATCCAGTTCATCAGTAGTTCTGTTCATAGATTGTGCCTTTGGTGGTGTATTTGGCTTCTGGGAGTGCAGCTCAGTGGTAGAGAACTTACCTGGCTTATGTGAGGCCCTGGGTTCAAGCTTTAACACTGAAAAACAACAAACAGGAAGAACTTATCACCATACCTGAGGTCATCTAAATTTTCTCCTAAGAGTTTGATAGTTTTGCCTTTTACATTCAGGCCAATGGTCTATTTCGAGTCGATTTTTTGGAAAGGGTGAAAGGTCTGTGTCTAGATTCTTTTTAATTTTTTTGTATGTGGATGTCCAGTTGTACCAGCACAATTTGTTGAAAAGACTATCATTGCTGTGTTATGTTGCCTTTGCTCCTCTGTTAAAGATCAGCTGAGCACAATGTACCAGACCTATTGTCCCAACTACTTGAGCGGCTGAGGCCAAAGAGTGGCTGGAGCCCAGGAGTTCAAGGCCAGCCTGGACAACACAGCAAGACCCCCATCTCAAAAATAAAGAAAATCAGTTGGCTGTGTTTATGTGGGTCCACTTCTGAGCTTGTCTGTTCTTCTGCCAATATCACACTGACTTACAGTTTTATACTAAGTCTTGAAGTCAGTAACATCAGTTGTCCAGCTTCTTTTTTACACGTAAGCTGGGTGCTAGTGGCTCATGGCTGTAATCCTAGATACTCAGAAGGCAGAGATCAGGCGGATCGAGGTTCAAGTCAGCCCTGGGCAAATACTTTGTGAGAACCAATCTCGAAAAAACCCAGCACAAAAACAGGGCTGGCAGAGTGGATGAATTGGTAGAGGCCTGCCTAGCAAGTGCAAGGCAATGAGTTCAAATCCCAGCACTGCCAAAAGAAAAAAAAAATCCTAACATGTTAGTCAGTCCGTTTTAATCACAGTCTGGCTTACTGTAGAATTTGGTTTCTTGTCCTCTAAAGAGAAGTTGGGTCACATGTGGTGACGTGTGGCTGGATGCTCAGGTCTTGGGTTTGCTCCTGTCTGATGACATTGTGACTAGTGTCCTTGTCCATCAAATGGAAGTGCCAGGGCCAACAAGGATGCTTCCTGACATCAGAGTACAGCTGGCAGTGAGTCGGGCTAACTCTAGAAGGCTGCATGGGGGGGTTTACCTGTCATAGAGACGATAGGGACCTCAACTTGGCCTTCTGAACAGTATCACTCTGGGAAGTAAAATTAGCCAAAATAGGGCTGGGACGTAGCTCAGTGGTAGAGCGCTTGCCTTGCACACGCGAGGCCCTGGGTTCGATCCCAGCGCCAAAAAAAGAAAAGACAAAAATAAAAGATAAAATAAAATTAACTAAAATAGTCCCAAGAGGCACCACTTTCTATTCCCACACCTTGAGAAAATTCCAAAATTGGCCAGAGGTGGAGAATGGAATTCTGGTTTCTATACCCACTGTGTACATGTGTGTATGTGTGTGTGTATGTATGTATGTACATATAAAACATATATATATATGTATAATTTTTTTTGAGACAGTCTTACTTTTGAGCAGTAGCTCAGGCTGGCCTCAAACTCCAGAGCTTCCTGCTTCAACCTCCTGAGTGCTGAGATTATAGGCATGCACCATCACACCTAGTGCTTTTAGCTATATTTTTTCAGGGCCCTCCCCTTCTCTAGGGCCAGTGATCTGGACCTTCCCCTGACCAGCTGGCTCTTGGTGGGAAGGTGTCCTGGCCCCCATCTTGACTTCAACCTGCATCCTGTGTGCCAGTATTCCCTTCCCTTTGGGGACCCTGTTCATGGCATCCTAAGCCATTAATATTTCTGGGTTGCCCTGGATTGTGGGCAGGAGGGAGGTGGTCAGGAGAGCTACCTAGCCCAGGGTCTGAATCATCCATGCTCATCTGCCCTGCTTACCTCTTACCTCTTCCAGTGCAGATCAGCCTGCCCTCCACCATGCGTATGACGGCTCCTGATGGCACCGTGTACGTAGCTGTGCAGATGCATTACCACTGGGGTGGTGCATCCTCCGAGGTCAGTGGCTCTGAGCATACCATCGATGGAATCAGACGTGTGACAGAGGTTTGTGAAGACCCCAGCAGTGGCCTCTCTCTTCAAGCTCCATAATCACTTTTCTTATTAAAATAGCCAAAGACCGTGCAGTGGTAACAGTTGAGTTTATTTTTCATTCATTCAACAATGATTGGCCATTGCTTTATGCAGGGAATATAGGTGTGGCCCCCGCCCACAGAGAACTCAAAGCATGGCTGGGTGTGGCCAGAGGCCTGGGTCTCAGCTGACTTGACGCGTCCTCCGTGCCTGGGGTTCTCAGGATGAGTGCAAGTTTATTTAGCAGCTTCCTAGGACCAGGAGACTCGTCGTTTCCGTCCTCCCGAGTGCCCCGAGACCTCAGGAGGACCCAGTGTCCTCTTATGAGCCCTCCAGCCTCTGCCAGCTTGTCTGCCTGGACAGAAGTGGGTCAGGGAAATGCCTAGGAATTGCCATCTCCCCAGAATCCTGCCTGTGCTCTCCATTCTTAGGGAAGTTTCTAGTCTTGGGCTGGAGGTGTAGCTCTTGCCTAGCGAGTGCAAGGCCCCGAGTTCAAACCCCAGTACCGCCAAACCTGTGGGAGAAGGGTGGCGGGGAAGGAAAAGGGAGAGGGAGTGGGAGAAGAAGTGGGAGAAGGAGAGATATTCTGATCTTGATAGATGGGGCTTGTAGGCCAGATGGAAGGACACAGAGACCAGAGTTGTTCGTGGGACAATCTGAGGCTTCCACTGGAGCAACTTTCTTCCTTTTCTTCCTTGCTTCCTTAGAAACCTTAAGCATTTGAAGTCAGCTTGAATTGCCCTTGACCTCCCCTATCTTTCTCCCACAGATTCACCTTGTTCACTACAATGCCAAGTACGAGAGTTACAACGTAGCGAAAGATGCCCCTGATGGTTTGGCTGTGCTGGCAGCCTTGGTCGAGGTAGGCAGAAACTATGCGTGTATGTCAACACTGGAGTTACAGGATGGCGTTCGTTTGAAACCGGGTGTGAGGTGGAGATGGGGGGTCTTCACATCCTTTCCTGAACTCAGTTCTCGGAAAGGCTGATTCCACGGAAGACCGACTATGTCCGTGCCTGCTCACTCCTGTGCTGTCAGCCTCGGGGTCCTTGCATAACTCGAACAAGATCACTTAAAAAGATTTGGACTCACAGAAGGGTTGACTGAACACAGCTGTCTACAGGGCTGGGAAGCCTTCACCCAAGCAGACAAAGGCAAGACCTCTGAATTTCTCATAAAATCCAGGCACAGGACTCAGGGCTGGATGACTAGAAGCAGTCAGGGTCTGAATTCTCAAAAAATAAGTATTAAGCTAGGCATTGGTTTCTCATGCCTGTGATCCTAGCTACTCAGGAGTCAGAGATCAGGAGGATCATGGTTCAAAGCCAACCTGGGCAAACGGTTCATGAGACCCCATCTGGAAAATACCCAACACAAAATAGGGCTGGCAGAATGGCTCAAGTGGTATAGCACCTGCCTAGCAAGATGAGGCCCTGAGTTCAAACCCCAGTACTGCCCACCAAAAGCATTAAAACAAAGCAAAATAGCGACAACAAAAAACAACAATTTCTACAGTTCCACAAAAAAACAAACAAACAAAAATCCCAGTCTTTTCAGTGCTCTGGAAACGGGTCAGACACAAACACCAAATGAAGGCATTTCTTCATGAAAAGTGGTTAGAATTTTAAGTAAAGGCAATGAGTGCCTGTGGCCTCCCACCTGGGGCTGTTCCCGCCCCTACCCCCCAGCGTGGTCAGCCAGGTAATTTTACTAGGGCCAGGCTGGTCAGGAAAACCAGTAGCTTCATTGAGTGGGCAGCAGGCCGACTCTGTCTGGGGGAAGAGTTGAAAGCCAGTGCCCGGCAGAAAACAGAGAACTTACTGCTATGGCAGTCTGAGGCTGCTGACCCCTCTGCAGTGGCTGATGGTCAAGCAGACATTTACTGGGGGAGATCCTGGAAATGAGAGAGGCACAGACTGGCTACATGGCATCTCCAGAGGGTCAGTGGAAAGTGAGAGCCAAAGCCAATGTGAGGGCTGGATGGATGCTGACTGTGCTTCTCTGTCCACACCCAGACCCATCAGCAGGAGGTGCAAGTTTAGGGGCTCAAGGGGTTTCCACCCACCTCTGCCCAATTGTTGACTGACTGCACATCTCTAGTGTTCCTAGGTGGCTCCTAGGAATTCAAGCTAAACCATAAAAATGACATTTAAAAACTGAGCAGACAGTGCTTCATCATGACTGTAATCCCAGCTACATGGGAGGCATAAGTAGGAGGATGGAGGTCTGAGGCCAGCCTTGGGTAAAAAGCATGAGACCCTATCTGAAAAATAACTAAAGCCAAAAAGAGCTGGGGACATGCTCAAGTGGTAGAGCACCTGCCTAGCAAACAGGAGGCCCTGAGTTCAAACCCCAGTATTGCTAAAAAAAAAAAAAGTTGGGCTTGCAAAGAAATAGAAAAATATGATCCATATTTAGAAGGAAAAACCCCAATCAATAGAAATGGATCTGAGCAAACTCCATAATTAGCAGACAGGACTTTAAAACAACTCTCATAAGTATGTGCCAAGAAGTAAAGGAAATGTTCACAGAATTAAAGGAAAATATGATGATGACAATGGCAAAGAGAAAATGTCAACAAGAAGCAGAAAGTACAAACAAATGTACCAGATGGAAAGTCTAGAGTTGAAAAATACAATAAACAAAATGGAAAAAAAAAATCACTAGTTGATCCCAAAGCAGATTTCAGGCAGCAGAAACCCAGAGCAAAGAAATGATCCAACCCATACCAGGCATGGTGGAACACATGTAATCCCCAGCACTTGGGAGACTGAAGCAGAAGGATTGGGAGTTCAAGGCCAGCCTAGGCTACATAGTGAGACCCTGTCTTAAAAAACAAAACAAAACAAAAAACCAAAAACAACTCAGGTGCTGGTGGCTCCCGCCTGTAATCCTAGCTATCAGAAGGCAGAGATCAGGAGGACTGTGATTTGAAGCCAGCCCAGGCAAATAGTTCATGAGACCCTATCTCAAAAAACCCATCACAAAAAAGGCAGAATGGCTCAAAGTGTAGGCCCTGAGTTCAAATCCTAGTACCACCAAAAAACCCAACCAAACAAAAAAACTAAACAAACAAAAAAAAAAAAGAAAGAAAAAGAAAAAAATGATTTAATCTGAAGAACAGAGAAGAGATCAAAGAAAAATGAACAGAGCCTTACAGATTCTTGAGGACAAAATCAAGCTACCAACATATATGTAATAGTCCCAGAAGGAGAAGAGGGAGAGAAAATGGCAGGAAAAAATGTTTGAAGAAACAGTGGCCAACATTTTCTGAAATTGATGAAAAACATTAATTTTAGCAAATCCAATAAGCTAAACAAATTCCAAGTCTGATAAACACCTAGACACGTAGAAATCAAAGTGCTGAAAGCTACAAGGAAAGTAGGGCTCATTATAGGAGGGGCAGCTGCACAGTTACTGACTTCCTGTCATTGGAGGGCACTGACATGACTGTCAGCCAAGAATTCTATATCCGACTAAGCCACCCTTTAAAAACGAAGGTAAAAAAGGACATTCCCAGAGCAGTAGGAAGACATGTCTTATAAGAAGTATTAAAGGAAGTTCCCCTGGATGAGAGGAAATGACACCAGACAATAACTCAAAGTCACAGGAAAAAAAAAATAAAGAAAGAGACAGGAGTGCTAAGTACAGCATGTAGGTAAATATAAAATACATGCATAACATGCAAAATTATATAATGTTTAAATTATATTTAGCCGGGTGCGAGTAGCTCACGTCTGTAACCCTAACTACTTGGGAGGTTGAGATTGGGAGGATTGTGGTTCGAGGCCAGTCTGGGCAAATAATTTTCCAGATCCGATCTCCAAAATAGCTAGAGCAAAATGGACTGGAGGTGTGGCTCAAGTGGTAGAGCACCTGCTTTGCAAGCATGAAGTCTGAGCTTAAACCCCAGTCCCCCCACAAATATATATATGTATGTATAAAATATATAATACAGGCCAGGCTCCACAGGCTCACACCTGTAATCTAGCTAAATATATATATGTATGTATAAAATATATAATACAGGCCAGGCTCCACAGGCTCACACCTGTAATCTAGCTACTCAGGAGGCAGAGATCAGGAGAATCGTGGTTTGAAGTCTGCCTGGGCAAATAGTTCATGAGACCTATTAGAAATACACTAAATTATTATGTTGTATAGCGTAATCCCTAGAGTGACCACTAAAAAAATAATTAAGCGTGTTTAAATAGTACACTGAAAGTATTTGCATAGTACAAAAGAAGACAGTAGGTGTGGAACAGAGGAGCCAAGAAGACGTGAGCCATCTGGAGAACAAATCCCACATGGGAGTCCAGCACAGCCTGAATTTATGAGCAGTGGGAGAGGAGCTAAGTCAGCTCCCCTGACTGAGAAGATCCACTGAAAATAGACCTTTTTCACCAAAACCAACTTTTTTTTTTTGGTACTGGGGCTTGAACTCAGGGGCCTATACTTTGAGCCATTCCATCAGCCCTTTTTTTGTGATGGCTATTTTTGAGAAAGGGTCTCGTGAACTATTTTCCCAGGCTGACTTTGAACCTTGATCCTCCTGATCTCTGCCTCCTGAGTAGCTAGGATTACAGGCATGAGCCACCAGCTCCCGGCAGCAACTTTTTTCTAGAGTCAACATCCGCACAAACAGTGTGACCCAGCAGTGTGGTGACTGGAGCAGTTTTGCCTTGGAACCTGGCTGGTTGTCAAAAGCATGAAGAAGGAAGTTCTTGAGACAAGGAAGCTGATGATGGCGGATGCGTCCCCAAACTCAGGCACTGGAGACTCTGTTAACTGATTTCTGGGCCTTCCGAGAGTGTCACCAGTCACTTCGCAGAGAAGTTATTTCCCTGGAATGTGCCAGATGCTTCAGATTGTTTCCCTAGAAGCACCCCAACACAACTGGGCCATGGTGGCCCTCTTCTGGCGCTGTGGGCTCTGCCTGGTCAGCTAGAAAACCCAACGGGCTTAGTGGCGATAGGGCCAAGGTCTCCCCCCCACCCGGCCCCCCTCCCCACCGTGTTAACCGCTCTCTCTCCTCCAGATCGAGGCCTATGCTGAGAACACTTATTACAGCAACTTCATTTCTCACTTGGCCAACATCAAGTACCCAGGTAAGGGCTGCTGACAGCGGCCGTAGGAGGGGAGAGGAATAATTGTGCGAGAAGGGACAGGGAGGAGAATGTGACTCTGGTGGCAAGCAAGGGTGGCCCGTGAGCCCTGACACTGGGGCCCAGCCCTCTCTGCCTGAGGTTACTCGTCCCAGTCATTTCCGATGTGGGCCCAGGTGGGGACACACCTCCACTGACATGAAGGAAACACGTGGCTTGCTAGATGCAGAGATGGGTCTGGCACGTGGTAGAGTGTCCTCCCTGCCCCCTCCAGTGGCCCGGCGTGGTTTCCACAGCGGGGGTCAGGATCAGTGCCAGCACCTGGACCCAGCTTGGTTCTGATTCTGCTTTTTCAACCTACATCCACTTACTTTTTTTTTTTCTGGCAGTACTAGGGCTTGAACTCAGGGCTTGTTAGGTAGGCGCTCTACCACTTGAGCCCCTCTGCCAGACCATCTACTCACTTCTAAATGGTGCCTAACAAGTGGTTCTGTTCCTCGTCTGCGGCCCTTTCCCATTGCCTCAAGGGGCGTCATCCACTTCTCTCTTTTGCTATAGAATGTGTGCGTGGCCTAACGATGGTGATGACGGTGACAGCTGTAGATATGAGCGAGTCCCGGGGCGCTGACTCAGTCAGCACACTTTATGAACATTGTTCTCCTTGACTCTGGCACAATCCTATTGATCAGCCCCCAAAACCCTGCTTTTTTGTGTGGTGCCTCATGTCTGCCAAGCATGTGCCTTACCATTGAGCTACACCCCCAGCCCAGTGGTCCCCTTTTCACAGCCTCAGAGTGCGCACCCGCCCAAGGCCACCAAGCCAGGGAGGAGGCATTTGAGCATGTCTGCCCCCAAAGTCTCTGCTCTTAACCAAACAGGGGGTGGTAGGCTGGGCGTTGCTTGGGGGATTCGACATGGTGTGGTCTGGGCCTGCACTGTCCTCCTGGAGCCCCAGACTCCTTCATGTTCCTGTCTCTTGTCTTCTCCATCAGGACAAAGCACAACTCTGAATGACCTTGTCATCCAGGACATGCTACCTGGGGACCTCTATCATTACTACAGCTACCAAGGGTCCCTCACCACCCCTCCATGCACGGAGAACGTCCACTGGTTTGTGCTGGCTGATTCTGTCAAGATCTCCAAGACCCAGGTAACACGTGGCCAAAGCCTCCCTCTGGCTGCCTGGCTAGCAAAGTGCTCTACACATTGGCCACACACAAAGGCTGCTGCACCTCTCCTGTGTGACAGGATGACCTCACTGATCTGGGGCAGACACAGGGGACAGAGGCATCGGGGAATCCAGGGACTGTAGAGTTGATACAGAGAAAGGACTAGGGCCTGGTCTGTCCCACAGAAGAGTTGCACAGTGAAGGCGAATGCTCACCGAGTGTGGCACCTGCCAGGTCTTCACAGAGCGCACATTCTGGCATCACAAACGCTTTTATGCAAGGATTGCTTCCTTTAGCTCTGTGTCATGTCACATTTAGTCCTTTGAGAGGAGTTGCTGTGTTGGCCATTGCTTGTTCCAGCTACTTAAGGAATGAATGCTCCTTAAAGTGACTAAAAAAAAAACCACATAGCGTAGGCTCAGAATAAAGGTTTGCTGAATTGAACGAATGGACAAATATTACTGACAATGCAAGGCCAAGCTGGTACTTTCTTCTGAGCGGTCTTTCTCGGAACCAATAGTTCTTTCTATTTTTGTGGTACTGGGGATTGAAGCCAGGGCCTCATGCATGAGAGGCAAACACATAACCACTGAACTATATCCCCAGCCCACCAATAGCTCTTTCCCCAAGACTTTTCATTTCCTTACTCTCCAAGAAGAGGCAAAAGACCCCTCCTCCAGGATATCTACACACAAAAATGTTGCTGACCTCAGGCACCTGAGTGAGCAAATGCAAATTATTTCTGGAACAATATAACTTAACTCTAGAATGAAAAGGGTTTCAACAAGTACAGTTACTAGAAATTAGCTCAATTAAAAAAAATTACAAAACACATAAGGAGAAAGACAGTATGACCCAGTGACTGGGGAGGTAGACATGCAGCTGTCGAAGGATGGTGGTCCGAGGCTGGCTGAAGGCAAAATGTGAGACTCTCTCTAAAAAAATGATGAAAGCAAAAATGACTGGAAGTGTGGCTCAAGTGGTAGAGTGCCTGTCTAATGAGCACAAAGTCCTGAGTTCAAAACTATTACCAGCTGAGCCATGATGGTGGCTCATGCCTGTAATCCTAGCTACTCAGGAGGCAGAGATCAGGAAGATGGCGGTTCGAAGCCAGGCTGGGAAAATAGTTTACAAGGCCCTATCTTGCAAAACCCAACACAAAAAAGGGCTGGTGGAGTACTCAAGGTGTAGGCCCTGAGTTCCTACACACACACAACAAGGGCCAGCAGGCCAACTTTCAAAATGCTGAGTGAATAATAAATAGCTAACCCAGAATGGTGATGCAGTAAAAAAATGCCTTTCAAGGGTACAGGCAAAACAGACATTTTTCAGAAAAACAAAAACTGAGCTAGCCCCTTGATATATCTTTGTTTACTTATATACATTTTTTCTAAACTCAAGGTTTTCCTGCCTCAGTCTCCTGAGTGCTGGGATTACAGGCATGACCCACCACACTCAGCTTCTCCTTTCTAGTACTAGTCAAATACTCACAGAAAAAGATGAGAATTGAAGAATGCATGGGTGGATGAGTTCTAGAATAATTCCTGGCAAACATCACCCAGAACCCGCTCTGAACTTGAGAGCATCAAGTTCAGTTCTATAAATCCAGGCTCTAACTAACTTCTTTTAAATGACCGGTGCCGTCTCCCTCCATGCTTTGCTCTATGTCGCCTGCAGGTTCACAGTCTCGAGAATTCCGTGAAGAACCACCATAATGAGACCCTCCACAACGGTTACCGCAAGACTCAGCCCCTCCACCACAGAGTGGTGGAGGCCAACTTTCCCTACTTCCCTGACCAGCGTGAGTGACGTCACCTCCTGTTTACTTCTGCAATTCCTTGGCTCCCCTCACCTCCCTTGTCCCGGGGAACCATCTCCTCTGACAGCAGCGGGGGAAGCAGAGTCATTTTGGGGCAGGAGGCTCAGATGGGTCAACCTGTGCAGGGCTGGGGAAGATGGTGGCCCTGGATCTCCCAGGCCCGGCAGCAATACCACTGAGGACAGGTGACAATGAGGAGAATCGTGACTTCTCACCTACCTGACCTCGGCTAGAGACAATAGGAGACACAAAGGGACAACAGTATCCACAAGGTCTCCTGTGAGTGTAGGCTCAGGTGAACCTAATTAAACCCAGCCACTTCCTGTGTTTTTATCGCCATCTGGATCCCAACCCATCCCCCACTCCTCCTGTACCTCTGCAAGGTGCAGTTGACGACCACATCCGCTTGGGGATCAGGCCCCAGGGTGCTAGAAGGAGGCATGACTGTCCAGCCTCCAGGGTCCCTCCAGCCACTAGGCCGGCCTCCAACGGTGATCATGGCTCACCTTGTCTCTGTGGCGGCAGGGGCATAAGAATTCTGTAACCTTCCCACCTTTCTTTTGTCTCTTTCCCTGCACAGGTGTGGGAAACTTCACACCCTCTGAGTTCACTGTCTGTAATCTGTTCCTATCGATTGTTCTTGATATTTTATATCCTCTAATACAATAGAATCAACGTCTAATCAAACCTATCGACTCAATATGACCCCACCTTTATCTGTATCTTTCACATTTTTAAACCTCCACACTTCTGGCCTTCCTCCTCCCACACACAAATGAAGACCTGTTTGTAATTTTCTTCCCATCTTTCCTTCCTGGTTCACTCACTGTTTTCTCTTGTATCAGCTTGCTCCTCCAAGACACTACTAACAATAAAAAAAAGACAGCGGCCCTTATTTAATAACCCCATAACACCATGCACAGTGTTACAGTGACGCGTCCTGCTCCGAAAGGTGATGTCCTCTTACACAGGGCCACCGGCTGGAAGGCTAAGCCCAGAGAGTTTAGGATCTCTGGTCTGTCTTCTTGTTACACACTTCTTCAGGTTCCCTGGGGAAAATTTTCACTATTCTTGAAGATAGGCACCAAAAGGCTGTAGTGTCCCATCTGCCACATCTCAAATTTCCCTTCCACCAGGGCATCCTTCCAGTTCATCCTTATGAGGAGCTGGATGTCCTAGACACCCACCCTGGACTGGAATGTTCTCTGTGGTCCTCCCTCCTGACCCTTGCTGTTTAGGATGATTGCTTCAGCCCCCGCTACATTGTGGAAGGGCTTCTTCCCTGATCCCAGGCATGGATCTGAATTATGGGCCCCTTTGCTGATTCTAGAATAGTCAAACGGGGCATCGTGTGTCCTACCTCCCTTCACCCCACATTTCCACATAGCAGTGGCGATCCAGACACACAGCTTGTGGTTCTGTGGAACCCACCCACCCCATCTGGGTTAATATGACCTGAGAAACCAAGGTCAATGACAAAGACAAGACAGTAGCCAAATATGGACCTCTTGCAATTCATTTATAAGAAAACACTTACATACCGTAAGGTAAAGTCACCGAACCTCACCTAAGAAGCAAGGACCAGAAGTGGAACCCACATCAAATGATGCCCTGTCAGTTACGGCAATGTCTAAGCTTAAATTCGGATCCACTGGAGATGTTTGAAGCCAATGGGATGGGAGCATTCTAAGGGCTTAAAAATACTTTCCTTGCAGGGCACCCATGGCTCACTCTTATAATCCTAGCTACATGGGAGACTGAGGTCGGGAGGATCAAAGATAGGGGCCAGCCTGGGCAAAGACTTAGGGAAACCCCCGTCTCCAAAATAACCAGAACAAAATGAACTGGAGGTGTGGCTCAAGACATAGGAAGAGGAGTCCCTGCTTTGCAAGTGTGAAGCCCTGAGACTGTGAGGTGGAGGGTGTAGCCCAGTGGTGGAACGTGTGCAAGGCGTTATTTGAGGTGTGACCCCCAAATAAAGAGAAGAAAGAAAAAGAAAGGGCGCTCCTATAAGAACCTTCCAGGCTTTGACCTCTGCACTGATTCTTTCTCTCTGATGAATTCTAGGCTCTCAGTTCCAGTTTGCACTAAGCAAGATCGACGACAAACTTGACCGTCTGGTCAGGGCTCTGGAACACAGGCCGAGCAGGAGGGACTACTACTGACCAGGGGAGGGGAGGGCTGGGTTGCCATGGAAACCGATGGGTGGACACTGATGCCAACGACTCCCAGGTTGCTGGGCACCCAGCTCAGTGGTGGGATGCTTCCGGGACTTGATCCTCCCACCCACACTGCAAAAAAAAAATCATTCACTTTGATTTGTCTAGATTATAAAACAGCTCTCCATTTCTCTTTAGCATTTAGATGTAATAAAGTGATTTTGGAAATTCGTCATTTAAGATTTTCTCTTTTTTGTCCTCTGCATTACTTTCAATTTGTCTTTTTTTTTTTTTTTTGCCTAGCTCCAAGGAACACAGGTGAGGGGAGAGAGGTAAGGAAGGAGTTCCAGGACCAAGAGTAGGAAAAAGACTCTCATTTTTGCCTTTTTTTTTTTTAACTTTTTATTAGCATAAATTAATTGTACAAAGGGGTATTATTGTGATATTTACATATTCATGCAATGTAAAATCACCCCATTTAGGGCTGGCAGAGTGCCTCAAGTGGAAAGAGCACCTGCCTAGCAAGCAGCAAGGGTGTGAATTCAAACTCCAGTGCAGCCAGAAAAAAAAAATTACCCATCTGTATTACTATCTCTTTACCCACTCCCCTTTTTTTTTTCTGGTACTGGTGTTTGAACTCAGGGCCTACACCTTCAGCCACTCCACCAGCCCTTTTTTGTGATGGGTTTTTCCGAGATAAGTTCTCAAACTATCCACTGGGTTGCCTTAGAACCTCCATCTTCCTGATCTCTGCCTCCTGAATAGCTAGGTTACAAGCGTGAGCCTCTGGCGCCTGCCCAAAGGCGCCCTTCTGGAACGCAGTGAAATAGTGGACGCAGGTGACAGTCATGGCTGGTTCCTAACATTGCCAGATGGATGAGATCATTGCTGTTCTATCACACCATATTATAACGTAAAAATGTGCTGCAGGGGTAGCTCCAGGAAACTCAGGGCCCAGCAGAGTGAGTGGTTCACCACAAAGACAGAAGTTTGAGGGCTGGCAGAGTGGCTCAGGTGGTAGAGCCCCTGCCTACCAAGTGTGAGGCCCTAAGTTCAAACCCCAGTGCCGCCAAAAAAAGAAGGAGAAAAAAACAAAATCTCCAAACGACAAAGATGTAAGGATGTAAGCTTGAGGAAGACAAGATTTCTATCTTTCCCTTTTTCACAGTGAACTCTAAGTTCCTGAGGATGGTGTATACATAAAGGGCTCAGTGAAAATGTGAATTAGCATCCAGACGACATAAAGGCATCCTAAAGATCAAAATAAAGGACAAGCAACCCAAGAGAAAAACATCAGAAGGGACAAAAGGAGAAACAGGAATGATCAATAAATTGAGTAAAAGACTCCATGTCACTGGTAAATAAGGAGATGACCGTTAAACACATATACCATTTGCAAACCCCAGGATAGGCAAAACCCAAGCCTGATGGCACCGTGCTTTGGAGGCGGGAAGCGCCGCCCAGGCTGTGGGGGTGGAAACAGGTACAACCACTCTGAAAGTTTGGTAACCATCCCTGGAGAGCTGACCATGGCGTAGTGTGTGACCCAGAAATTCCAGCCCAGGTATTTCCCTTGGAGAAATCTGCACACCTGCGTAAGAAGCGCCAGACAAGTGTGTGCAAAGGAACGAAGTTCTACAGACCAAAATTATGTAGTGACAAAGAAACAGTGAACTTGAACTAGACACGTCCAAATTTCCACATTGTGGTAGAAATTCACAATGTAGAGCAACAAAAGTAGGTAGCAAGAAAAATTTGGGGCTGGGGGCATCGCTGTAGTGGTAAAATCCTTGCCTAGCAAACACAAGGTCCTGAGTTCAAACTCCAGTACTGCCAAAAAAAAAAAAAAAAAGGAAAGAAAAATATGTGCCATAATATTTATTTAAAAAACTGAACAATACATAGCTGTAGAATTTTAAAATGGTAAAATCCATAGTAAAGGTCATAAGAGAAACAGCTTGTACACACAGACAGCTGTGGGTTAAGAGAGCGGGTAGTAGCCAGGCACCGGTGGCTCTCTCCTGTAATCCTAGCTACTCAGGAGGCAGAGATCAGGAGCACGGTTTGAAGACAGCCCAGTTGGATAATTCAAGTGACCCTCTCTTGAAAAACCCTATCACATAAAAGGGCTGGTGGAGTGGCTTGAGGTGTAGACCTGAGTTTAAGTCCCAGTATAGCAAAATAAATGAATAAATAAATAAATGAAAAGAGGGCAAATGGTAGAAGGAAATGGATGCAGGGCCTTTGACTGTGCCTGTGGTGACTTATGCTTAAGATGGGTAATGGGCTCTTGGGTATCCATTACTCTTTTTTTTCCAGTTTTTTTATTGGCATATATTAAATTGTACACAGTAAGGGATTTCATCCTGACAGCTCCATAATGCATATAATACTCTTTGGCCACATTTACCTTCTCTATTAGTCTTTCTTGTGGTGTTTGTTATTCTTCTTTTTGGTGGGGCTGGGGTTTGAACTCAGGGCTTCATGCTTGCAAAGCAGAAACTCTATCACTTGAGCCACACCTCTGGGTTCTAGGCTGGCCTCCAACCCGATCTTCCTGATCTCAGCTTCCTGTAGCTGGGATTACAGGTGTGAGCCACCAGTGCCTGGCTTCATTACTGTTTATTATTATTATTTCCTTTAAAATATGTGGCTCAAGTGGTAGAGTGCCTGCCTAGCAAGTGTAAGGCCCCGAGTTCAAACCCCAGTACTGAAAAATAAATTCAAATCTATTCATGGCATTTTCCTATTGAAAACCTTCCAGTGGCCTCCCATTAAACTGAATGAACTCCAGAGCCCTAACTGTGGTCTGTGTCATTTGACCCCTGGCTACTTTCCTCATCCTTTTGCTTACTGAGCTCTGCCATGGTGTTGAGATGTACCAAATGTGTTCTAGCCTCAGGACCTTTGCACGTGCTCCTCTTTGCACTGAATGAAGGGTTGAACATCATAGAGATTGACACTGAGCCTGAGATGACTCTGGCTCTCTCTGGTAACTGTGCCGGGCAGCCTCTTTATCAATGGAAGGCAGAAGCTGGGGGAGGTGGGTAGCAGGAAGTGAGTGAGGACCTCAGCTAGAGAATGAAGTGTTTTTAGAGAGGTGGCCCTCAGCTGTCCAGGTCCACCATTCTGCCTGACATTCCAGCATGGAGGTTTGGCCTCTATCCGTCCAGGACCTTCCAGGAGCCCCTGGCAGAGCAGGATCTTGGGCCTACTCTGTCTTCCTGGGGGGGCCTCCTGGGGGACGGTAGAACAAAATTAAGAGCCTGTGTCCCACTCTTCCCCAGGGAGACCATGAAGAGGGGCAACCAGGAGGGCCACCAAGACAATGTCCAACCATTCTCTATTTCCAGACAGAGCAAGCTTAATTTTGTCTAAAAAGTTAAAAAAAAAAAAAACATTAAAAATAGAACTTTTTTTGTCCCCAGGTGTTTGTTGCAGATAGAACAACCAATTCTTGTATATCTTTTTTTTTTTTTTTTTAACTTTAGCCACTCCACCAGCAAAACAACCTATTCTTTGGTTGCCTGGAACTCACGATCCTCCTTCCTCAGCCTCCGAAGAGCTGGGATTACAGATGTGAACCACCATGCTTGGCTTTTTCAACTTTTTTTATAGTCAGTTCTGTTTTCATTTTATTGAAAGGTTGGAAATGAAGGTTTCTTTCATTTTCTCAGAGGCCACAGCACATCAACAGCCACAAAGTCAGCCTGGTGTCAGTGGGAATAAGGTCACCTGCCCAACTGTGTCCTCAGGGGTGAAACTGGGCCAGTGTGGGGGACAGGAGTGGGCGTCCTGTGGTGGAGCGGGTCTGCAAGCTCGTGAGGCTCGGGAAACCTCTGAGAAACAGTGTCCCTTAGAACTGGCCGTGAGGGGACTTGGACTGCTTTCTTCTGGCCCCTTCCACATGGGAATCTTTGCTTTCCTTTTCTAATAAAACTTCTGTCCAAAGACCAAAAAAACAAAAAAACAAAAAAAAAAAAAAAAGGAAAGAATGGCCCTCAGTGAGCGTTCCTGTCACCAGTGCCAGCGATTTTCTGAAAGTCCTTCTGTGTAGAAAACTGGAGCAGGGGACAGGCTGCGGGTGGTGGGGGAAGCAGTGCCCGCTGCCTTTGCGGGGGACATGCTGCCCTCCAGTGGCCACTGTGGGTACAGCAGGGCCTGTGTGCCCAGCACTTTCCAGACTCAGTTCACCCCTCTCCTATTCCCATTGGTAAACTGAGGTACAGAGACCTGTAAATGCCTTGTGGAAAGTTAGGAGCATATCCAGGGTGACGCCTAGTGCACATCCCAGGTCTGTTCCAGGGAGAGAGGGATGGCACTGGGCTTTGGTCCCTTGGGCGTGAGTAAGGCACATCTGAGGGCCACTGCACGAAGAGGAGGCCTGGCTGGGTGCTTGGTGGCCTTGGGCCTCACGTGCTGCAGACTGGGCACAGACCCTGAGCCCTCGCTGGGTTTGCTGCTCCAGGGAGAGATGTGGGGGCCACGTGTGGCAGTGGGGAGCCCAGCCTCAGAGGGGAGGTCAGTGCAGCCCAGGGCGTAGGCCTCACGACCTGGCTGTGCTGCCTGCCCTTGACTTCTGCAGAAACTCCCCGCAAGCTTTGAACCTATTCTTGTCTTCAAGCACACAATCCTCAACCAGCCCCACATCTTATTTTGTTAGGCAGGGAAGGTGCAGTGCCAGACTTCCTTATGTCCATGCCACTTGCAAGACCAAGATGCCGGGCTCCCAGCTCTCAGCAGAGCCTCCCAGTGGGGGCTGGGGCTCAATTGTAAGTCTTATGCTGCCACCACTTTTTCATGATCCCTCAGAACTCTGGACCTGGCCAGTGCAACAAGTTAGCAAGAGGTAGGGGCAATTTTTTGGGTGCTGTTGGACAGCCACAGTCCATTCACTGAGGCCCCTGTGATGAGTTTTGAGGTACTGAATAAATGCCCTACTGGTCTCAGGGCCCACCCCACTCCTATGGATGAAAGGTGAGAGAGAAGGAGAGAGAGAGAAGACCCAATGACACAAGAGGGCTGCCTGAGTGCCAGCCCTTCGTTCAGGGTGCTGTGAGAAAAGCCTCTGGTTCATGTCTTCCTAGATGCAGATGTAACAGGTCCTTCAAAGCTGCTTTTTCTAAAAAGTGCAGACTCCTCTCTTGAGCCTGAAAATGTCCAAAGGGGAAGTAAAACAAAAAGGGCTGGTATTGTATGCACATATGAATAATAAAACAATAAAAAAAAAAGAAAAAGAAAGGGCTGGTGGAGCGGTTCAAGATATAAGACCTGAGTTCAAACCCCAGTACTGCAAAAAAAAAAAAAAAAAGTCAGGCAGGCAAACTTGAATCCATACTGGGAAGGGCGGGCTGTCTTGGGAGGTGATGGACTGTGATGGAGGCAATGAAGAGTGGCTTGTGAAAATCCTTGGGAATGTGGAAAGAGAGATTCCCTAAGAGACATAGAAGGGGTTTTCCAATGTTGAAACATATGGTCTTAAGGAGAAGTATGGAAAACTGGATGCCAGTGACTCATGTCTGTAATCCCAGCTACTTGGGAGGCTGAGATTGGGAGGATTGAGGTTTGAGGCCAGCCAGGGTAAATAGTTCTCAAGACCCCATCTCCAAAAGAACCAGAACAATGAGGACTAGAGGTGTGGCTCAAGTGGTCAAGTGGTAGAGCCTGAGTTTAAAATCCCAGTTCCACCAAAAAAACAAAACAAAAAAAAGATGGGGAGCTGGGTGTGGTAGCATATACCTGTAATCTCAGAACTTGGAGGATGAGGCAGGACCGTTTCAAGTTTGAGACAGCTTGGGCTACATAGTAAGTTCAAGGCCAACTAGCCTCAAGGTTCCTGAACTTGACCCCCAGGAAGCCTGCTGGTCTCAGGGAGGCTCAGGCTGACAGGACCCCCGAGATGGAGTCAGCAACACCCCATTCTGTTCAGGCTCTCATTAATGCTTTTTTCATTCAAGTGAAGAGGAAGGGAAATTCACTATTCGTCAGCATCACGGAGGACCGGTCCCATGGTCCTGGTTTAATTACACAGAGAATTAATTTCCAATCAGCAATAACATGTTCTCTCTCTCTTTTTTTTAACGGTACTGGGGTTGAACTCAGGGTGCTAAGCAAGCATTCCCACTATAGAGCCACACCTTCGGCCTTGATTGCTTTTCATCAGCGGGCTTTCCCTCCCACATACTGCCTGACCTGACGTCAGGCAAGTGTGGCTGTGGATTCCCGAGTGAGCAGGGCCTGACGCACACGCCTCACCCTGAAACTTGGTCATGCTTCCCCTTCCTGGGGACCTTGACCATGGCTCCTTACCGTGGGCTGTCATGTCTGCTGCACCCAGGCTTGGGCTAAGGTTGGTGAGTCATGTAAACATGCAAAGTGCAAGGCCTGGTCTTCATTGCACACAGGATAGGAGACCGAGGCACATGGAGTGACTCAGCCCAAACCTAGAACATCGTGCTTCTGCTGAGGCAGGGACTGGGAGCCAAGGATGGGCCAGAGTGACCCATCCAAGCATTTGTCCAACACCTGCTAGAAGTGGCTACAAGGCTGTGAGCTAAGTCCAGTGAATGACTCTGACTCAGGGGCTCACCACTGCTGGGCCAGGAGATGGGGGATTCTGTTCCCTTGCAAGTGCCTGGGAAGAATTCCAAGAATCGGGGACTGGCTTCATCTGCCCTCCTGTTGCAAAGTGGAGACTCGGTTTCAGGTCTCGTGCTATTCAGGGCTGCCCTCCTCCCCACCAGGTCCACAGTTCCTAGGAGGCAGCATGACTTACTCACATGAATTTCAAAAAATCTGCACTAATCATTCCTTCTCTCGTTTAAAATGCCCACTTGGTGTTTTGATGTATGAGTGCACCCACAGAATCATCACCACATCGGGGTAAGAAGCGCTTCCTTGTCCCGAAAGCCCCCAGGGTGCGAGCAGCCACCTGGTCTCTGACCCCAGAGCACTCTGCATTTCTTAGACTTTTCTACAATTGAAATCACGATTGGCTGACTTTGTCACTCAGCATCACGACTTTGCGCTTCGCCCACGGGGTCATGGGTGTGAATAGCTCACATCCTTTTAGGGTGGAGTGAAATTCCAGTGCGCCAGGTACACTTCTGTGCTGCTTCCAAGTTTTTGGCTATTGCAAACGAAGGTTCCAAGTCTCTTCATGCATATGCATTAATTCTTTGGGTAAATACCTAGAAGCAGAATCCTGGGTGTACAGTAGACCCCGGCCTCCATGTGAATCTGGTTCTAAGGAGCCCGCCGGGAGGGAAACCCGTGTGAGCTCACAACACACAGTTCAGTGCTGTACTGTGCGGGATTCATTTCTCCTGAATTGCCACCCAACTTCTGCTGAAGACATGCCACCTTTCAGCAAGTCTAAAATCTTCATTTTTTCGATCAGTTAAGCACATGCAGTTTTACTTTGCTTTTTTTGGGCACCATTTGCTTTATGGGAGGCAGATTTCCCCAAACTCAAGGGCAGGGAAACACAAGGATTTAAACACAACTGAGGACTGAATGAGCTGTGGAATGTGAGCTTGGGCATTTAAAAGTTTTGCTTTGCCAGTGCAGGTGGCTCACACCTGTAATCCTAGCTACTCAGGAGGCAGAGATCAGGAGAATCATGGTTTGAAACCAGCCCTGGGCAAACAGTTTGCAAGACCCTATCTCAAAAAACCCCTCACACACACACACACACACACACACACACACACAAAAGGGCTGGTGGAATGGCTTAAGGTATAGGTCCTGAGTTCAAACTCCAGTATGGGAAATAAAAATTTTTTTTCTTTAAAAATTTCTTTTGAGTTTAAGATATTTATTATATTTTACTGTGCTTGGGCAAAACTTGCACAATAAATCCACAATAAGGCAAGCTTACTGTATACTTAACTTTTTCTTTTTTGCAGTACTGGAGTTTGAGTCAGGGCCTTGTGCTTGCTAGGTAGGTCTAGTTTAAAATTTAATTTAGGCTTATGGCCCAGTGTAAATTGATTTTTATATATGATGTTGGGTATGGATAAAAGTTCTCACTTTTGTGTGTGTATAATTTCCCCCAGGACATTACTGGAAATGCTATTCTGATATCACTTAATTTACTGTTGTTAAAAATCAGTTGTTTAGCTGGTTGTGTTGGTGCACACCTGTAATCCCAGCACTTAGGAGAGGCTGAGGCAGGAGGATTTTGAGTTTGAAGCCCCCTTGGACTACATAGCAAGATGCCGTCCCAACAAAACAAAATAGTTGTCTGTGTGTGTGTCTGTGTACAGTGTGTGTGCACACGCATTCATGTGTGTGCGCGTGTGTGTTTTCTTTAGAAAGCCAGTCTTTTATTCTAAAGCTCTGCCATAACTTTTCATCAGGTGCCAATGGTCATCTGTCACTCACACCAGGTTGTCTGTGTAGCCAGCAAATACAAAGTCTGGCCATCAGCAGACCAGGCTGAGAGGCGTACCAAATCCACCAAAGATTTCAGCAGGGAAGTGACGTGCCAGGCCAGGATGTAGAAGGGATCACCTTGTTTCCAAGGAAGACATCAACCGGTCCAACCTAAGAAGGGTCTTCGCATGGGGTAGTTTTTCTGTAATTGGGCCTAGGGTCCAAGCATGGTGGTACATACTTGTAATCCCAACTACTGGCACAGGTAGAACTACAGTCTGAGGTGAAAACTTAAAGCAAAAACAGGCTGGAGGTGTGGCTCAAGCAGGAGAGCACCAGTACTGCCCCCTCCCCAATAAATAAAAATAAATCATAAAACTGAGCCTAGGTCTTCCGCTCTGTATTCTCTTGCCCCATTGCCTGTGATCAGTAGCTCACTTCCGGGTCTCTAGGAAGGCAACAGGGTCTGAGTGCTTGGTTTTAGCATCTTTGCTTTTCTGACCAACACACTGATTACAATTCAGGTCTCCGTACTGATCCCTGAATGCTGTGGTTTGGGCCTGGCATGTCCCCCAAGGGACATGTGGCACTGTTGGGAGATGGTAGAACCTCTGAGAGGTGGAGTCTAGTGAGGGGTCTTTAGATTACTGGGAGTGTGTCCTAGAAGGAGATTGTGGGAGCAGACTTTCTGTCCCTCTCTGCTTCCTGGTTCATGGAATAAGCAGTTTGTTCTAACACACACTCCTGCCATGACTTGCTAGAGGCTCAAAGTCATTTCTAAGTAAATGCCTCAAGTATTTTATCATAGTAACATGAAGCTGGCTAACACATTGAACTTGAAAAATTTTACTTAAAAAAAAGTGCATCCATACATCATTTAACTTTTGGTGCCAATATAGAATCAGAATCAAGTCCTAGAAATAATACACCCGCTCCTGCCCACCGCCCTGTGTCATCCTCTCACTGACAGACTTGGGAGCTAACCACTTCTCAACTAGATCACGGGGCTATGATTGCCAGTCTCCCAGTAGCCCTGGGGGGCACAAAAGTCTCAAAGCTGGGAGTCCTCCTTTCTCAAAGAAGGAAGCCCAGCATATGGGGACACGGATGACACGCAGAGCCATTAAAAAGAAGTTTCCTTGGCAGGCACAGAGGGCCCGGCACTGCTTATTCCTTCTTTCTCCTCTGGAATCTCCACTTTGTTTCTCTTGGCAAAGATGCGATTTATTTCCACGAATGTTTTGCCCTTGGTCTCAGGGAAAACCACGTAGATGTACACAGCAGTGAGGAGGCAGAGTCCAGAAAAGATGAGGAAACTGTAGGCACCAATGGCCACCTAGACCAAGAGACAAATAGCACAGGAGGGCTTGGGGACATTTGGGGACAATTCCACTTGAGGCCTTTGGGAGTTTCTTGGTGGTCAGTTTTGTTCCATTCCTGGAGGGGTAAAACAGCTAGAAAATTGGGTTCCACTAACCTCACAAGGAACCCTAAGTCCTTTGACTGGGGGACGTGATGGGCTCTAGGTCCTTCCTCTCTTGGTGGTCAAAGTCGGTGTGCACATCTTCCCAGCCTAGAGTCCCTCAGGAAGGAGCCCTTCCCAACATGAGGGTGGGAGCACCTTTCTCTATCTACATGAGACGTGGCATATCAAAGAGTTGGGAGCTGGGTCTGGTGGTTCACACTTGTAATCCCAGCACTTGGGGAGGTGGAGCCAGGAGGATCAAGAATTCAAGGCTAGTCTGGGGTACATAGTGAGACTCTGTCTCAAAAAACCAAGGGCTCAGAGGTAGAGCGCTTGTCTAGCACGGGAAGGCTCTGGGTTCCATCCCTTGCACAGCAAAGATAATAATCAACGAGACATGAGTGTCTGAGAGCCACATTTGCCCTGTTGATCTGGCAGATCCTTGTCCAAAGAGCCCTTCCTGCCTTGGGGAGGGGCAGGGTGGCCTAGGTAACAGGCAAAGGGCCACTCACCTGGATAGACGGGAACACCAAGCCCACGATGAAGTTGGTGAGCCAGTGTACTGCCCCGTCCACCATGAATGCGGCCCGCCGGGAGGACTGTAGAAAGATCTCTGTCCTCACCACCGAGGGGACAGGGCCTGGGGACATGGGACAGAGGGCACAGGATGAGTGGTGGGGAGAAAGGCTCAGAAGGTCCCCGAGGGGGAAAAAGGAACCCTCTTACACTGCTGGTGGGAATGTAGACTAGCACAACCATCTGGAAAAAAATTTGGAGGCTACTTAAAAAGCTGGACATCGATCTACCATTTGATCCAGCAATTACCACTCTGGAATATACCCAAATAGACTGTGGACACAGGTTACTCCAGAGCACCACGACTCTATGTTTATTGCAGCACTATTCACCAAAGCCAAGTTATGAGAAACAGCCAAGATGCGTGTCCCACCACGGACGGAGATGTGATTAGAAAAGTGAGTGTGGTATCTATACACAATGGAATGTTATGCAGCCATGAAGAAGAAACGAAATGTTATCATTCGCTGGTAAATGGATGGAAATTGGAGAACATTCATTCTGAGTGAGGTTAGCCTGGCCCAAAAGACCAAAAATCGTTATGTCTCCCTCATATGTGACATTAGATCAAGGCAAACACAACAAGGGGATTGGACTATGAGCACATGATAAAAGCGAAGCACACCAAGGGAGGGGTGAGGATAGGTAAGACACCTAAAAAAACTAGCTAGCATTTGTTGCCCTTAATGCAGAGAAACTAAAGCAGATACCTTAAAGCAACTGAGGCCAATAGGAGAAGGGGAACAGGAACTAGAGAAAAGGTGAGATCAAAAAGAATTAACCTAGAAGGTAACACCCACGCACAGGAAATCAATGTGAGTCAATGCCCTGTATAGCTATCCTTATCTCAACCAGCAAAAACCCTTGTTCCTTCCTATTATTGCTTATACTCTCTCTACAACAAAATTAGAAATAAGGGCAAAATAGTTTCTGCTGGGTATTGGGGGGGGGGGAGAAGGAGGGGGTGAGTGGGTGGTAAGGGAGGGGGTGGGGGCAGGGGGGAGAAATGAGCCAAGCCTTGTATGCACATATGAATAATAAAAGAAAAATGAAAAAAAAAAAAAAAGAAGGTCCCCGAGGGCCACTGGGACTGGGCCTCCTGTCACTTCACACCTTAGACCCTTGGAGCACCTCACCTACCCCCTGTATGGGCCATCCCCTGCTGGGACTGGGGGCCAGAAAGGAGCCCTGCAGGAGGAAGGCATGATTAGGACCGAAGCTAGAAGACCTGTTTACAAAGTCATCTCAGAAGCCTGGGATGTGATTTCCAGCACTGTTTCTGCGGAGCTGACGATGAGCAGCAAAGGTCATAGAGATGCAATGGACGGAAATGAACTTCCCTCAAAGGATCCCCGCACTGCAGTGCCAGCTCGCCATCCCTTTCTCAGCCTGGCTTTTTATTGCGCCCTTATGGAGCCTTATCTCCAATGTCTAAAGTCATCTTTTTCCCTAATTGTCACCTCCACAGATCTACTGTAATCTGTTCATGTCCTGTATAAATATCTTTGGCTTTATACACAAAAGAATACGATTTTGCCCCTTGGTCAAGTTTCTGATGGGGGAGGGGAGGGTGGAATGGCCACAGTGAAGATTGAGTGGAGAATAATTCAAAACCCCAGAATGGATCTGCTCTTGGAACTCAAGTGAAAAAATCCTGCAATCCAGGTGGTGGTGGGGTTCCTCGGGGCTTGTCCCCTCAGAGGGTTGGGGGAGTCAGTCATCTGTTAGGACCTGGTTTCCGTGTCAAATCAACCCCCTATCTCCAATGGGTGGGTTTGCAGGGGAGAAGCCTCAGCACAGGGGCTGCTCCAGGTGACACACAGGCAGGGAGGGACAGAGGGACTAGAACCCAGGTCTGCTACACATGGCAGCACCCTCTGTACTGGACACCCCAGTGTCTGCCTTTGAGGCGCACCAGGGCCCTTCCTACTGAACACCTAATTCTCAAACACTGGACACCAAGGTGTGGGTCTTGAGGCTATCGCATCCCCAGGGCCCCAGCCCAGCCGTCACGCACGTGGAAGGGGCCTGTGACACCTGTACTCTGCTTCATGGACAACTCCTCCAAATGCAGCTCCCCGGCATGTACTGTCAGGCTTAGGAGTCAGGGACCCCTTTCCCTGAGGAGGAGGAGGAGGCTTGACTCTGAGGACACTCAGGGACAGGAGCCCCAAGTATCCGCGTCTGTGAAGGGGTTTGCCAGTGAGGGCCTGAGCTTCTGGCATGTGTCTGAGAGGACAGACAGGACAGCATGGGAGCTGGAGGTCAGTGGGGAACAAAGAGTTGAGCTGCTGGGGGTGGGGAGTAAGGGGGGCTCGGAGGCTAAAGTGAGAGTGTGGAGAGTTTGGCCAAGAACCCAGGTACCCCGTGGGTTTGGCTGTTGAGAACTCCCTCTCTGCGTGGGCTCCTTTCCTTGTTGGGTGCTGCTTGGCATTTAGTAAATATCTGTTGAATGAATGAATGTGAACTGGATTGGTCATCAAAGGAAAGCTAAACTGAAGGGGACCTTTAAGAATGTGTAGAAGCTGGGCGTGATGGTTCATAGCTGTAATCAGCAACTGGGGAAGTAGAGGCAGGAGGATTACAAGTTCAAGGCCAGTCTGGCTACACAGTGACTTCCAGGCCAGCCTGGGATGCACAGTGAGACCTTATCTCAACCCCAATACTCCTACACCCCCACTCCCCAAAAAATAAGAGTGGATCTGCACAGGAACAGAGGATGAAGTGTTTGGAGGGCAGTGGGGGAGGGAACATTTTGAACACTGTGAGTCAAAGACAGTTACTCAATCAACAAATATTTATTGGGGACCTAGTACGTGTCGGGCCCCCGAGGCTGGTGGGGTGGAGGTGGTGTGCAGGTACTCACTGGGGCCGATGGAATGTCCCGCGATGTAGGCAAAGACACAGATGACGCCTAGGTAAGACAGCTCAGGGACTGTGCTCTGTGGGGAGAGACAGGGCTGTCTGACAGGGCCTGGCCTGGGACCTCTGCAGGCCTTAGGCCAAGAATGGTGCCACAGGAAGGAGCCACACCTGGAATTCTGAGCCCTACAGAGGCCTCAAGGGCTCTGTGGGCAAGAGAAAGTGTAAGATGAGGACAAAGATGGATGTGGCTCATTCTGGTCCACAGAAGGCTACCACGAACCTTACCTAATTAAGAATGGCAGACTAGCAGGAAGATCTGTATTCATTTATTGACTTATCTGTGGTACTGGGGATTGAACCCAGGGCCTCAAGTATGCTTGGCAAGTGCTCTGCCACTGAACCACACTCCTAGTCCTTTTAATGGTACTCGGTTTTTGAGATAGAGTCTTGTTAACTTTGCCTGGGTTGGCTTCATATTCCTGATCTTCCTGTCTCTGCCGCCTGAGTAGCTGGGATTACAGATGTGTGCCACCACACCCAGCACTGCTCGTTATTTATTTTGTGTAGGGCACCACTTGCTGTACTTCACAAATATGAACACATGTTATCTTCATGTCACCTCTGAGTGTGGATATTATTGTTTAAACCCAACAAATGTGGCGTCAGGGCCCAGAGCGCTCTGAACACAGACCATGAGGACCTCAGCCCCTTAGGGATCCAGCAATGTCTTGTCACACAATCAGGGTGATGGGCTTGGGATTCCCATCATTCAACCATTGTCTGGACAGAATCCTAGGAGCTCCAGGCCCTTGAGACCTTGTATCAAGCCCCTGTGTGGGAGCAGACACTCCTTTGCTCCCTAATGGCTACAGGAATGGCTGACACAATACCAGGTCAACAGACTTCAATCAAACTGGATGAGGAGCCACCAAGCTAATTATAATAGGACAAATCCTCCAGGGTGACATTGGCAGCAGGGCCAGATGACGTGGAGCACTGAGCGCCACTTGAGGCTTCTGAGCAGAGGAGAGACAAGACCTAGCTCCGTTTCAGCAGAAACAGTCATAGGCAGCCTCGGGGTCCACTTCAATACCTCCAGCCAAAGAGGAGAGGGCTAGGCGGTGGGGCCACCTGGACGTGATGGGGAGCGGGAAGGTGCTGGGTGGCTTGGGTAGGAAGAGTGAAAGGACAGAGCTGCCAAGGTTCCTGCACGTGGCTTGCAATGATCTGTAGACACTGGCCAGTTCTGTTCACTTCTTTCCCCTCACCTCCACTCCCTAACTGTTCTACTTTTTAGTAGTTCTAATATTAGAAAAGACAGTTCTTCCAAAAGGAAACTTGAAACCAAGTTATGAATGTTACTAACATTTGTCCTTGTACCTCTCCACCTAAGGCCATTGCCTCCCTGTCTTGCTGTTCCCTGGATACCAGGTCCTTCCTGTAGAGAGGACTTTGTATCTGCTGGGTGGCCAAGGAGAAAATCGCCATGGAGATTCGTGGATAAGAAGGAGCTCCAGAACTATCTTTTCCTTTATACTTCCCTGTACTCCTGGACCATTCTGTTTCTAGCTCTGTGTTGTCCATTTGAAAGGCTGTCAGACTGTCACGTAGTTACTGCAGAAGCAACAATGGCCAAGAGGTGGCTGGGGACACACACAGACATGCTGATTGTTTTTAAATCACCTCATATTGTGGCCAACGTATGCATTTTCATAACTTCTGCACAACACAGATATTAGGGATGTGCAGAAGAAATTACAGACTAAAACAGCAAAGTTTAACCTTGCTGTGATGCCGTCCCTCCTGTGGCTTCTTCCTTTCTAGGGACAGATGCTCTGGTCTCCAAGGTATTTTGAACACTACAGCCTGACATGGCTCTTAAAATGTGGCAGGATTCCAAGAAGGGAGCTCTTCCTGATGTCCACCCTGGGGGATTGTCTTAGGAGCACAATTGTAAGTCAGATGCTTCTAGGGCATCCCATTCTTTCCCTCCTATCTCCCATCCTAACGCTCCCGTTTGTTCTGTGCGCTGGTCCTACACCAATTGAGGTTGTTGTATTTTCACCACGCACAAATGTGTTTGGCCCATGGTCACTCCCAGCCCTGCGGTAGTTCTTCCCGCTGTGCACGCAGCCCCGTTCTCATTTCTCTTCTCGTGTGGGATGACTTCCCATGCACACTTGCTCACTACTGCTGGGTGTCCTCTAGCACAGTTGCACCTAAGCGCTTAGGACTGAAATGCACATTTGATCGTAAATTGCCCCTTTAAGCTGGGGCGTCATATTGATTTGTTTGCGTGAGAAAGAACATCACGGCACTGGCTGTGAGAACGGGGGGTGCAGCTGCAGAGGACTGACAGCCACTCTCATGGTCTCACCATGCTGGCTGTGTGGCAGGACCTCCCACCCACCACCATGATCCCCCACCCACCAGGCAGGAAATGAGACCAGACCTGGAAGAGGAGCGCCAGGGTCAGCACCAGGCAGGCCGAGCCGCAGATACCGTAGCCGGCCAGCAGGAGGAGCCGTCGCCCCAACCTCTCCACAGTGGCTGCCTACAGGAGAACGGGTGGTGAGGAGTGCGGTGGCACCTGGGCCTCACCCGAGCCTCCACCCCCCTGTGCAAGCCCTCCTTAGGTGCACACTGTTGCTCCCTGTTACCTCGGCTTATTTGGTGTGGGCCCTTCTGTGTTGGTCATTTACAGACCCCCTGGATCTCGGCTCCCTGCAGCCCACCCCACACTGGAATAATCCCATTTTCTAGTTTCTGAATGTGATGCTTTGATAGCTTGGGGTCTTGCTGACCTGGAGGGACTGCCTCTCCCTCAGTTAGCCAGTGCCTGGAGGTGGCAAACCAATGCAACTGCTGGAGAGGGGCACTTTCCAAGTTCAAGGAGAAATGCAGGAGGAGGAGGAGGAGGGAGACCCAGAGCAATTCTTAAGACCTTCTTCCTGCTGGTTTCCCTTGGTCCCTCTCTTTTTTTTTCTGGGGCAAGATCGATCCTGCACCCTCAAGACAGGCTGTCATAACTGGGACCTTCTTCCCCATCATCCTGCCTGGAGAAACCCAAGCCAGAAAAATAGCTTTGTCTGTCCTGGAAGAACAGCGTCTGGGAACCAGGCATGGAAGAGGAAGTTTGCCTTTCTCTCTAACTTCTCCTAGCGGGAATGAGGATTACTCTGTGTTCTTATCAGGCCATCCCAGAATGGCAATGATAATCTGTCCACAGGGCTGTCTGGAGGACTGGAATTGTGAGTCTAGTGATAGCACAAGCCTGGGGCTGGGCCAGCCCGGAGGGATGGAGCAGAAAGCAGAATGTTAGAGAAATGGAAGGAAGGAAGAAACCAGGGAGAAAGGGCTGGGCCAGAGTTTGGGCTGTTGGAGAAGGAGCAGGCTGCTGCGGTGGGGGTGGGGGGTGGGGTAGGGGTGGGGGGTGCGCATGTCCGAAAGGTAGAAAAGGAAGGTGGGGCCGGGCTGAGCTCCATTCTCCTCCCACCTTTCCTCCTGTTCTTAACTTCTTCCTGCCATCTCATCTTGTCTGAGATAGACTGGGGCTTAAGCTAACTCTGGGAAAATACAAAAAAGTGATAACTAACTTTCTAAAAACAACTCAAGAACTAGGACTCCAGTCACAAGGTGATTTGGAATCGTTCTAGGTTAAGGGGTATCACGGTCCTGGCATTGTTGGGGTGAGCATCTCTGGCCAGCCACGTTCTCTACTGCACCGTGGCTACATATTAAATATTAAGGGATTCTGAGTAAATATTGATCTCTGAAATCACTGCATTGGACTAAAAATTAACACCTGCATCACAATGATGTCACAAAGGAGGACACTTGGATTTGAAGGTATAACGCATTGCGAGTCAAAGTCACACAGGCAGTAGATATGTGACCCCAGGACTGGGACCAGTAACACCAGGGTGACCCCGTGGGGCTTCGGTCTACTGCAAGAGGGGCCTGCTTGGACACTCTGAGCAGGGAGGCTGCTACACGGTCACTCACCGAGATGACGGTCATCACTATGTTGACCACGCCAACTGCCACCGTTATGTACTGGGAGTGAGCGGCCTCCACCCCTGCCGACGTGTAGATGGAGTCTGCATAGTAATTGACCTACAGCACAAACAGGGCTGTGAGGGGGTGCCCGAAGACCGGCCACGGGCTTCACCTTGTCATCTGAGCCACAGTCTTGAAAGCCTGCGTTGGGGACCCTGGGATATGAAGGAGGCAGCTGGTGGTATTGGTGGAGTTAGGACACCTGGCTCTCCCTCTGAGCCTCTGATTCTGCCCCTATAAAGACCACAGGACTCCCACCTGGGCAGTCTACCTCTCTCAGGATCACTTGCTAAACTCCTTGAGTCCTGAAGGCCTGGTGCCACCTCTTCCTGACACTTTCCTTGAGCATCAGTTGAGTCACCTGTCCCACCTCCTGGGGTTCCGAAAGCCACTCTGGATTTTTTTCATATCTCTGTGCTCCCCTCCCACTATTGACAGACAAATACAGTTACAGCAAACGAAGCATGTCCCCAGAAGCTGATGCCAGATTCGCTGCCCTGCCGAGTCCAAGATGGGCTCCTGACCAGGCTGGTTCAACCAACCACCCTGACGCCTGAGATCCAGACAGAGGGCTAGTTCCTCTCTGGGCTCTTGCCCCAGAGGAGAAAGAACTGTTGGTAGGTGACATTTGCTCTCAGGGACTGCGAAGCAAAGAAAAATGCTCTATAGCAAGAGGAGAAAAAGTATGAGGGGGGAAGGGGAGGTGGTGCTTTGAGGCCGAGAGCCGCCCTGTCTTCCCCACACGCTGTATCCCTTCCAGCACGTGTGGCTGGCATTCCTTGGCGGAGCCTCAGTTTCTGTAAATCAATGATTAATGCTTTATCTTTTTCCAGTGGGGCCTGTTCCTCGCACAGGAAACACCCGAGGGATAAAGTGCACGTGTCTCTCCCAGCGCCCACGTGCTGGCATGGGCTTTGCCGCTTGGCGCTGCGGGCAGAGCTGATTTTGCACGTGAGCCGCTCTGAGCGACAGTTCTGCGAGTTTAGTTCACTCCCGATGGCTTAGGGACCGGAAGTCCCCTTCCCGCAGAGCCGCACCCTCGGTGCGCTGCCCACCCGCGCATCGGCCCCCCGGTGGACGGTGGACGGTGCACGCACCGCGTTGATCCCGGACAGCTGCTGGCCGGCCATGAGCACGATGACGGAGATGAGCTGCCAGCGCAGGGACCGGAAGGTGAACAGGTTGAGCACCGACAGGTGGCCGGCGGCGCGCTCCGCCCGCTCCTCCGTGCGCATGTCCTCCATCTCGGCCTCCACGTCCGCGCGGCCTCTCAGCCTCCTCAGAGCTGCGAGCGGAACAGCCTGCGCTAACCATGTGGATACGCTGTCCACCCCCCTCCCCGGCCGTGCCCCAGTCCAGTTACCATCCTTCACCCGGCCCAAGCTCTGCTCTCAGCCCTGTCCTCCTCCTTAGCCAGTCCATACCTGCCCCTGCTTTGCTTTTTCTTTTTTTTTTTTTTTTTTTGGCAGGACTGAGGTTTGAACTCAGAGCTTCTTGCTTGCAAAGCAGGCGCTCTACCATTTGGGCCACATCTCCAGATCATTTGCTTTGGTTATTTTGGAGATTGGGGGAGGGGGGCTCTTGAACTATTTGCCCAGATTGTCCTTGAACTGCGATCCTCCGAATCTCAGCCTCTCAAGTGGCTAGGATTACAGCTGTGACCCACATGCGGCGGACTTGCTTTGCTGCTTTGTGCGTACCGGGAGGGCACCTTGGAGTGGCGCAAGGTGGGGGGCAGGAAGGGAAAGGGCAAGAGAGCTTTGGGGAGCAGCCAGCCTCCCCAGTACCTCGCCGCGTGGTCTCCTCATCTCCTTTCTGAATCAAGGTATAGCGGGGGCTCTCGGGGAAGAAGGGCAGGGAAAGGAGTTGAATCAGCGCGGGGACACCGGTGAGAGCCAGGAGCACCGGCCGGAAATGTCTTGCTTTTCCTACCATCGAATATGATTGGACAGTTTGACCCCTAGAGAAAATGAATCCACATCACTTTCCTAATTTGGGGCTGGGAATGACATAATCTCTACCTCACTTGACTTGGACTCCAGGAGAATATGGGCCCAGCACTGTGCCTGAGTGAGCTCCTTAAGAAGGCTTGGGTTAAGGAGGGGTCCTGAGCTTCCAGTAAATAAGTGGGGTTCACCCCCCACCTCCCACCCTGCTATGTCAAGGGGTGAGTTATTTAAGCTCTCTGAGGTTCTGTTTTCTCCCCACTGAGATAACAATAGTGACTGCACTACTCCTTAAGTATCAGCTAAGGAGGGGCCAGCATGGCGTCCACTCAGTCCCCTGTGGCAGATGCCTCTCTAGTTGAACTGGGGCTGAACTGGGGCAGTCTGAGAATATTATTCCTAATGAACTTCCCCGGCCATCCAGTGGCTTCTGAGTCTCGGATGTCCTTCAAGATGCTGAGACTACAAAGAAATGGATTCAGGTCTTGGGGTGTGGCTCTGTGGCAGAGCATTTGCTTAACATTTATGAGACCCTGGGTTTGCTCCCCCGCACCGCAGGGGGAAAAAGACATGGGTCCATCCCTTCACGTTCAAGCCATATTTGCTGGTCCATTTTCAGCTCCTGCCTCCATGACTGTTTCATCTCCTGGGCCTCCACCACATCCCCCCACCCTCTTGCTCAGGCAATGACCTTGCCTTTCAGTTCACTGAGAAAACAGAAGTACATGTTGCCAGGTGCCGTCTCCACCCACATCACAGGAATGGAAGCGGCATACCTGCTCACCCTGCACCCAGGTCCTGCTGCACTGTTCAAGGCACCCACATTTTTCCCAGCCTGAAAAAAAAAATCTCTCAACCCTACTCCCCCTACCAGCTGCAACCCAACTTCTTTTCGTCCTGTTGTTCAAAATTCCCAAGAGTCTCCGTCAGGGTTCATGTCCAAGTCCTCTCCTCTCCACAGTTGATCTCCATCACTCACCAACACTGCCCTGGGCTAGGTCACCTGTGTCCCTGGGTCACACATTGCCCAACCCAAAGATTACCTCTCAGGCCTCCTCTGACTTGGTCCATTTGTAACCTTGGGCTCAACTGGGTGAGTGGATGGGCCTCGATCCTTGTGGTCCCAACTGTCCCTTGACTTCCAAATGCTGCTGGTTACCTGTGACATTGCCCAAGATGGCCTGGAGGCTGAAGATCTGTGCCAGGAACAGTCCAATGATGACGAACACTTCTGTCATGGTTCCTATCATGCCCCTCAGGTTCTTGGGGGCCAGTTCTCCCAGGTACATGGGAAGAGCACTGTACGAGATGCCTGGTTCCGGCCAAGTACAAATCAGAGCCTCCCACGAGCAGTCCCCAGCCTCCCATGCTGTGGAAGCCTGAGGTCAGTTCAGTTCCATTTCCTGTCTCTGAGCCCCTCTGTGGCTAAGATGGAAATAGGCCAACTCCAACTTTTTCGTTTGGACTTAAAGCCCCTTCAGAGTCCTCAGCACCCGTGGGGACAGGGCTAGGGTGTGAAGAGGGTACGCTGTCCTTCCCAGCTGCTGGGCTAGAAGGAGGAGAGGAATCTAGGCCTCTGTGTGTCCCCAGGGCTTAAAGATAACTCTTAAGTCTTATCTTTAAGTAGGACTTATTTTTTTAAGTGGTGCTTAAAAATAATTCTTTTTTTTTTTTTTTTTTTTTTTTTGGTAGTACTTCAGTTTAAACTGAGGACCTCCTGCTTGTGCTGCCCTTTCTCCATTAGTTTATTTTTTAGGTCTTGTGCTTTTTACCTGGGCTGGCCATTTTGGGTGGTGATCCTCCTACTTCCACCTCCTGTGTAACCGAGATTACACACGTGAACCACCGTGCCTTGCTACTAGTTTCTGATATTACTTGTATGCCTTTTTTGTTAATGGAAGAAATCACTATATTTAAGAAACTCTGTTCATCTACTGACTGAGATATATTCTGTGTTCCTTTTGCTTGAAGCCTTTTGTTTGCAGTTTAAATTATACAGCCTTTTTGGAAGACAACTCGTAAAACCTTTTTGGTTGTTTTGTACTTTGCAGTTAGTGTGTTTCCTTTCCTTTCTTTCCCCTCTCTCTTCCCTCCCCTCCCCCCTCTATCCTTCCCCTCCCCTCTTCCCCTTCCTCTTCTTTCCCTCCCCCTCCTCTTTCCCTCCTCCTCCTCTTCCCCTTTCCCCCTCCTTTTCCCCTTCCCCTCCTCTCACCCTTCCTCTCCCTGTTCCCCTCCCCCTCCTCTCCCCTCCCCTTCCTTTCCCTTTCCTTTCTCTTTTTCTTCTCTCTCTCTTTGATTTTTTTTGGTGGCACTGGGATTTGAACTCTAGACCTCACATTTACTAGGCAGCTGTACTACCACTGGAGCCATATCCCCAGTTTGTTGTGCATTTCAAAAGTTCCTTCCCTGATAGACGATTTTGTTACATAAAGGGAAGGAGCTAGAACATGTGAGGTTTGCAAAGGCCGGGGAGTGGGGACAGGGGAGGCCCTGAAAGGAAAAACAGGCAGAACCACAAGAAGCCTGGGCATGTGTGTCTAGGAGCCCTTCCCCTGCCCATTGCACTAAGCCATCCTGGGGCTTCAGTGGCCTCCCCTCACCCCCCCACCAAGTACCTGCACAGACTCCCACCAGCACTCGGGAGAAGATGATCAACTCAAAAGCCCTGGCCACTTTGCTGACTCCCATCAGGATGGCAGGGACGATGGCGAAGATGTCGTTGATCAGCAGGGTTCCCTTTCTGCAAGACACAGGGTGGGAGGGCAGCAGCTGTGGTAGAAGCTCCTCAGACTTCAACTTCCATGTTCCCAGAGGTGCTGGGAACACACCTGGGAGTGGACTGGTAGATGGGGCTTTGGACAGAAGTGTCCCCCAAAATCACAGCCCTAACGTGGTGGTGTTAGCTGGAGGGGCATTGGTGACTAGGATGGGGGGGTGCTCATGGGGGGATTAGGGCCCTTAGAAAAGAGACATGAATCTGGGTGTGATGGCACATGCCTGTGGAGGATCTCAGACTGAGGTGGGCCCCAAGCAAAAATTTCGGACTCTACCTGAAATACAACTAAATCCAAAAAAGCCTGGGGGAGTGGCTCAGGTCTTAGATCAACTTCTGAGTAAGGGCAAGGACCTTAGTTCAAGCCACAGTAATGCCAAGAAGAAGAAAGAGAAGGAGGAAGGGGAAGAGGAGGAGGAAGAGCTGAAGGAGGAGGAAGATGCAAAAAAAAAAAAAAATGGGGGCTGGATGTGGAGCTCAGTGGTAAAACACTTGCCTAGCATGTTTGAAACCCTGGTGTTTGATCCCTAGTGTAGGAAGACAGACAGGAAAGAAGGAAGGAAGGAAGGGAGGGAGGAAGGGAGGGAGGGAGGGAAGGAAGGAAGGAAGGAAGGAAGGAATGAAGGAGGGAAAGGAAGGAGGGAAGGAAGGAGAGACATGCAAGACCCTCCCCAAGGGCTGGTCTGGAAATATCAGCTGTCTACAGCCCCAGGATCTGCACAGCCTTTGTGCACCCAGATGGCCCCTGCCTGTCACAGGTGCATCGGGGCTGATGGGTGTTTATGAAGTCCCCTGCTAATCCACTCTCTAGCGGTCTCTCTAGGATCCACATGTGCAGACTGGATTTTCCTGGCCACTTTTCTCTCCCTAGGTCTGCCACAGCCTGAGGGAGTGCCTCCCCCACCACCCCAGAACCACAGGAGGCTCAAGGAGAACAAGAAGCCCATATGGATCCTATCCTCCTCCGACCTCAGACCCCTCACACTTCCTGACCTCCAGGAAGCCTAGGGGCCTCAGGAAGGCTTGGGCTGTCAGGATCCCACTGGACAGGCCTGGCTCCACCACACCTCCTGGCTCAGTCTCCTCCTCTGCCATAGCTGGGCAGTGATGAGATGGGCTCTGTGGTTTCTTCAACACCCAAGTCCCATGACCGTGGGATTCAGACAAGGAAGCCTGGACTTCTAGAAGAACCCAGTCCTTCTAGGGTAGCTGAGAATAGATATCTGAATTGAAGAAAAACAGAGCTAGGGCATCATTAGGATGCTTTCTTCATTCAAGTGCAAGAGGAAGGGCAAATTCACTATTCGTCAAGCATCACGAGGACCAGTCCATGGTCCTGGTTTAATACACAGAGAATTAATTTCCAATCAGCAATAACAATGTTCTCTCTCTCTCTTTTTTTTAACGGTACTGGGGTTTGAACTCAGGGTGCTAAGCAAGCATTCTACCACTAGAGCCACACCTTCGGCCCTTGAATTGCTTTTCATCAGCGGGCTTTCCTCCCACATACTGCCTGACCTGACGTCAGGTTCAAGTGTGGCTGTGGATCCCGAGTGAGCAGGGCCTGACCACACGCCTCACCCTGAAACCTTGGCTCATGCTTCCCCTTCCTGGGGACCTTGACCATGGCTCCTTATCTGGGCTGTCATGTCTCTGCAGCACCCAGGCTTGGGCTGAAGGTTGGTGAGTCCATGTAAACATGCAAAGTGCAAAGGCCTGGTCTTCATTTGCACACAGGATAGGAGACCGAGGCACATGGAGTGACTCAGCCCCAAACCTCAGAACATCGTGCTCTGCTGAGGCAGGACTGGGAGCCAAGGCCACTGGCGCCAGAGTGAAACCCCATCCACAGCATTTGTCCAACACCTGCTAGAAGTGCTTACAAGGCTGTGAGCTAAGTCCAGTGAAGACTCTGACCTCAGGGGCTGCACCACTGCTGGGCCAGGAGATGGGAGGATTCTGTTCCCTTGCAAGTGCCTGGGAAAGAAATTCCATAGAACTCGGGGACTGGCTTTCAGTCTGCCATCTGTGGCAAAGTGGAGACTCGGTTTCAGGTCTCGTGCTATTCAGGGCTGCCCTCCTCCCCACCAGGTCCACAGTTGTGTGGTTTGCTAACATGAATTTCAAGTCAGGGATGCATGTCTGCTGTTTACCTGCCGCACTTATCAACCAGCAGGCCAACAATCAGTGACCCCAAGAAGCCTCCCAAAGGAAACATGGACACAGTGCAGGACCACAGGAGCAGCAGAACTGTGTCATCCATGAAAGTTCCATGTCGCTCAAAGTAGGTTTCATTGTAAAATGACTTCAAGACCTGAAAAACATGGCCCCATCCTCAGCCTGCAATATTTTGCATCTCAGAGAAGTTGATGATGTAAGTGCTCTCTGCACAGGGGCATGTCTCTGTCAGTACCCACAGGACACAATTGAACCTGCTGATTCTCTGCTGGCAACTGAGGGTAAAACAATGTGCTGTGTGATGGGGTGGGAAAGAAAACAGACCTCACGAAAGCTGTTAAAAATACAGTATTAAAAAATTCATTTTTTAGAGCCGTACTCTGCCAGAGGCAACAGAAGAAAGGTTTTTATTAATTGTGTGACTTTAGGCAAATTAAATAACCTTGACAAGCCTTAATTTCTTTATAACTCATGAGGAACTTATATATATATATGCATATATACATATATAAGTATATGTATATATATATACATATATACATATATATATACATATATATGCATATATATATATATACATACACATATATATAATATGGAGAATTTGTGAGCATTAAGTGTAATAAAGCAATCGTACATAGCTTGACTCAGAGAAGATGTCCCAGGGCTGGGGTGTAGCTCAGTGGTAGAGTGCATGTCTAGCATGTGTGAAGCCCTGAGTTCTATTCCCAGCAACACACACACACAGACACCCACACACACACGAGGAAGAAAAAGAAAGACAAAGGGAGGAGAAAATTAGCATAAGGAATGGTGACTCATACCATAATCCCAGCACTTGGGAGGCAGAGAGAGGAGGATGGTTAGTTCAAGGCCAGCCTGGGTTACACAGTGAATCAAGGCTAGCTCGAGGCACAGAGTGAGACCCCATCTCAAAGATCTAAGAGCTGGGGATGTAAGCGAGTGGTGGAGAGCTTGCCTAGGATGTATGAGGCTGTGGGTTTGATCCACAGCACTGTAAGTAAAACCAACACACCAAAAGACAGAAACCAAAACACAGAAAGCAGAGGTATTATCAGTGGCAGTAATAAACACATATAGGTAGTTCATGCATGCACATGCAAATATGCATGTTAATATATGTATACAAATATAATCTATGCCGTGAACAACCACTACAGTCCCTCCTACAAAATGGTAGCTGTAAATTAATGACAGTGATTTTTTTGGGGGGTGTGGATACAGGGCCTCACTATGTTGCTCTGGCTGGCCTCAAACTCTTGACCCTCCTGTTTCAGTCTCCCCTGTAGCTGGGAGCACAGGCACACACCATTGTGCCCATCCAGCTGGCTCTCTCTTTTTCTTTTTTTTTTTTTGTGGCACTGGGGTTTGAACTCAGGGCCTCATGATTGCTAGACAGGCACTCTTACCACTTGAGTCACTCTCCAAGCCCTTTTTTTATGGTGGATTTTTTTTTTTTTGAGATAGTGTTCTGAACTATGTCTGGGGTTGGCTTAGAACCAGGATCCTTCTGATCTCTGCCTCCTTAGTAGCTAGGATGACAGGTGTGAACCACAGGCACCTGGCAATGACATTGATTAAAAAAAAAATACCATAGAACTCACACGTCCAAGCGAATAGTAACTCCACCTGCTCCACTAGAGATGCTGGCATCTGTCCCCTTTGACCCTTCAGGGGTGTCCTTTCTTCAGGTGTCTTTCCTATATCATTGGTCTCCTCCTCTCTATCACATCCTTCCCATCAGTGTACACGTGGCTGCCACCCTGGGGAACCCTAACTTGACCCCTCATCACTCCACTAAGCTTCATTTGTAGCTTTCCTGGTCAGGGAACTCCTGAACTGGGTCTGTGCCCACCGTCTCTGCTTCATCCCACTCCAGTCAAGCTTTTGTCTGCAGCTGTGGCATCTGCAGCCCTTGCCAAGGACCCTCACGTTCCACTCAGTCCTCAGTCCTCATCTGGACTCATCAACACAGGATGCTCCTCTGAACCTCAGCTTTCTCTCTGCCTCATAAGGTCCCTTTCTCTTCTTTCCTTTGCCTCTTCTCATCCTGATCTCATCCCTAAATGCTGCGGTTTATCCTTGACCCATTCTCTTCACCATCTATAGGTGGCCTTCCCCTGTGACAACTGTGGGGCTGAGGCCCAAGGAGCCTGAGCTGAGAATCCAGGTCACTCTGGGACCCTGATGTGTTCAAAAAGGAGGCCACTCCTGAAGAGACACCCGCAGTCACCCCTGGTTCTCAGAGGTGGCACCCAGGGGTGTCCCATGAGAAGATGGTGGCTTCAAAAGGAAGACAGGAGCTGCCTCCCACCCCTGGGCCCTGCTCACTTCTCACCACTTGCCTTATACCTACTTTGTGTGGCGTGTTGACCACAGCAATGTTGTAGCCGTACTGGAAGGCAGAGCCAAAGGCTGCACTCACGGTAGCCAACACCAGTGTGGGCTGGAGTCCCTGTGGGAGATGAGGACCAAGGTTAGGAACACTAGGTGTTGGTCTTTGTGACTTCCAGGAATGTGGAGGAAGTGAGGACAGCTGGACCTCCATTCCCCTCCACCTCGGACCAGAAGTAGGAGTCAGGGGACCCAATCATGCACAGGGAAGGAAGAAGAGGGGCTGTTGGGAAAGGTGGTCCAACTGGGGTCCCCAGGCTCTGAGGCCGTGTTTCCTGTTTCTTGGTGCACAGCCAGTTCCTCCTGTGTGCTGGGCACTGCAGGGGCCGAATGGAGCAGGGGATACAGGGGGAATGGGCCAGTGAAGGGCTGCCTGGTGAGGGAAGGCCAGAAGACAGACCAACATACTCTCCCTCCAGTGATCTCACTCTGAGGACAATAAAACAGGGTGGTAGGACAGATGCCCATGGGGCCAAGGGGCTATTTTCCATAGAATGGGAAGAGAAGGCCTCTTTGAGAAATGCCCACTGAGCTGAGACCAGTGTAGACGGATAGAGCCCCTATGTCAGGAACTGAGGAAAGAATATTTCAGACAATGAAGCCACAGACAGAGGCTCTAGAGGGCAACTGGACATTAGGAAGCCGAGCTCACTTAGCCTGAGCTCACTAAGGCATCACAGTCCCTGGGAACATGGGTTTCCATTGCTGCCACAACACCCAGCTGGTGGAGGCTGGCCAGAAGGCCAAAGTCCCAGTACAGAAGGGGCAGGCATAGGGCTAGGGTGGGGTCTGTGGCTGTCTCAGGAGCTCCTAGAAACCCAATCTCCGGCTCCTCTGCTGGTTTCCTCTCACCCCAACCCGCATGGCCAGCTGCCCTCAGCCCTGAGCCCAGTGCCAGCCAGCCAGAAGGGCCAGGGTCTAGGCATTCTTCAGAGGCTATGTTCCTTTTGCCTCTAAGGGTGGGAGAACAGGAGGGGTTGGGGGTTAGAAGGAGGCATACCAGCTGGGTGCTGGTGGCTCACGCCCGTTATCCTAGCTACTCAGGAGGCAGAGATAGGAAGATCGAGGTTCAAAGGCAGCCCAGGCAAATAGTTCATGAGACCCTATCTTGGAAAAACCCATCACAAAAAAGGCTGGTGGAGTGGCTCAAGGTGTAGGCCCTGAGTTCAAGCCCCAGTTACCCCACCCAAAAAAGGGGGCATACCAGAGCTACCCATTCCCCTCAAATGTCCCTGGAGATGGACTGAACACCACAAGCTGTGTCTCTTGTGGATGGTGGCTCCTCACTCTGCTCTCTCCCCATCTGCCTCCTGGATAGATGTGTTTCCAGGGACTTTAACCTCCCTCTAAAAGTCCCCACACTTGGTGGGAAAGGGACAGAGTCAGTGACAGTTTCCTAGAATTGGCACTTACCCCCTCCCTGGGTTTGGTGGGCAGAGGGGTCCCCGTCCTTCCTTTCTCCATCCTTGTTCAGATGGGAGAACAGTTATGCTCTGCCTTCCAGATGACACCCTGGCTGCCTGCTGGACCCGCTCTCTTCTTGGCCTGCCTGGGTTTCTGATCCTTTTGCCCTCTGGACCCTATTAGCTTTCTCAGGAGTGCATTCTCCTTGGACAAGCTGTTAAGATATGCTTCCTTCCCACTCCCCACCCAGAGATAGAAGGGTTTGAATTCATGGCCTCATGCTTACTACGCAGGTGCTCTACCACTTGAGCCACTCTGCCAGCCCAAGACTGATAAGATATGCATTGGTGTTTTGCCAGTGATATTCACACAGTGTGAATTTTGTCTTTGCACTAACCCCCAATCAGAAGCTTCCCAAGGAAGGGTAAAAATGTTGCCTGACATTGGTCCCTGGAAGTGAGGAGTTTGGAAAACAAGTCATGCTGGAGGTTCAGACCCAGGATGCTTCTGGTGTGTCATTTCCCATAGATGCTTCCTTGGATACATTGGGACTAATTGTCCACTTTGGGGAAAGAGCAAATGAAATGTTTTTATAAAAATCCCACAACCTAGGGCTGGGAGCATGGCTCAAGTGGTAGAACACTTGCCCAGCAAGCAGCAGGCTCTGAGTTCAATCTCCAGTCCCAAAAAACAAAATAAAACCCTGCACAACTTTAGTATTTCTGATTATGCTTAAAATTTAAGTGTAGTTAAAAATAATCACCATGAAATGCTTACTAGAAATAATTATCAAATGATTGCTAATTACTAAAGCTAGTTACCAACAATTATCAGAAATAATTACCATGGTTTCGATTTGGGGATCTCAAAGTCCCATGTACTGAAGGCTTGTACCTTCGCTTGGGGCCATGAGAAGGTGGCAGGAATCTTTAAGAGGTGGGGCCTAGTGGGAAGGCTTGGGTCATGGGGGGTGCCCTTGAAGGAGACTGTGGGATATCGGTCTCTTCCTTTTCTTTTGCTTCCTGGCTATGAGGTGAATGGGCTTCCTCTGCCATGTGCTCCACCATGATATGCTGCCTCAACACAGGCCCAAAGCATCAGGGTAAACTACCCATGGAACGAAACCTCTAAAACTGTGAATCAAAATAGACCTTTCCTTTTTAGAAGTTGATTATCTCAGGTATTTTGTTATGGTAAAGGAAAACTAATACATATATTAAATAAGTCAATAAAATATTGAACATAGGAGCTCATGTCAGAATCACCTCTATAGAGAAGAAGAAGAAGGAAGAAGAAGGAAAAAGAGGAGGAGGATGAGGAGAAGGAAGAAGAAGAAGAAGAGGAAGAGGAAGAAGAAGAAGAAGGAGGAGGAGGAGGAAGAGGAGGAGAAGGAAGAGGAGACAGCCAGGCATGGTGTTACATGCCTGTAATCCCACCCAGCATTTGAGAGGCAGAGTCAGAAAGATCATGAGTTCCAGACCAGCCTGGGCTACACAGTAAGACCTTGTCCCAAAAAAAGAGAATTGGCAATGACTAAATAGATCCTAATGTGTTGGCTGATTGGAAACGAGGGTGCTGCTTCAAAGGATGGTCATGAAAATTACAGAGGAATGTGAAAACATGCTGTGTGAAAGGACCCAAGCAGAAACGCTTGCCCTGGGGAAAAAGCTATCTCGTGGCCAGGGCTCCCAGGAATAGGAGCCCGGTGTGGGGAGCTGTGCTCTCTCTGCCGTGCTCCTCTCTGCCTTCCAAGTCTTCCCTGGGAGGTTGCTCCATATTTGTATTTCTGCTCATGGGCTGCTCAAGGTGGCCATGTTTCCCCCAGGTTCAAGTGCTGGAGACTAAACTTCCAAATTCCTATGCCGGTCCTATTTGGAGATGGGGACTTTGGGAGGTCATTGGGACTAGATGAGGCCATAAAGGTGGCGGCCATGTGATGCACTGTGCCACGTTAGGATGCAGCAGGAGGGCACTCACCAGACCCCAGTGCCATGCCCTGGGAATGCCCATCTTCCAGAACTGTAGGAAATAACTTCTTTCTCTATACATTATTCAATCTCAGGTATCTTGTTATAGCCACAGAAACCAGACTAAGACAAATGCAGTCTAGGCTTTTCTTTCATGGTCCTTATAATTCTTCCAGCCTCTTCCCAATGGCCCAGTGCCAAAACCATCCCAGACTTCAAGGTATTTAGATGTTACTGCAGCACCTCAGTTCCCAGTACCAAAATCTCTATCAGATTCCAGCATTCTGGAGGTGGAGACAGGAGGATATCAAGTTCAAGGCCAGCCTGAGTTCTGTACCCAGTTTGAGGGTAGCCTCAGCCACAAAGAAAGAACAAACCAAACCAACCCCAACAAATAACCTCCGCCCCCACAAGATCTTAGTTCTCTATTGCTGCTGTAACAAAGCACCACAAATGTAGGGGCTTTAGAACACGAATTTACCTGACAGTTCTGCAGTATAGGTATGAGGCAGGCCTCACTGGGCTGCGTTCCTGTCTGGAGGCTCTGGGCTTCAAAGCCCATCTCTTGCCTTTTCCAGCCTCCTGAGGCCTCCTGCACTCCTCAGCTCATGGCCCCATCCTCCATCTTCAAGCTGGCAACATCAGACTGAGCCTTTCTCTTGCTTCTTTCTCTAGTTCTCCCATTGTCCTGGGAGACAATGGGAGGTCAGGGTCAGCTGATTAGCAACCTTCATTCTACCTGCAATTTTATTTTATTTTATTATCTATTTCTTCTGCAGTGCTGGGGTTTGAACTCAGGGCCTACACCTTGAGCCACTCCACCAACTCTATTTTGTGATTTTTTATTTTTCCTGAGCTAAGGTCTCTTGAACTGTTTGCCCAGGCTGGCTTCAAACCTTGATTCTCCTGATCTCTGCCTCCTGAGTAGCTAGGGTTACAGGTGTGAGCCACCAGTGCCTGGCTTAACCTGCAATTTTAATTCCCTTTTTGCCATTGTTACAATATAGTCACAGGTTCTGGGGATTTGGACATTGACACATTTGGGAGGCCATTCTTCTGTTAACCACAATTCCAGTTTGTTTCATGGTATTTTTTTTTTTTTTTTTGTGAGACTAGGGTTTGAACTCAGGGCTTCACACTTGCAAAGCAGGTACTCTACTGTTTGAGCCACACCTCCAGTCCAGTTTGCTATGGTTATTTTGGAGATGGGGGAGCCTCATGAACTATTTGCCTGGGCTGGCCTTAGACCTTAATCCTCCCTGATCTCAGCCTCTCAAGTAGCAAGGATTATAGACATGAGTCACTGGTGCCCGGCTTTTCTAATTAATTTCTAAAGAAACTAGAATGCAGGCCCACCAGATCTTTCAGTTTTATCAGTAGATTCTGGTTTTTTTTTTAGGCGAGTCTCCTGTCTCCTACATGTTCAACTGAGCTGTGTGTGCCTTTCTCAGAGTTGGACACATAAAGTCAGGCTGATGGTAAACCAAGCTCTCTGATGCTTCCACTTCTGCTCAGAACAGTCTTCCCCAAGTCCCAGGTCCTGTGCAGCTCCTTGGGGAGGAGGTCTTCTGGAAGACCTTGGTATTAGTCGGGGTTCTCCAGAGACAGATACATACATGTGTAACTACATGGACACATGAAAGGGAAAATTTTAGGGGAATTGTTTCATGTAATCATGGAGTCTGGGAAGTCCCATGGCAGGACGCATGCAGGCTGACGACCCTGGGATGCTGGTAGCGTGGCTCAATCCAAGTCTGAGAGCATCGGCACCCCATAACCCAAGAAGTCTGTGGCGTAATTCTCAGTGCAAGGCCCAAGGCTGAGAAGCCAGGGAGACCCTGGTGTGAAACCTGGAGGCCCATGGCGTGGAGTTACGACGTCCAAGGTCAGAAGAGGAAGAGCGTGTCTTAGCCCAGGCAGTGTGTGTGTGTGTGTGTGTGTGTGTGTGTGTGTGTGTGTGAGAGAGAGAGAGAGAGAGAGAGAGAAGTCCTTATTGTTCTGATTGGATGGTGTCTGACTACATTGAGGGTAGATCTTCCTTAACTCAATCTACCAATTCTGGAAACATTCTGATAGACGCACCTACAAGTAATGTTCTCTAAATAATCCTCTTCCACCTGACATCTAAAACCATCACAACCATCCTCTTAAAGCCACCTCACCTTCACTTGGCACGCTCTCATACTTTATTACTGATTCCCCCTTTTTTTTTGCGGTGCTGGGACTCGAATTCAGGGCTTCATGCATGCTAGACAAGTGCTCTATCGCTGAGCAGCACTCCAGCCTCACCTTGTATTTTTGAACATTGGATCCATTGCTTGACATAGAGTGATATTTGCTATTTGTAAATAGTTGCTGAGTGCATGTCCTTCAGTCACCTTTCCTCCTCTATCGACCTTGAAAACCTCTTCCTTCCATTCCTATACAAATCCTACCCACCGCTCTGTCTTTCCTGCCATCTGTAAAGTCTCAGCTCACAGTCCTGCCATATTGGTGGAGGGGCCACCTGCTCCTGCCTTCCCCATCCTGCAGCCTTACTTCCAGTCCCCCGATGTCCACCAAAGCCCTGCAGATGTGAAGAGCCTGCCCCAATCCTAAATATAAGACCTCAGGGCTGGCAGAGTGGCTCAAGTGGTAGAGTGCCTGCTTAGCAAGTGTGAGGCCCTGAGTTCAAGCCCCAGGTCTGCCGAAAAAAAATTCAAACTAAATATAACACCTCAAAGCTTTGCAGCCCCCTCCTGTCTTCCGTCAGCAGGCACCGTCTGCGGATATCTTCCAGGAGCTGATGCCCATGACCTCAGCTGCCCCGAAGAGCAGCTTTCTTGCCTCTCCCTGCTCTCAGAGAATGGTGCATCTGAGCTGATCTGTTTTATTCACTATACAGAAGCAATTCCATTTCCCACTAGGACTATAATTAAAGATTAATAATTCAGATTCAGTTAATGTTTGTGCTACCATTCCCCAGCTTTTTCAATGTCATCATTTCTGATACCACGTGTCCTAAGACAGGTGTTTCTAGAGCAGGCTTGGATGAGAGGATGAATTCAGCTGTGAGCAAACACCCTGCAACCCCTCGCCTGTGGGGGCCACAGAGAAGAGTCAGTTTCACGGGCCAAATCTGATGCCTCCCATCTGGCCCCACAGAAACTGTTTCTGTTAGAAAAACTGTATCACCAGGAGCCGCTCAGTGGCTAACTCAGCAGGGTAAGGGATGGCTGTCCACATGATTCAGAGCTGGCAACTGGCCACTCTGAAGAGAGACAGCTGGGTGTCCAGCACAGAAGTGGGTGATGAGGTTTGCATTCCACGTCAGGCTTGTCTCATTTCTGATGTCACAGACAACTAGAGGACACAACCAGTCCCAGGAAGAAGCTCCATGTAGACCCGTGGAACAGGCACCTCTCCCCTAATGTAATTACTGCTGCAAAATGGTTTGTGGGAGGTCTTTCAGCTCCTCCTTTTCTGGGTGCACTTCCGACACCTTGTTCTTCTTGGCGAAAATCCGATTGATCTCTATAAATGTCTTGGCCTTGGTCTCGGGGACCACCAGGAAGATGTAGGCAGTGGTGAGGAGACAAATGACGGCAAAAATGATGAAGCTGTAGGGGCCGAGGCCAAGCTGTGGGATGAAGCACCAACAAGTGAGGCTATGTGGACAGGGGTGTGTTCTAGAAGGCTCCTGCCTCTTGGTTTGGGGATTTGGGTGACATCAGGGCCCGGTTGCACTCACTTGAATGAACGGAAAGATCAGGCCCACGGTGAAGTTGGAGAGCCAGTGGACACTGCCACCCACCATGAAGGCGGCTGGCCGGGAGGACTGCAGGAAGATCTCAGTGATGAGCAGAGCGGGGATGGGACCTGAGGAAGGAGGGAGGGAAGGTAGGGAAGCTGTCTTCCCTGCAGGCAGAGCAAGCCACAAAGGGTCCTTGAGCTCCTGGTGTGCTGGCACCTTGGACACCTTGTCTGGGTTTGGGGGACAGGGGGGTTTGTGCGGCAGCTCACAAGGATGCCACACATAATGGATGACAACCTGTGCAAGTGGCCAGCACTCCCTTATAAGACTTCTTCTGCCAGTCGCACAGGTTTTTGACCTACAGGCCTAATGATGCTCCCCCAGCCCCTGTGCGACAACTGCGTTGTTTCCAGGGAACTGAAACCATGAGACCAGCCTGGGAGCACTTACTGGGCCCGAGGGCATGTCCTATGACGTAGACAATGACGCAGGTGATGCTGATGTAAGGCATCCAGGAGATTGTGTCCTGTGGGGAAGGCAGGTGGTTAGCACCTGGCAATGCCAAGACCAGCTGGGACGGGGACCTTCAGGAGCCTTGGTTCCCCACGGGGGCAGCCGCACTGCCCAGGGGCAGGGGATGGCACCTGGCTGTTGCAGGAGCCATCTTGATCAGCTCTATAAAGTCAGCCGAGAGGGGGCTGTGACATGAACACATGGTCCCCAGATCTCTGACAGCTGGATTTGTTAGATGGATTCATTTTGCTGCCTTGTCCTCTCACTATAGTGAGAGCCCAGAGTGGGGGCGGAGGGGGCAGCCAGCACAGCCCGTGCCCTTCTTTACCTGTAGTGCCAGTGCAACTGTCAGCACGATGCAGGCTGTGAGGCAGGTGGAGAAGCCGAGGATGAGCAGAAGCCGTCGTCCCCAAAACTCCACCACGAACACCTGGGAGAGACGGAGGGGAGGCTCAGGAGCCAGGCCAGCTGCAGCATGGCTTAGGCTGTCCGAACCAGAAAGCCCTCTCTGTCCCTCACACCACCTTCCAAGGGGCTGGAGTGGAGCTGTGTGTCCACCCACGTGTATGCACACAGTTGCATTCTCACGCACACAGCCACATGCCCTTGGGTGGGCAGAGTCCACCCTTGGATGAGACCCCACGTCAATGGCTTGTTAACATGGTAGCCTGAAGGCAGGCACCAGTGGCTCGTCTGTAATCCTAGCTACTCAGGAGGCAGAGATCAGGAGGATTGCGGTTCGAAGCCAGCTGGGGCAAACAGTTCATGAGACCCTATCTTGAAAAAAACCAAACACGAAAAGGGGCTTGGTGGAGTGGCTCAAAGTGTCGGCCCTGAGTTCAAACCCCAGTACCACGAAAAAAACAAAACAAAACAAAAAACATTGTGGCCTGCTTTTATTTGTTTTGTTTTTGGTGTACTGGGGTTTGAACTCTGGGCCTTGCACTTGCTAGGCAGGCGCTCTACCACTTGAACTACTCGATTAGCCCCCTGTGGCCTGGCCTGTTTTAAACCTGAGCCCACCATGACACAGGAAACCAGATAACAGGATGCACCCAGGAGACTGTGCATGGAGGCCAGGCTCCTATCCGGTGACTGAACATCATTGAGGTACCATCCAGGCAACGGGCCATGAGCAGCAGGTGCTTGCAGGGCCACCGAGATGCCCCATGGAGATGTCCCCTCCACTCCTGTATGCTGCGGCCCTGGACACTTCAGCAGCCCCAGATGTAAGAGGCCAGAGCAGAGCCATCTGGCATGTTGGGAGTTTTTAGAGTGGGGTGGGCCTCCACTTTTGGGGGCCCATGGGCTGCTCCCTACTGGACTCAGGCCATGAAGGTTGGAACCTTCCCCACTTCCCTAGATGTCCCTCTGTCCTTGGTGGCCGGTGAGGCCTCAGCTCCCTGGACACTCACAGTAACGATGGTCATGAACACGTTGACAGCCCCCGTGCCAACTGTCACGTACTGGACGTCTTGGCTCTTGACCCCAGCACTGAGGTAGATCTCGTCTGCATAGTAGTAGATCTGGAAGACAAAGTCAGGGGCTGGGAGGGGTATGGACAGCTGGGCCCCTCGGGGCTGCAGCCTGGACAGTGCCATCTGCTCCCGAGCCTCGGGGCCGCCCCCATACCGCGTTCACTCCCGACAGCTGCTGGCCGCCCATGAGAACAATGATGGAGATGAGTTGCCAGCGCAGGGTGCGCAGCTGGAACAGCTTCCACACAGAGACGAAGCCCTCGCTCTTCTCCTCCTCGTCCTCCTGGCGGATCTCCACTATCTCCTCGTCCACGTCGTCCCAGCCACGCAGCTTCTGCAGGGCTGAGGGCAGGATGGGCTCAGAGCATCGGCCTGGAGCTGCCGCGGGCAGGGCGGGAGCCACCACCTGCACGGGTGGACCTTACCATCTCTGGCTGCTTGTTCGTCTCCCTTCTGAATCAGCAGGTAGCGGGGGCTCTCGGGGAAGAAGGGCAGGAGAAGGAGCTGCAGTGCTGCGGGGATCCCGGTCAGACCCAGCAGGACTGGCCAGCCTGCAAGCAAGGCGACTGCTGTCACACAGGCCTCCTGTCCACCCCAGCCCAAGGCCCTGCACCTGCTCCTCTGCCCCTCTGCTCCATGCCAGGTTCTTTCTGTCCCATTGCTCAGTGAGGGCAGAGGGTAGAGTCAGAGTCTGGGATGTTCTCCCTACCTTCCCCCACGGGAAGAGAGTGGCCCTGACCCTTTCTGAAATGGGATGATCAGAGTCCCAGGCCACAGTGCTGCTGGGAGGCCTGGAACACTGCCAGGAAGTCCTAAGCACAGCCTGTTGGTGGCTGTCACTGCTGTGCCCAGGCCCCTGTATGGACAGCCATGAGAAGCTGGCCCTTCCCGCTTACCCCAGAGCTACCTTGCCATCTCCTAAGGAGAATCTGTCACCATGTGCTGGCTCACCAGCATTGTGAACTCAAGGCGGAACTGGGGCCCCAAGGACAGCCACCCTACTGGAAACCTCCCGTCCTGGGGAGCACACAGTGCAGGAACTGGCACCGTCCTGGACTCACCTTCATCATTTGCCAGGAGATTACGAAGCCCGAACACTTGGGCCACAAGGATGCCAATGGTGATGAAGAGCTGGGGTATCACCCCAAGAGCCCCCCTCAGATTTTTAGGAGACAGTTCCCCTAGGTACATAGGAACCACGTTGGAAGAGACACCTGGGAGGAGGATTCAAATCAAAATGTAATTAGGAAAAGTCAGTCTGGCAGGGATGAGTTGAGTTCCTGAAGACCCTTTCCTTAGCAACCATAGTATCTGGGCAGAATTTCCTCAAATAACAATAGGGAAAGCAAACACCTCTTTTTTGTTTTGTGGTGGCATTGGGGTTTGAACTCAGAGCCTTACGCTTGTAAGGCAGGTTCTTTACCACTTGAGCCACTCTTCCACCAGCATTTGTGTGTGTGTGTGATGGGTTTTTGAGAGAGGGTCTCATGATCTATTTGTCTGGGCTGGCTACTCTGCCTCCTGAGTAGCTGGGATTACAGGTGTGAGCCATCGGTGCCTGGCTGCAAAAACCTCTGTTCATTTTCAGGTCCTCAAACTTTGAGGAAAGCCAGAGCAGAGAAGCTCCAGACCAGGAGCACTTGCTTCCCAAATTATGTCACCTGGGGACACAGGAAGAAAGACACCCAGTGTGGTTAGCTACTATTTTCTCCTGCGACTCGGGAGAATCTGATACTAAAAGGCCCAGGACCTCTGTCACCAGCTCATCTTCTGGGAACAACAGGTAGCATAATAAACCGAGGCAGAGGCCTTCATAAGCATTTAAGCACGAATTATTCGTCCATAAGCATTAAACATCTCAGTATATATTTGTAGAATAATCTTCATTTCTGGGATTTGTGTGATGCCTGGACCACTTCTGAATCCCCACGATTTAAGCTTGTATGTTTTCTCATCAGATGATGTCTGACCGCTTAATAATAGGACTTTAATTTTGTAGGCGATAAAGTGTTTTTCACACATCATCTCATCTAGTTCTTCTGAAAGAACAAGAAGATAGGGATCCTGAAGGAAGCCAAAGGGTTTGTCATGATCCCAGTGTCCTGGCTCAAGTGGAGACTGAGAAGGATCTGGGGGACTAACGGGGAGATCCCTAGGAAACAGACCTGGGACGGGTAGAGGTCAGAGTCGCTGGCTACGTGACAGGACATCCTGAAGGGCAAGTTTCCCTGTCTTGAAATTCTGCCCAAGGACATCTTTGCTTAATATTTCGGGAGACAGTTCACAGATATTAATTCTTTCCCATTTTCAGAGCAAAGGGGGCAGTCTTTAAAACAGCCTTTAGCATGTTTTGGGGCAATCAACACCCTGAAGACTCAGTGCACGGACTGGGGACCAAGGGAAAGCCCTTCCTTCGAGGCCCTCAAAGTACTGGCTTGGTTCTCAGCGCTCAGCAGTAGGGCTTGGTGGCCGTTTCTTCATGTTACATGCTTCTCAATTTGGTTAAGGAAATAAATGAAGCATCCACTTTCAGGAGGTCTGAGGAAAGGAGATCATTTCTTTCTGGTGGAAAGTGACCTGTACCTTGTCTTGAATATGACACAGCAGCCTGTGCTGGGGAGACACTAGAGCCAGAGTGAGAGGCTTATAAAGTTTGAGTTCCTTTAAGCCAGGGCCAGTCATCAGTCTCCTTGCCAAGAAGCTGACAAATAACAAATCAGTGGACAGCGAGCATCCTGGAGTCCAAGGAGCAGCTACCTCTGTACCTGCTGTCAGGGGGCTGTTGGCTTCACTTTCCCAGTGAGCACGGTCACATGAACAGGGGCTTTTTGCATGTCTAGGTGACACGTGGCTTGGTCATGCACTTTCCTAACATTCAAAGGACAAATGAGAAGCAGGACAAATGCAGTGGGCATCAGCTGGTATTCTCCAACTGTGACCTGAGGACCTGGGGTCCCTGCCCTCCTCTCAGGGAGTCTCTGAGATCAAAACTATTTTCATAGCAATCCTGAGATGTTACTTGCCCTTTTCATTCTCTCTCTCTCTTTTTTTTTTTTTTTTTTTTTTTTTTGCAGTACTGGGGCTTGCACTCAGGGCCTTGACTTTGAGCCACTCCACCAGTCCTTTTCTGTGATAGGTTGTTTTTGAGATAGGGTCTTGCAAACTATTTGCCCAGGCTGGCTTCGAACTGTGATCCTCCTGATTTCTACCTCTGGAGTAGCTAGGATTACAGGCATGAGCCACAGGTTCTTGGCTGCTGTTTTCATTCTTATTCTCCCATGAGCATACAGTGGAATTTTCCAGAAACTACCTGCCATGTGATGTCACAGCCAACTGGACACAGGAGCAAGTTTGAGAATCTAACATTAAAGAGATTTGCAAAAATGTAAAACAATGCCACTTTTCTCACTAATTCTTTTGTCTTAGAATATAGCTTTTTAATTTTTTTTATTGTAACCACATGAGCAAAAGCACTTTGGGGCCCTCAATACTTTTTATTGTTATAACTATTACATTTTTATTAGCTTATATTAATTATATGGGGGGGTTCAATAATTTTAAGAGTGCAAAGGAGTCTTGAGCCTGAAAAGTCTGAGAAACACTGACTAAAAGTATTGCTTATGTAAGCATAAAGTTTCTTTGCTTAGTCCAGGCTAGCCTCAAGTTCGAGATCCTTCTGCCTCAGTCTCCTGAGTACTGGATTAGTGTACCTCCACACCCAGCATAGGTTGGGATTCTTAACTGTGATTTGTAATTGGAGCTTAATATTTTTATCAAGACCAATTCAGGATAGTTTGTGGTTAATGGAAAAGGGACTGGGCCACTGGGTGCTGGTGGCTCACATCTGTAATCCTAGCCACTCCAGAGGCAGAAATCAGGAGGATCAAGGTTTGAAACCAGTCTGGGCAAATAGTTGGCAAGACCCTATCTCAAAAAAACCCATTTGGAAAGAGAAAAGGCAAGGTCCCGGGCCACACTGGGACCGTGAGCAGGAGGCACGTGTGGTGCCAGCCTGCACTTGTAGGACCCCGAGTTTGCACCTTAATGCTTCCTCTGATCTGTGGCTGGGAAACACTGCCTCTTACAGATGCCAACTTGGGAAGCCACAAGCGTGGCTGTCTCATGTCTCCTCTTGTTCAAAGCTTGTAGGGAGAGCTTTTTAAAGCTGCCACAGCTGGTGGTGAAGCTTAAGTGGTAGAGATTTTGCCTAGGGTGCACAAGATTCTGGGTTCAATCCTCAGTACTGAAAATAAGAGAAAGCTTTTAGCTGGATGTGGCCTGGGCTACATCGTGAGACCCCATTTCAAAAAACCCGATGAAGCCAGGGGAGGATGGCTCACACCTATAATCCTACCTACTCTGGAGGCAGAGATCAGGAGGGCTGTGGTTCAAAGCCAGCCTGGGAAAATAGCTTGAGAGACCCTATCTCAAAAAACCTAATACAAAAAAGGGCTAGTGGAGTGGCTTAAGGTGCAGGCCCTGAGTTCAAACCCCAGTATGGTAAAAAAACAAAACCAAAAAAACCTAAACCAACCAATCAAACAAACAAAAACAACAGCCACAGCAGGTGTAGCCTGGGTTTGGGAGGCAGTAGGTAGGCTTTGCAAACCCTTCGCGGTTTGTTGAATGAGTGACCTCGGGCAAGTGCCTCTGCAGGTAGGAATAAGTGAAACAGAGCCCAGGAGGACCTATGCAAACCTACTGTGGCTTATGAAAGTTGCAAGGTTGCTGTTATTAATGCCTTTCTGATAGATTCATATGCTGGAGTGTTTCTCAAACTTTTATGACCACAACTCACAGTGAAAATTGCAGAAATAAATCAGACATTGCAACCCGGTTCTTCCATACGCACGCAAGTAACTGAAAAGTTTCAAGAGACATTCTTGTCCTTACTACATACAACACTTGTCTACTCTATTTAAAAACAAATGGTGCCAGGCACAGTGTGTGCACCTATAATCCCAGCACTTGGGAGGCTAAGGCAGAAGGATCATGAGTTTGATGGCAGCCTTGCCTACATAGTGAGACCCTGTCTCAAAAACAAAGAGCTGGAGAGGTGTGGCTCAAGTGACAGAGTGCTTGCCTAGAAGCGCAAGGCCCTGAGTCCAGACTCCAGTACTGCCAAAAAACAAAACAAAAAATTCTGCTCACCAAACATGTCACCACCACCTTATTGAGATAAAGGACTGAGTTGGAAGGGCCCTTCGGAACAAAGGATTTTGTGTCTGTCTTTCACAGAACAGCTTTCGTGGGTTGGGTTGGGGCTCAGTGGTAGAGGCTTGTCTTGCATGTGTGAGGCCCTGGATTAAATCCCTGTCACTGCAAAGAAAAAGCCCAGGCATCATGGTGGTGGGGTGGAGGTCTGCCAGTGTCCACCCAGGACACTGCAGGGCCTCATGTGCTTCTTTAGGGACTGTGTGAATCGGTATGCAGCAGAGGCGGTAGGTGGGTTCGTTCCCTGGGGCCGGTTCTCCCTCCCTCTTGAGGATTTCAGATAAGCATGGCAAGATGGCAGTGGGGCTTACCTGCACATATGCCCACCAAGAGCCTGGAAATGATGATAAGCTCAAATGACTTGGCCACCTTGCTGCATCCCATTAAGATGGCGGGCACAATGGAAAATATGTTGTTGAACAGCAAGGCCCCTTTTCTGCAGAGGACCAGACAGCAGTTAATAGGGCTTAAGGATTCCTTCATCCATTCGCTCATCCACTCAAGTGAGTCCTGGGTCTTGGCCTGCCTGTTCTTTCCATGGCCCCTGGGATCCCCAGCCATTCCTAAGACCTTGTCTGGGTTCCCAGACCTTGTCTCTGTTTGCTCTTCTTTGTGTGACCACCATACGGAAATGAATAATAAATAAATAACCACAGTGGTTATCAACTTCATCTCACAATAAGGAAGTCAGCTTTTGGCCTATAGCTGTGACCACAAATGAGGCCTATCAACTTCAGGGGACTGAAATCTCCCTTCCCCTTACCTGCCGAATTTATTCACCAGCGGGCCAACCAGGAGGGATCCCACAAAGCCTCCAAAGGGGAACATGGACACTGTCACAGACCACAACAAGGTCAAGACGAAGTTGTCCATGAGTTCTCCTGTTCTGTTATTGTAGGTGTCATTGTAAAATTGCTTCATGAGCTGGGGGACAGAGGACACAGAACAACAGAATCATCTGATCTGGTTTTGCAGGAAGAATGACAGAAGTTGTCAGGCGACCCAATAGGACATCGTGCATAAACAACAGCAATATCAAGTGGGGGAGGGGGTTAGGACAATTTCATGACCAGCAAGTTGGCCAGGGTACCCATGGAAAAGGAAGGCCAACTGCCTGTGTCTTTGATGGCCACTTCCATCAGACATCAGACCCTGCCAGCTCAGAGCAGGTCTGAGGGCCAAGGGGTCAACCCATCGAGGTCCAGTGGGCCTGCCTTCCTAGCATTCATGAGAAGAGAGGGCTGGGGACCTGGTCATGGCCTGGCCTGTGCCTCCTGTCCCTTTGGTCTGTGCTGTGTGTTCGGAGGGCTTCTCTCCTGTCCCTCCAGGGCCCACTGCATATGCTGAGGGGCTCAGGCCATTCCCAAGCTCCTCTCTGTTCTCTCAGGAGTTGCATTTTGCTGGTCACAGTGACCTACCTCTGACGGTGAGTTGACAGCAGACACATTGTAGCCATACTGGAAGGACGAGCCAAAGGCAGCTATCAGGTAGCCAGTGCAAGCACAAGGGTCAGCCTCTGTGAGAGAGACAGGGTACAGGTTGGGGAGCAGCCCTGGGGTGTTGGGCCTCGGATCAGACCCCATCTCCATCAGAGATGTCATCCACGTGTGAAGCTCTGTGGTCACACAGTTACTTCACATTTCCAGACTTACTCCGTTCTCTTTCCAGGGTGAGAATGGGCTTTCCCAGGTGCAGTTTATTTGTTGTTGTTTTCAGATGGGGCCTCCCTGCCCAGGCTAGCTCTGAACTCTGGAGCCCAGGCAAACCTCTTCCCTCAGCCTCTGGAGTAGCTGGGATGGCAGACAGATGCCCCTGCAGTCAGCTCATGGCCGCACTGTTGGCTTTTGGGATCTGATGATTCCTTGTTGTGAGGGGCTGTGCTGTGCATTGTGGGATGTTCACAGAATCCCTGATTTCTGCTTTTAGATGCCAAGGGCACCCCCTCCCCAGCTGGGAGGGACCTGAATGTCTCCAGGCATTCCTCATGGACCCCAGGACTAGAGAGCCACCAGGTCAAGAGACTGAAAGCAGCACCCCATTTAACCTTGGAGTTGCTCCTGGCACCTTCTTGCTATGGGGCTGCACTTGCCAATGTGCTGAGGCTCTGTCTCAAATACACACTGGCCCTCAAGATTAAAGACAGAGACGAGAAACTAATTTCCCTGGGTCCCTGGGTTATTGTTCTAACAGGTAGAAGCCACAGTGGAAAATGTTTAAATACAGATTTCTGGGGCCTCCCGAACACAGCACTCTAGTGACAGTGTCACCTCCCACATGTGAAGAGACTCAAGGCTCACTTCAGACAGTTCTTAATGACAAGAGGGATTCATTTGTAAAGGAATGAAGACAGAAGAAAAGCATACATGGGGAGAGTTTTGATCTTAGAATCCGTGGTCTCATTTCAAATTTGTCCCCTGCAACTTCCTAGCTTAATTCAATATCTGCCCCGTGGGCATCCTCCTCTCTACTCCGGGATAACAACACTCCCTCCCAAAGCAGAGGTGAGGACAATGAGCCGAACCTGCAGCTGGGATGGGCCTTGGTGGAGACCATGGGAAGACTCCATCGAGGTTCCCCTTTCACAGGGGACACACGCTCCTGTTTGATGCTCTACATCTTCAGTTTCTGACGCCTGTGAATCTAAGGAGGATCCCTTGAGTGGTGGGTGGAGGCTGCACACAAGGACAACAGGCCTTCTCTGCCTCGAGGGTCAAGAGAGGATGGAGTTCACCTCACCTCTAGGAGGTCAAGGGCAAAATCACCACATGCTACCCACACCCATACCCAGTGCTAGCCACGTAGATCTGATGGACGTGTTTACTGACTCGATTGCAGAAATCATTCAAAAAGTACCAAAGCATCAAGTTGTGTAACACACACACATTTCATATATCTGATATCTTAATAAAGAGATCATAAAAGGTTTTTTCTCTTTTTTCTTTTTCTTTTTTGATGGTACTGGGGTTTGAACTCAGAGCCTTGAGTTCTACCACTTGAGCCACATCTCCAGCCCAGAAACTTTTTTTGTGGGGGGCGGGAGTGGGACTGGAATTTGAACTCAGGGCTTTGAGCTTGAGTTACATCTCCAGTCCATTTTGTTCTGGTTGTTTTTGAGAACTATTTGCCTAGGCTGGCCTCCCAATCTCAGCTTCCCAAGTAGCTAGGATTATAGGCATGAGCCACTGGTACCCAGCTAACAACTGTTTTTAAAAAGAACAAAAACGCAAGTCTAGTGGGCTTGGCCCTTGTCCAACCATCTGCCTCATCCATTTAAAGTATACTATCCCTGTTTAAACCACTGACCTCATGCCTTCTAAAACAAAACAAAGACAGTACACGCACACATACACACTCACACCCCACAAGTCTCATTTGACTGCAACATTCTTCTTAATCATTAGTGAATTAACAAATGGCCAGCTGAGCAGGAAGTTTCTGGTAAGTACAGAAGAGCCTCAGCCTGTGAAGCTGTAAGTTTCCAGTTTCTTCTCATCCCCACAGACACAGTCTGTGGACTGGCAGGAATCACGGCCCACCCCCATGGAAAAGGAAGGACACTCACTCATGGTGCTGGCCCACCTGCCTTTTGTTCATTGAATGTTTGTATTGACAGCCCTGACTGTGTCCCAGGCACCATGCTGTAGGCTGGTGAGCAAAACACTGTTCAATGTGGAGACAGACACTCAAAAGCTACAAAATAAACTGGGGTGCTGGTCGCTCACACCTGTAACTGTAGCTAGTTGGGAGGCTGAGATCAGGAGGAAGGCAGTTTGAGGTCAGTCTGGGGGGTTGAGGGGAGTTAGCAAGACCCCATCTCAACCAAGGGCTGGGCTTGCTAGTGTTTGCTTATCATTCCAGCTACGATGTGAAGCCTAAAATAGGAGGATCACGGTCCAGGCTGGCCCGGGCAAAAAAACAAGACCCCCATCTCCAAATAATCAGAGCAAAAGGGCTGGAGGTATGGCTCAAGTAATAGAGCATCTGTTTAGCAAGCACAAGGTCCTGAGTTTGAACTCCAGTACCACCGAAAAATAAAGCTGCATATAATGTAATAATTAAAATCTAACTGTAAGAAATGACCCAAGCCTTGTATGCACATATAAATAATAAAAGAAAAAAAAATCTAACTGTAATCTATACCATGAAAAAAAAACCACAGGAGTGGTTAAGAAGAGGCTCCAGGAAGTTACATTTAAGCTGAGACCTAGAAAAGTGGGGAGAGGGGGTGAACAAGGTGTTCTTTGCTCGTGCAAAGGTGTAGGAAGGAGCTCAGAACCTTGCACCTGGAACAGGGCTTGGGACAGGAAGGCAAGCTGGGCCAAGGCCACAGAACAGAGGGGGCTTTCACTTCCTGGGCTCTGCATCCCAGCTGGTGGAAGGATTTGACCTTCTGAAAAATCACTCCAACTACTGGGTGTGGAACAGAAGTGGGGAGATTGACAGAAGGTTACTGCAGAGGGCAGCTGTCAGCAGGTGGGGGCTTGGGTAAAGGGGTGGTGGCTGTACCAGCTTTGAGGACAGTATGGGAAGTAAAATCAAAGGACTCAATATCCCAGCAGGAAATGCAAATCGAAACCTCAGCCAGGGAGCCTCTAGGGTGCTTAGGCTCAAGAGGCCTGGTAAGGATGCTGGCAAGGGTGGGGAGGAGACTGGAGCCCTCTTACACTGGTGGGAGCGTCAGGTGGTACAGCCACCTTGGAGAAGTGTGGCAGTGATGGTGTGACCCAGGGATTCCACTCCTAGGTTTAAACTCAAGAAAACTGAAACCATATGTCCACACAAGCACTTGACCACAGCACTTCAACCACCAAGTGGAAGAGACCCACATGGACACTGACTGACAGCTAGACAAATAAAAATGTGTGTGCACACACACAGTGGAATAGTATTTGGTCAGAAAAAGAAACGAAGTGCTGATATACAAGAGGAAGTGGAGGGACTTGAAAACATTACTCTAAGCAAAGAAGCCTGTCACAAAACCCCACTTAGTGACTGATTCTGTTTACATGAAATGCCCTACACGTGAAAACCCACAGACAGAAGTGGATGAGTGGTCTCCTCCGGCCAAGGGCAGCGAGTAGAGATTGGGGGGAGATGAGAAGTAGCACAGGGCCTCTTAGAGATGATGGAAATGTCTAAAATTGATTATGGTGATGGTTGCACAGCTCTGTGAATATACACCAAACTGTATATTTAAAATTTTTTTTCCAGCTTTATTGGAGAAAGAACTAACACATATTTGGCATACAGATTTGTCAATTTAACATGAAAACTAGACAAATGTAGCAGAAATATAACAGGTGCTTAGAAACTGCTTTTTCTAGAAAGCACTGATTCCTCACTTGAGACCACAAGTTAACCAAAAGCAGGAGAAAAACTTGTCATCCCTGCCTCCATCTGCTTTGCTCTGTGCCGTTTTGTCATTCAGTCACCTGAGATTCTGGGATGACAAACATCTTGTGACAAGAGTCAAATCTACCCTCAGGTAGCAGTGACTTTCCTACCATAAGGAGACCTCTCCTGGTCAATCCTGAGATAGGAACCACTTGACCACACCTTCAATTAAGACCATTCGATTATGTATTTGTCCCTGGCTCTAATTCTTCCTGTTTGAACCTGAAGCTCATGGTGGTACCCCAAGCCTTGGGCCTCTTCATCTGTGCCTCCCAACATTGCCTCCTTGATGAATTCTCCTTTCTCTTACCTCAGCACTACTTGTCTCTTTAATTGGTCCATCAGGATTGTGGCTGAGCCTTCTCTGTTGGGAATTCTTGGATTTGGGGCTTTTGTTCTTAAACTCCAGTTATGGAAACTTGGGACAGTTCAACGTACAATGGATTTCTCAGCGCACAACCTTGTCCTGAGTGGAGGACCATCTTACAAGTGGAAATTTCTTTTGCAATGAGTTTTTAAAAGGTCAACTGAAATATCCAAAAGCCATCCGAAAGCTGTCTAGGTAGGCCCTTTTAATCTAGTCAGCTGTAGTCCTTCTGTGGGGCAAGGAGAACTGCCTATGCCCACCCAACTGGAGAAGGCCTCCCTTAAGCTTTCTGAAACTTTCCCTTGACGTTTTATCAGGTTGTAGATATCCCAAAGAATGTGACAGTCCATGAGGTCAGGTGTTGCCTGGCAAACCAAGGAGGCCTCCAGTGCTGCCACACAAAAGGAATTTCTTCAGCCCTCTCCCCCCACTAGGTGTCCACTCAAGCAAGACGCCCTTCTGCCAGCCTTCTATCACAAAGGGGTTAAGAGGAAGAGCCTAGAATCTGAGAAGTGGCTGTGCAGAGAACAAGGGAAAAAAACAACAGGGGAAAAAGTTCTTAGAGGAAAGAAAACACAGAGGCTAAGATAGAAAATGTAGATGACACCATAACCAGACATGTTTCCAAGTCCAGATTTTTTAAATTCATTTATTCATATGTGCATACATTGTTTGGGTCATTTCTCCCCCCACCCCCCTCGCTTCCAGGCAGAATCTGTTCTGCCCTTATCTCTAATTTTGTTGAAGAGAAGACATAAGCATAATAAGAAAGAGAAAGCGTTTTTTGCAGTTGAGATAAGGACAGCTATACAGAGAGATTCCTAGCACTGCTCCCATGCACAAGTGTGTTACATCCCAAGTTGATTCATCTCTAACTGACCTTTTCACTAGTTCCTGATCCCCTTCTCATACTGATCTCTGTCTCTTTAAGCAAGCCCAGATCTTGATTTAGGGAAAGTTCTAGAAGGGTCTCTGTCAGGAGCCCCATGTTTGCAATAGACATTTCTGTCAACATCGCAGAGCGATGCCCCCCAAGGGGTCCATTAGCCCTCACAGATCCTGTTTTTTAGGACAAGCATTCCTGCCTTATGGTGAATGCCAGAAACAAGCAAATGAAAATATCACCCCCTGAATGTTCCTTCACTGACGAGTGACGGCTTTCTTAGTCAAGAAATGGTCCTCCCACGGGGAGTGGAGCAGATTAGGCCACGTTCCACGCGGCGTTGGGGGGGGTCTCTAACCAGTGATTGCCTCCAAACTGTGTCCCTTTTCCCTCTTGGAACTGGGAAGCAATAACAAGTTCAGGCACCAGCTGAGTAGTGAAGGAGACTAGTCTCGGCCAGGAGTAGAAGAGGAGACAACCTTGCAAGCCACCTTCTCTGGGAGCATTTTCTTTTGCAATACTGGGATTTGAACTCAGGGCCTGCACTTTGAGCTACTGGCCAGCCCTTTTTTAGTGATAGGTTTTTTCGAGATAGAGTCTCTTGAACTATTTGCCTGGACTGGCTTTGAACCGTGATCCTGCTGATCTCTGCCTCCTGAGTAGCTAGGATTATAGGCGTGAGCCACTGGTGCCTGGCAAGGGAGCATCAAGTGTAGAAAGCAATGTTTTTCCCTGCATACACATTTCAAAATGATTACTATAATCAAGCTAATACAGTCATCACACTATTATTTGTGTGGGTGGCGATGACATTTAAAATCCACTTTTCTAGCAAATTCCAAATACACAAGGTACTATTAACTCTAGCCGCCATGTTGCCATGTATGACATGACAGACACGCACTCATCCTGCATTTCTGAAACTGTGCCTGCGACCAACATTGCCCAGTGCTCTCCCCCCAGCCCCTGGCAACCCTGCTCTGTTCTGCTCCTCCCACACGTCTACACCTAAGTGAGAGAATGCAGCTCGTGTCTTTCAGGGCCTGGCCTACTTCATGTAGCATAATGTCCTGCGGGTCCATCCAGCTTGCCAAACATCAGCCAGGATGTCCTTCATCAAGAGTGACAAACTGTATACTCTAAATGGTTGCAATTGTGTGGCATGAGCTACAGTCTCAATCAAAGGCACGTGAAAGAAAGGGGACCTACACTTTGTCTCCCCTCTGTGTGTGGGGGGGATTGGGCGCTAGGGATGTAACTCAGCAGGAGGGAGGCTCTTCTTGGAGGCCATGCCTCTGAGCCAACCTTCAGTGAACGCAGACCCTCACACCCCTCAGTAACCAGCTTTCTCTGTAATTCCGGGAGCATCTTGAGGCTCCAGTGTAATCTCTACCCTTGGGGCTGGCCCTGTGCTGGATGTGTTTCCAGGAGGCTGGGAAGGATGCCCTGGCCGAACTGCCTCCCAAGCACACCTGCTGCAGGGGATAGTGTGGGTGTCACACTTGGGTGGGTTAATTAATAGTCAGTGAATGCAAATGAGTACCAGTAAGGACCCTGAGAGTGCAGAGGGTGGTGGAGACACTCTACAAAATATATGTATTTTCTTGCCAGGTGCCAGTGGCTCATGCTTGTAATCCTAGCTACTCAGGAGGAGAAATCAGGGGGATCAAAGTTCGAAGCCAGCCCGGGCAAACAGTTTCGGATACCCTATTTCCAAAACACCCATCACAAAAAAGGGCTGGTGGAGTGGCTCAAGGTGTAGGCCCTGAGTTCAAACCCCAGTACTGCAAAAAAAAAAAAAATCTATAATATATAAATATATAATATGTATGTATATATTCCACCCCCTCAGCCTTTGTTTTTTTTTTTTTTTTGGTGGGGACCAGGTTTGAACTCAGGGCTTCACACTTGCAAAACAGGTGCTCTACCTCTCGAGCCACACCTCCAGTCATTTTGTTCTGTTATTTTAGAAATGGGGGTCTTTCAAACTATTTGGTTTGGGTTGGCCTTGAACTGCAATCCTCTCTATCTCAACCTCCCAAGTAGCTAGGATTACAGGTGTGATCTACAATTCTTAGTAGTTATAAAATGTATTTTTTTCTACTCCTTTTTATTGTTAGTTTTTCTTTCTTTTTTTGCAGTACCAGGGGCTTGAACTCAGGGCTTTCACCTTCAGCCACTTCACCAGCCCTATTTTTGTGAAGGGTTTTTTGAGACAGGGTCTTGTGGAACTATTTGCCTGGGCTGGCTTCAAACCACGATTCTCCTGATAGCTGCCTCCTGAGTAGCTAGGATTACAGGCATGAGCCACGGGCCCCCGGCTGTTAATTTTTTCAGGTTAGGGGTCTTTGTTCCCTGGCAGAAATTCCTTGATGAGGCAGATACTGGTCTTTTTACATATGAGAAAAGCAAAGGCCACTGAAGCCAGTGCCCCACAGAGACATTGAGGGACAGAGAACCGGGTCGCACAGGCTGCCTGGTGGCTTTCCCCTCAGAGCAGGAGACCTCTGTAGCCTCTGCCTTCCCCCTTTCTCCTAAAACCCCTCTCCCCTGACTGGGAGGAGTCCTCAGGAAAGCTGAGGGACAGGCAGCTGTGATCAGCCCCTGCCTTTTGCACATGGCCGTTTGGGGTGTTTCCTTTCACAGTCTTGCTCATTTTCAGAGTGTGCCATGTGGGGTACTTCCATTCCTTGCTTTTCTCTTTGGACAGCAGGCACAGAGAACCCAGGACTCCCTGACCCCAAACACCTATGCCTCCCCTCTTTACCTCAGCTCCTTTTCTATCAAGGAGGTGACAATACTTAATTTGTCCAACACTTTCCATGTTGGAAAGTCCAAACAAAGTAATCCCAGTAAAGACCATGAGTAAATCTAAAAAAGAAAAAATCTAAAGTAGATTCCCAATGAGGGTGAGGCAGGATTGACTCTGCCCTCTGAGGACACTTGCTTGTCACACCTGGAGAAAGGTGCTATGGGCATATGGTGGACAGAGGCCAGGGATACCGCTAAATGTCCTGCAACTGACAGTCCCAGCAAATATCAATAGTGCCGAGGTTCCCATGCTCTCAAGGGTAAGCAAGGTAATAACATTTACAGGAGAATTACAGGGTGCCAGACACCTTACAAGCATTCTCTCACTTATTTTTACTGTATGTACTATTTTTTTGGTGGGTCTGGGATTTGAACTCAGGGCCTGTACCTGCTAGGCAGAGCAGGCGTTCTACCACTTGAACCACACCCCCAGCCCTGAATTATCTAATTTAATCCTTCTGGAACCCACAAGGTGGAGAGGTTAGCACTCCCATTTTACACAAGAAGACTAAGGCACAAAGGACTTGAATAACTTGTGGAATTCCACAGCTAGGATAGAACGGAGCTGATGATAATGGCATGTGTTTCTATCTCCCAACCCGCTCCTACTCTCTGCTACAGAGCAGGCTGGCAACCTGCCACAGCAGGTATCTCCCGTCCATGTCTGAAGAAACAGTAATACTTTGCACAACTGAATACTATTCCTCTCCACTCCACACATGCATAAGCAGACACTCCTGGGAGGAATAAAGTGTAGCTTCTTTCAAAGTGATACTAAATCCACCTTTCTGTCACTGTGCATTTTCTGCAGTCAAGGGACTGCTGTCACACAGCAATTATATTGGGGGAGGGTCCCACAAAAAGTTTTTGTCTTTAAAAACAAAATCAAACCTAGCCCGGCACCAGTGGCTCACAGACATAATCCTAGCCACTTGGGAGGGGAGACTGAGATCAGGAGGATGAAGATTTGAGGCCAGCCTGGCCAAATAGTTCATGAGACCCTCATCTCCAAAATAACCAGAGCAAAATGGACTGCAGGTGTGGCTCAAGTGGTAGAGCACCTGCTTTGCAAGTGTGAAGCCCTGAGTTCAAACCCTAGTCCCCCTCCACCTCCCAAAAAAAAAAAACAAATCTAGCAAAACCTTTTTGGAGCTCAGCTTATTTTCACTATGCTACTTGCTGAAATATTTAATGCTCTGAAACTAAAATCAAAACAAAGCTAAAAAAAATCCCAAATGATGTGCACACCTGCAATCCCAGCACTAGGGAGGCTGAGGCAGGAAGATTGTAAATTCAAAGCCAAACTGGACTACAGAGGCGAGACTCTGCCTCAAAACAACAACAATAAAACAAAAAACCTGTCACCATCAGCATGTAAGGATTTTTGTAACCAGCACATTTGGTTTTGGAATCTCAATATCTACAATTCTTACTAGTAAGAAACAGGGAATTTGCCAGTATGGTGGCTCAGTCCTGTCATCCTAGCTACTTTGGAGGCTGAGATCAGGAGGATTGAGGTTCAAGACCATCATGGGCAAATAGTTCATGAGACCTTATGTCCAAAAATGACCAGAGCAAGTAGTAGAGTGCAGAGCCCTGAATTCAAATCCCAGTCCTACCCTCTTTCCCCCAAAAAAAGAAAGAAAGGAAGGAAGAACATTAATCCTCTGAGACTCTGATTTTGCTAGAGGTACTTTTTTTTTTTTAACAGCTATTCCAGTAGAATGATTCTCAAAGGGCAGTGGCCTCGGATGGTCCTCCCCATCCCAGAGTAGTCTTGTGACATCAGAAGCACCAGTGACTCCTCAGGACCACCTGAGCAGGACCTGCTGCTGCTGTGCACACTCACCCCTTTCCTCTGCTGAGCTGGCTCCTCCATCGTGGTTCTGGAAGGACAGTGTGCTGCTCACTTGCCTCCTTGAAGTCACAGACACTCTGCACAGAGAAAGGACCAAAGGCTGCACTTTGGCCGTGCCAGCTCTCAGCCAATTGCATTTTTATAGCCACTCTAAGTTAGAATAACCCTTTCAGGGCCCCTGGAGGCTGGCCTTCCTTTCACTTCTGCTTTTAAGTGAAATGTCTGGGGTCTGGCCCGGCTAGTGCCTGCCCTGGGATGGCAGGCTTAGTATCATCCCGAGAGGGACAGTCTGCAGGATTTCCTCACTTGCTTGAGTGTCCACCAGTCAGGTTCACGCTCAGTGTCGGGAAGGGTTATTTCTGTCAGGAACACATGGAAAACAACAGCTGTCACCCACCCTCTACTACCCCAGGAAATAGGAGACGACAGATGGGGTCCCTGCCAGGAAGCCTGCAACCAGTCTCTGCAGTGGGAAGTCAGTTTTTGCCCAAGCAACTGTGAACACTTGCTTTTTACGTAGTTGTTTTGTTTTGGGGGTATTTGCATTTTTTTGTGCGCTAGGGATGGAAACCAGGGTCTCACACGTGTTAAGATGTGCTCTACTGCTGGGCTACACCCCAGCCCCATGTGTCACTTTTTAGGGAGAGTTTATTATTTTCCTTTTTAAGGAACTCTGAGTAGTCTGGAGATAGAATTTTCTGTGCATTCATAGTTATTAGGAAGCCACAGTTTGATCGGCAATGTAGGGAAAGGAAGTCCCAGCTGCTGGCCTGGGTTCATCTAACTCACAGCCAGGCCACAGCCAGCCCTTGTGTTTGGCACGTATTCAGTGGCCATGGGGGAATGCCAGGTCAAGTGGCCAAAATCCAGAGCAAAGTCCTCAGGGCCTGCAGGTTTTTGTCTCTAGGGGACCTGCTCCCTGTTTTATTATCCAGTTCAATCAGTCCTTACTCCCTTCTCAGTCACCGCCACACAGCCACTGGGAGGTCACTGTGGTCCTCGGGCCTGTTCCTGGCACCTGAAACAAACCCGGGAAAGATGACAGCTGTGCCTGTGTGTTGATGTCCCTATGGAGATCTGGGCATTTCCTTTCACCCATTTTGCTCTCTCTCCCTCTCTCTCTCTGTTTTTCTGTCACAGCCCTCACACAATGGTCTCCAACTTAGCCATGATATGTTTCCAATTATCTCAAAGACTTTGAAAAATTCTCCAAAGAAAGTGCACTTTGGAGGCTGGTGGTGTAGTTCATGTGGTGGAGAACCTGTCTAGCCAGGGCGCGGCCCTGAGCTCAAAATCCTGCATCGCCAAAGGAAGAACCAAGAAAGTGCACTTTGGCTGGGGAAAGGAGAAAAGGGAGAGAAGGATGCAGGTTGTGCAAACAAAAAGAAATAGCCAAGGTCACCATCCTCACCCCTGTCAAGAGCAGAGGCCAACACAGCCTTCCTGGCTCCCATCTTCCGATGTGGCAGCTGGGAGCTCCTTGGTGGAGGCAGACTCTCCCAGCCTTGCCTCGATTTTCCCAATCAAGGCGGGACGGGTGGTCAGGCACGGGGCTGACCAGCACCATACCGCAGGCTCAGCCCGCGTCACCAACGCCCAGGAGCGCGGCGCGGGGCGGCGCGGGGCGGCGCGGGGCGGCGCGGGTCACCTGTCCCATCCCCGCGCTTTGGGCGCTGGCTGGGCAGCTGCCCGGGTTCCCCTTGGCCTTGCCCAGAGCCTTTTGCTCCTATGGGCAGCGACCAGGCTCCTTGCCGCAGGGCACTTTTAGAGACTCCCCCCCCCCACCTCCCCTGCAGTCAGTCCCGGCCGAGGCTTGCAGGTCCCAGGGCTGGAAGGTGACAGTGGCCACTCTTGGGGGCACGGCACCTGGAGTCTTTTCACCTGGGCTTCCCCACTGCGGGTGGACTGGGGGTCGGTGGCAATGGCAGAGTCCTGCCTGCTGAGTGTCACCCACCCCAGCCTTGGGGGTGGGTAAGGGAGCCTGCCATCGAGCCTATCTTCACTTTGGGGTTTCAAACAATATTGAACACAATGATAACCCTGGACTTTCAGGCTAATTGCAGATAACAGGCTGTGAGAGCAGCACAAGGTGCATTTCCAAGGAATTGACCTGGCTTTGGAGCTGCCTCTGGTAAGAGCAAACAAATCAGTTTTAAAGAAGGGAGTCTGGGGTGGGGTGCCTGGGCGTTGGCAGGGCCTCCTCTGACGATCTCCTTCCACTGTACAGCTTGCTTTATGGGGAAATGACCCCAAGAGCCAAGTCTAGGGTCATCTCCAGCTTCTCATTTTATGTTAAATGTATTTTTGCGGTACTGGGGCTTGAACTCAGGGCCTACGCCTTGAGCCACTCCAGCAGCTCTTTTTTGTGATGGGTGTTTTTGAGATAGGGTCTTGAACTATTTGCTTGGGCTGGCTTTGAACTTGTGATCCTCCTGACGTCTGCCTCCTGAGTAGCTAGGATTACAGGTGTAAGCCACCAGTGCCCAACTGCTTTTATTTTAATTTAATTTTTATTTTTGTGGAAACAGGTCTCACTAAGTAGCCCAGGTTGGCCTGGAAGTCGATTTGTACTCCAGGCTGGCCTCCAACTCGTAACCCTGCCTCACCTTCCAAGAGTTGGGATTACAGCATGTTGCACTGTGCCCGGCTTTTTAGGTTGCTTTTAAATGAGGGGAAATACTTGGCCAAGAATTCTGGAATGAGGATTTGTGTCTCAGATTCAATTCCAGAATCACTCTACTAACACAAAATAAAAGTACTAATGTTAGCACACAATTTTAGGAAGTTAGGATCTGAAAACGTCTGGAACGTGAGATTACGGATGACTTTCATTTTGGCGTATATTTATATTTATTTATATTATATTTTTATTTACTCAGCCTACAACTGTACCAGAGGGGAGATGTAACAGGGTACAAAAATAGTGCTGGCCTCCTGGGGCTCAGCCTCTAGTTGGGAAACAGATTTAGGCCTATAAGTACACTGATGAATTTACAGCTATCAAAACGGCTCTTAGGGTGTGTGGCATGGTGGGGAGCTGGGCAGCGAAGACTCGAAATCTGAACTTGAGCTGGGATAAGAGCTGATGGAGAGAGCTGTGGTCTAGAAGGAGCAGCATGTGTCAAGGCCCTGTGGTCAGTGTGTGGTGCCATTAAGAAATTGCAAGATTAGAGTGGTAGAAGAGCACACAGCAGAGCAGTGGGAGAAGGCAGGTAGTGAGGTAGGCAGAACAGACTATCCTTAGTATCTGTAGCCATGTTACGGTACTTGTTCTTTGTCCTAGGAGCAGAGGGAAAGCATTGAGAGTTTGAGAGACAGGCTGGGCATGGTGGTGCATGCCTGTAATTCCAGTTACTTGGGAGGTAGAAGCAGGAGGACTGAGAATTCGAGGCCAGCCTGAGCAAATGTATTGGTGAAACCCTGTCTCAAGAACAGAATAAAGTAGAGCACCTGCCTGACAAGCTTGAGGCCCTGAGTTCAAACCCCAGTACTGTCAAAAAAACCAAAGGAATAAAAAAAGCAAGCTGGGTACTGTGGTTCAAGCCTGTAATTCTAGTTACTCAGAAGGCAGAGAATTCTGGCTTGGGCCAAAAGTTCGTGAGATCCTATTGGAAAAAAAAGTGAAAAGGGCTGGGGATGTGACTCAAGTGGTAGCAATCTGCCTAGCAAGCCCTAGATCCTAGGTTCAATCCCATGCAACAGGAAAAAGTGAAAGACCCACTGAGGAGCTCAGGAGCAGAGTGGAGCCCAGCATGCCTGAGGCCCAGGCTTGTCCCAGCATTGTAAAGAAAAGAAAAGCTTGAAGTGAAACAATGTGTGCTGCAATCCTAGCTACTCGGGAGGCTGAAATCGGTAGGACTATTCTTAGGGCCAGTCCAGGCAAATAGTTCACAAGACCCCATCTCCAAAATGATTAGAGCAAAATGGACTGGAGGTGTGGCTCAAGAAGTAGAGCGCCTGCTTTGCAAGGGTGAAACCCTGAGTTCACACCCTAATCCCAACTCTCCCTTGCCACCCCCCCACAAAAAAAAAAAAAAAAAAAAGGAGAAAGAAGCAATATGGCTCCAGGCTGCTGGGCAGAGATGCCAGTGGAGTTTTACCAGGGTTGCTTTTTTTTTTTTGGCAGTACTGGGGTTTGAACTCAGGGTCTATACTATACCTTGAGCCACACCACCAGCCCTATTTTTTGTAATGGGTTTTTTGAGATAGGGTCTCTTGAACTATTTGCCCAGGCTGGCTTCAAAACTTGATCCTCCTCATCTTTGGCTCCTGAGGAGCTAGGACAGGGCTGGTATTTTTATTGAAACTGTAATTGTTTTTGTTTTTGTTCAGATTAAACAATCGCATAGGGTTCAGGTGCTCTGCACCAGCCCTTTCCCCTTAAGCCATTATTTTTTGGTGCCATTTGGCAGACGGTCAGGTTCTCTAGCAACGTGCGTATTACATCATAGTAGAGACGCCTGGCTTTGCCTGGAGGGCATGCCATTCTTGGTTACCAAGGCGGGGCAGACCTTCTACAAGCTTGAAGGGAGGGTGGGGGTGGGAGGGGCCCAAGGGGAGGCAGAGGCTGTCCTGTCCCATCCCAGGTTAGGATAAGGCAGGAGTCATTAACAGGGTTCCAGTGATTCACTGTCCAACTGTGTTCTGGTGTCATGCCAGCAGCTCCTTGTCTGGAGAGGGAGAGGAGTTGACACAGGACCTCAGGAGTCCAGTGTCCACATGGGGTGTCTCCCTCTGCCTGCCACACCCTGCCCAGGATGGCCACCTGGCCATCAGAACCCAGGTGTGTACTATGAGTGGAGAGGAGGAGAGAAGGGGTGATCCAGGAGGTCATTTGTGCTCCTGCTACGCTTCTGACAAATGTCCCTCAGTCAGGGAGCTGCGGGTCACACCCTGGCATACTTGCTGTGTAATCTGATCCTATTTTCTTTTACCAAGAACAGAATTTGACCTCGCCTATCAGAGAGTACAGTGGGCAGAAAGATTGCGTTCCTGGGAGTCATAGGCAGGCAGCGTGAAAACCAAGGCATCACCAGTGACTTTTCTGTAGCAAATGTTGCCCTAGGCAGACACCTCTGTTTTTAAACTTCATCACTTTTATTTTTTTTTCCAGTGGTACTGGGTGTTTGAACTCAGGACCTCACGCTTGCCAGGCAGTTGCTCTACCACTTGAGCCACTCCACCAGCCATGTTTTGTGCTGGGTATTTTTGAGATAGGGTCTTGGGAACTATTTGCTCAGACTGGCCTTGAACTGAGATACTCCTGATCTCTGCCTCCTGAGTAGCTAGGATTACAGGTGTGAGCCACCCCAGTTCTTTTGTGTGTGACTGGGATTTGAACTCAGGGATTCATGTTTGCAAAGAGGGCACTCTACTGTTTGAGCCACACCTCCAGCCCCCAACCGTCCTTTGAATTTTGTTTGAGATGTTTCCCCATGACCTTGAGCTCTCTGCCTCCACCTCCCAAGTAGCTGGGATTGAAGACATGCACCCAACTGACTCACACTAACTAGAAATAAACGTGCTAAAGTGGATGTTATAACTGATTCAAAAGGGAGTGCAATATACACACACATTCAGAGGTCAGAAATAGTGACAAACCTTTGCAAAGAGATGCAAGCTGCCCTTGGGAGGAAGGGGAACGCCTCTGACAGAACTCACAAGTCTAGATGAGAATCACTTTGTAAGAACATCTGGAAACTCAAAGGCACAGCAGGGCAGAGCCCTGTCAAGTCAGGAAGAGTCTACTCTAGCAATGCAGTTCTCCTGGAGCACACATTTTTCTCTCTGGTAGTTTGAAATCCTGAAATCAGCCATGGTGGGTGCACCCCACAGAGAAGGAACCACTATAAATTCAACCCCTCCCAACCTCTCATTGAACTTTTACCAGCACACTTAGGGATCCAGCCATACCCCAGACACCAAGGCCAGATAAGCCATCTTCAGGACCCACCTGGGACCCCGGGAGAAGGTGCTGTGGATACCGGCAGCTCTCCAGGGGCCAGCCAACCATGCAAGTACCCCTGGCAGCCACCCCACAGGAGCAGCAGCCCTCACCCCAAGGGCCCTAGAGGAGGAGTGCTCTCCAGGCTTTGCGGGTCTCAGGTCTTGGGGTCAGCGGCACATCACCCAGGAGCTTCAGAAACACCGGATCATGGCTGGGGACGTAGCTCAGCAATGGAGCTCTTGTTAGTGTTTGTCAGGTTCCATCACCAGCACAAAACCCAAAAACTCTTGAGTACCACCCCAGACCAACTAAATCTGCATCTTATCCGATGCTCAGGCTGACTGGTAAAGTTTGAGAAGCAATGCTCTCCGCTTTTTTGGAACAGTGTCCATTGACTCCTCCCTGGACACCCACCACCAGCCGCCCGGATCTGTGCCCAGCCGGGGCAACTCACCTCCAATGCTCTCCTTGGTGCTCCTCCCAGTGCCCACACTCCACCCTTTTGCCTGCCTGCTTTCCCTCCTGGGATGATGGCCAATGGGGCAGCAGAGTGGCAGGGAGAGGCAGGTTTGCTCCCCTCTGGGCAACGGGAGGCTCTTTCTGATAAATGCCTTAAAACCAGACCTGAGTGAAAAAACATAAATGCCTTCCATCCCCATCCTGTAATCTCATGATCTCCTCAAAAAAAAAAAAAAACCTGGGTGTGGTACCCATGCCTGTAATACCAGCACTGGAAGGCAGAGGCAGGGGGATCATGAGTCAGCCTGGGCTACATAGCAAGACCCAACAGAGTGTCTGCCTTCCTCAAGTGGTAGAGCGCCTGCCTAGCAAGTTCCAGGCCTTGAGTTCAATCCCTTGCATGAGAAAGAAAACAAACAATAGAGGCACTCACAAGATTTGTCTTCCTTCCCAGGGACACCACTGACCCCTGAGGCTGTACCTGGAGCAGGGACAGAACAAGAGCTGGCTGTGAGGGGTGGGGCAGGAATCAGACTCTTCAGATTTGATTAGATAACCCAAGACATGCTAACCAGCAGTGGCAGTGACATCTGAGTTCTAGAATCTTTTTCTAGCTCGGTCATTGTGAAGAGCAGGGTCTCAGTATTACCCCAGTTCAGATGAACCCAAGCCCAGGAGGTCAGCATTGTTGCCAGAGTGACGTAGTCATAAATGGGGAGTTGTGTTCGGAACATCTTTCTCTTCCCAGAGCGCCACCATTTACAGACCTGGCTCTTGAGATTCACCTGCTTCTCTTGCTCCTTTCCTCCCCCGCTTTCTTTCCTCCCTCCCTCCCTCCCTTCTTTCCTTCCTGTAATGATGGTAATGGAACCCAGGACATCATACAGGGTAGGCAATCGCTCTACCACTAAGCTACATTCCTAGCACCTAAACCACACATTCTGATATTCAAAAGTGTACAGAGGGCTGGGATGTAGCTCAGTGGTAGATCACATGCTTGGCATGCGTGATCCTGGGCTGGATCCCTAGCACAAAAATAAAAAAAAGGACAAATAAATATTCCACCAGTGCCTCTCCCACCCTAAGTGTCCACTGAGGCCTGGGCACAGTTGTGGCTCTGCTTTTACTCCCCTGGCTGGTAGCATACTGGGCTTTGTCTCATCCCTGGCACAGCAGGCTACACAGTCTGTGACTATGCAGTCACCCACCTGAGGGTGACTAATCCGGCGTGGTATAGGAAGAGGTCAGTGTGCTGGGCTCGACATGGTGGCACATACCAGTGACCCATGCTGGTAAATCAAGCACTGAGGAGACTGAGGTAGGACCATGGTGAGGTTTGAGGCTAGCCTGGACTGTACAGTGAGACCCTGCCTCAAAAAACCAAAACCAACCAACTGAACAAACAAAACCCACTGTGCTGACCCTATAACACTGAGCAAAACCCTTCCCAGTGGTGCTGGATTCTTGGCTCTCCTGCAGACAGTCTGAGATTGGGGACTCAGGCAGTTCACTCAGAAAGTGTCCACTTTTCCCCTCTGTAGCTTCTTGAGGGTGAAAGGCCTGAGGTCCGGGTGCACTCTGGGGGGAACCAGGCAGGCTCCGGGGGAACAGGCCCTGTATAGTGGTCTCTGGAACTCATGTAGCGTGCCAGTGATCTGCTTAGGAAGTCTTGGGAGCAAGAGGTAATCCAGTGCATTGGGTAAGGGTGGAAGTAGGAGGCTGGCAAGAAAGGGACTGGTGGGGCACTGAGATGTGACAAAAGTGGAAGAAAGGAATGCCAGTGGGAAGGAGCAGGACTGGAGAAGGAGCCCACGCAGGTCCACAAGGTAGAAGGTCAGCGTTGGTGGCTCACGCCTGTAATCCTACCTCCTCAGGAGGATCAGGAGGATCAGGAGGATCCAGCCCTGGGCAAATAGTTATCGAGAGACCTTCTCTCAAAAACCCAACACAAAAGGGCTGGTGGAGTGGCTCAAGTGGTAGAGCATCTGCCTAACAAGCATGAGGCCCTGAGTTCAAAGCCCAGTAACGCCCCCCAAAGAGGGAACCAGACGGAACATCACAGAGCAGCATTTGGCATTTGCTGCAGAGAAAGGGGACAAGGACAGGTGCCAGCCCTGGGACACCACATCCAGGGACTTGGACCTCTCCTGCAGGGGCAGCCCCTGGAGTTCCGATTTATGGTTTTGATGGAACTTGGGTGGCCAAGCGGACCGGCCTGAGCAGGACAGACTGACAGGAGGCAGCACTTGGAGGGAGGCTGGCAGGCAGGTCCTAGGGACAGGTGAAGAGGGAGAGGAACGTGAGAGCGGGGGTCATGGGAGGTGTTTGGGGGAAACTCAGTGAATGAGAACCAGGGATTAAAGAAAGAGGAGGGCAGGGAGCCGGTGACTCAGGAGGCAGCCATCAGGAGGATCAAGATTCAAAACCAGCCCGGGCAAATAGTTTGCAAGACCCTACCTTGAAAAAACCCATCACACACAAAAAGAAATGAAGAAAGAAAGAAAGAAAGAAGGAAGGAAGGAAAGAAGGAGGAAGGAGAAGGAAGGAAGGAAGGAAGGAAAGAAGGAGGAAGGAGAAGGAAGGAGGAAGGAAGGAAGGAAGGAGAGAAAGAAAGAAGAAAAAGGAAGGAAGGAAGGAAGGAAGGAAGGGCTGTTAGAGTGGCTCAATGTGTAGGCCTTGAGTTCAAACCCAGTACCACAAAAAAAAAAAAAAAAGGGGGGGGACAAATCCAGATTTGCTGAGTGCAACTTATTAGGGACTTAACAGATAGAAGTGAGTTTCTGGTGCTGTAGGACAGGGACAGCCCTGCACCCCAAAGCAGAGGAAGGAGTCTCTATGCTAAGCTAGACAAAGGAGGTGCCGCCAACTGGAACACCCCTGGGCATTGATTATTAATACATCAAGTAAACGCTGGTCACATCAGTCCACAGTGCAAGGATCAGTGACCAGCACTCATGCTCAGCTGACTCTCTTTACTGTTTATCCCACAGGGCTTGGGGTGACTGCCAGAGTCACCTGGTGGGCAGATGCGCCCAAGACGGCTCTATGTATGTTCAGCTGGATCCCTACAGATGGGCTGGGAGGGACTTCATCCAAATTTTCACCGCAGATAAGCATATGGCACCGTGTTTAGGGATACAGAAACAAATTCAAAGGAGAACAGCTCAGCTGGTGGAGTGGCTCAAGTGATAGAGAGCCTGCCTAGCAAGTGTGAGGTCCTGAGTTCAAATACCAGTACCACCAGAAAACCCCTAAGATATACAAAAGATAATAGCTCAAAGAAACACATACACACAACTCAAAACAGTCAACCCAAAGCAGTCATTTCAAAGAAGATACCGTATTTTAATTTTTTCTGTGGTACTGGGAATTAAATTCAGGGCCTTTCCTTCAGAGAAATTTGTTTTTTAGTAATACTTAAGTTTGTGTGGGTTGCATCATAAGAACAAAATTAATATTAAAATGTCACTTCCAGGGGCATTTCCATAGTTTAACTTCACAAAACCAGAAAGTAGAACAAAGAAAAAAAAGTTTAGGAGCTTGGAGGACAAAGTTCCAATCTATAAAAACATAGAAAAAGTGTCATATATACAAAACATATGGCTCAGGCAGGGCCACACACAGGCTGTGCGGGCCATAAGTCCTGACAAGGTGGCTAGCTCCTATAGCTGGTTTTGGAAGGCTGGTCCTTTTGGAGAATAGGCCTGATGTCCTGGCGTCTCCTGACCACCAAAGAGCCCACAGAGGAGGCTGCACAGAGGAGGCTGCAGTGGGTCCTTACGGACCAGGATACAATGATACTTGAAGGACAAGACTGGCCCTGGAGTGTCTCCCTTCTGAGAGTTTAGCCCCAAGCCATAAGTGCTTAGAACTTGGACCTAATGACCCTCCGTGTGGACGGGCCCAGGGATCCGTATTGCAGCCTTCCCCATGATCTTCATCAGGCAAACTCAGGAGAAGCTGGCAGAGCCAACCAGGTGGCCACCTCTGGTGAGTGTATTTGCCAACAGAGAAGGGCAGAGATGTCCCCAGGCTGCTCTCTCCATGATCACAGCTCAGGCCAGTCGGCGCTGCCTCCCCTACTCCCCCAACACACACATACACACACATCAGTGAACAATCAGTTTACCAAACAGAAGAAAAATAATTTATTTTAAAATAGCAAGACTTCACCTCTACCCAGACAGGCTCTAAATTTCAATTCTGCTTGTGCAAAAACTCACACTGTGCTATACCACAACTGGAAAGTTTTTTATAAAAACAGTTTTTCTTGTTGTGGACATACTAAGAGTCGTGTTTGTACAAGCAGCCTGGGCCACATAAAAATCTCTACTACGAAACAAACAGAACAAATAAACAACAAACCTCCCAGCACAGAGGCGGGCAGTGGCTGGGAGACCTGGTTCTGAAACCAAGATTTGAAAGTGCATAAGAGGGGCACTGACAAAGCTGGGGACACTGGGACGGCTGCAGCATGCATTAAGGCTGAGGTCACACTTGGGTGTCAGGGACACGGGAAACCTTTGGAGCCGAGAAAAGTGTAAAAGGAGCATGGTGGGTTGGGGGAGGGGTGGTCAGCACAACGCCCCTCCTGGACTTTGAGGATACAAAGTCCCTCTCGCTCTTCGTCGTGAACTGTATCTGTCCAACAATAAATACTCAGTGGCTCTAAGGAAGTGAGGTTATCTGAGATCACAGGGCCAGAGGCCCAGGCCAAGGCACAAGTCCCAACTTCTCCACTTCCCTAGGCCCACAGCCATTCAAGGTAACCATCTGCCTGCAAGGCCAGGTGGGTGGCAGATGGGAATACCCAAGGTGTAGCCTCATGGTGGTTTTTCCTGAAGCAGACGGCCCAGCCAAGGGCGTCACCCAGGTAGATGCAACACCAGAGCGAGCCTGGGCTCTGGGGAACAGGGTTTTCTGAGCCCCTAACTCCCTCTGCAGGCTGATCTGAGCACAGCACTGGCTGGGGACCTACAGGTATCCAGCTCAGCCCACAGAGATGTCTGCCAGGATTCTGGAGCACCCTGCTAAGTAAGGTTTGCTCACTCCCATTCAATCATGGATCATTTTCTTGTTTGCTTTCTGTTCCATTCTAGAAGCTAGAAGCTATGTGCCCAGGAATGGCATTCCATCTTTAGGGGACCCCAGGCTGTTTTTATAAGACTGCCTCCTGCTGAGGGGGAACTTTCCATAGGGCAGCCCAGAGCTTTCTAAGAACCCTAAGGATGTCCCCCTCTTGCTGATTTTCATAAAGAACTGTTCTAAAGCAAGTAAGAAAGAGCACTGCAGACTCAGTTCTCTAAGTGATGACTCCTTTCCTGATATTGATTTTGTTTTTGAGAGTAATGGATGGAGAATTGAGAGGAATGGATAGCACAGCCTGACTCTGGTTTGAATTCAGAAAGTCAGGCTCAGAAAATCATTTCCATTTTGTACAGTTCTGTCAGAACCCAAGGGAAATGACTCCTGGGTAAAGCTGTACGTTCCTTCTCCAAGGTGGCATTTATACTTCTTGTTCTTAGCTTCTGTGCTTAACAGAGAACTTGCTTTCTGAAATGCAGAAAGCACTGGTGAAAAAGCCATACAACAGGAGATACAGAAGCTCCTTTAAATCCTTTTCCTTTTAAATGTAAATTATCACCCCAGCATCCAGGTTTCTGTGTCCCCACCCACCCACCAAAAAGGCTAATCTTTTTCTTTTCTTTTTTTGGTGTTGGGGATCAACCTGGGTTTTGCACATGCTAAGCACATATTGTTCCACTGAGCTATGCTCCCAGCCCAAGGCTGAATCTTAGAACCTTCACCTTCATGGAGAAATCAGTATTTGGGTCACTTTCTAACTGTCTGATCACCTTTCCCAGAAAAAGCCTAACTGGGAAGTGAATAAGCCAGACCTCCTCTCAACTCACCCTTGCTTTAGAAGTCCTAAGAACACCAGGGGCTGGGCTGGGAGGTGGGGAAATGCCTCCCTCAGTGAGCCCAAGCTGGCTTTTGCTCTGGCACTGGCAGGCAATATATCATGTGACTGCCTGGGGAAACCAGGACTCTGGATTCTGAACTGTGTTGAAACTCAAATGCAATTGATATGGAGGACTGGTGACCCATAGCAAGAAAGTCCATGAAGTGCCTATGAGACTGTACTGGGCTGTGCTCAACATGGCTGTCACATATGACTTCAGGGGACCTGTGGCTGTTGACCAGCAATGCTGTCCAAGGAAAGCGGGCTCTCCAGGGAATCTCGACGTCCTAATAAGCCAGGAATCTGCTCTGTGATGTCTGGGTGGGAGACCCATTTCTGGGACACCCTGGTACATTATTGAGCCATACATGGGGTGGGTGCACAGGTGTGGGTCCCTCACATTGTAAACAGTGCTGTGTGGCTTCAGGACACTGAAGGCCAGTGGCCTAGAGCACCCAGGTGGGGATCCTGCATTGCTGGCTTCCCCGGAACTCCTGCTGGCCTCACTCAGAGGAATCCCCCAAGTGCACCAGGACACACGGTGATTGGGGAGCATGCTGCCTGAGAGTGTAGGAGGTAGAAGAGGCTGAGGTGGCAGCTGCTCCTTTACCGGGGCCCAGAGCTTCACCAGTGGGGGCTTCCGGTTGGGCGGACATGCCCCCTATGTCCTGCAGTGGGGATGCACAGAAACACCTGTCCCAGGAAGGCAGCACCTACGCACAGAGCTAGAAGAGGCAAACGCTCAGGTGCTGGGATGCTCCTGTAGGGTCTGCCTGGGTTCCTGTGATTCTCCTGTCTTGTGGGGTGCAGGAGCCCTGGGAGGGCTGGCCTGGCTCTGGTCAGAGGGCTGAGGACAGCAGCAGCAATGGCAGAGGGAGATGAGCCGTGTGCGGACAGCTCGGGTGCAGAGGACGAACATGATGCAGTTAGCTCCCCCCTGGAAGGTGTTCCCGATACCCTGCCAGGAGGAAAGAGGAGGCATGAGCACCAGTCCTGGTCAATGGCGGGGAGGCCAGGGACTGCCCTGGGCTCCACAACCTTCCCTGCCCCTTCCTGCTCCTCAGCCCCTGAGGCTGGCTTGGGAGGAGCTCAGCACATGCCCTTCACCAGAGTTCCAGGTAGGCCTAAACTGGCTGCCTGGCCTAGACCTGTGTCCAGGCCTTCTGGTGGGAAGGACCCAGGATCAGCCAACTCTACTGGAGCTGCTCTAGGTTGCTGGGAAACACCTGAACACCCCGAGCCACACGGATTCCTCTTCCTTCCTTCTTCAAGGTCTCCTGCCTGTCTGGGTTAGGGTTAGCCCTGCCTTGGCTGACAGCACTGAGATGCCACTCTGCTAGGAGAGGGATCTGGCCACGTCCAGTGGGGCAGCAGGGCCAGCGAGGGCAGACTTACGTGCAGAACAACCAGCACCGGTGTCTGCACCGCGGGGGAGCCACAGAGTGTCAGGACGAAGCGCACTGTGCTCCACACACGGAGGCAGATGAAGATCAGTGGGATGAGGACCAGCTTCTTATCCGCTATGGAGGAGGCAGCGACAGCGCGGTACTGCCGATGCTGGCTCTCGCAGATGGGCCGGTACTCCGAGAGCGCCTCGTGCTGTGTGGGGACAATGAGGACAGACCTGAGCTGGATGGGCCTCTCTCGATGCCTCTGTCTATGCCCGTGCCTTCCCAGGGCAGCCATGGACCCCAGCTTGGGAATGAGATGTACAGTGCCCGCTCCACCCGAACACCGATGAGCCCTCTTCACTGATCCCCAAAACAGGCAGGCACAACCCACCCCAGGGCCTTTGCACTCTCTATTCTGTGGCTCGCTCCCTCATCTCCTTCAAGTGTTTGCTCAATGTCACCTTCTGGCATTTCCCAGACAGTCCCCTCCCCTGCCCCAGTCCTGGGTTTCTGTCTTTTCTGCAGTTCTCCTTGTCTGAGCTCTGACATTCCCCTGTTTCTCAGCTTATTGCTATTCTGGCCTTCCTCTCCGGAATGAAGCCCCTAGAGCACAGGCCTGCTGTGTCCCCAGCCACCTGCCCACTGGAAGGGCAGAAAGAAAAGGCCAGCTGCAACCAGCCTTGGCCTCCCTGCTCCTGGGGAACATCTTTTATGAGAGAGAGGAGACGCAGCTCCAGATCAAAACCAAATTTGTGAAAATAGGTGAAGCAACTTCTAACAGCGATGTGGGCCTGACCTGGTTCTGGGTCTGGGTCACTGAAGGCCCTGGTGAGGGAGCAGCTGCTCACCTGGCATCCCTGAACACCCAAGTGTCCGTAGCTCATCTGCTCGGCGCACCTGCTCCGGTCTCCCCTTGGGAGCTCTGGCAGCAGCTCAGACAGCTGGACTCCTTCACCCCACACCCCTGGGAGGCAGAGGGGGCTGAAGACTGGGACCAGCCTGGGCTGGCCAGTGGTTGTCTCTTCCTCAGAGCAAAGCTTGCTGGGACTATTTGTTTTTGCTCTCCTCCCTGGCTCTGGGCAGGGAACACAACATTCTCATCTCTCTTATTTTCTTTCTGAGAATGTGTGCTAAATTGCAAGAGGACTGTCACATGCAGAGGTTGGGGATTCCCAGGATTCTTGCCCTGCTGCAAAAAGCGTGAGAAGCAGAAACACAGATAGACACACATACGTACACAAACATACACAGATACACAAATACACACAGACCCACAAACATACACACATATACATACACACACAACATACACACACAGGAATCACACACACAAGGGGACAGAGCCTGGTGGAGCTCCTGGGAACCAGACACCCTAAGGCAGTGAGAAAGAGGAGGGGTGAGAGGCCCAGCAGGAGACAAAACAATTAGCCTAAAGGTGCAAAAGCCACTGCAGACCCCACTGCTAAATCCTGTGTCTCCAGTCGGGATTCCTGCCGGCCAGAGAGCTGCAGGGACAGGCAGATCAGCTAATCTTCCCAGGGAAAAGCAAACAGAACCAGAAGTCACAGATGGCAGCACAGGACAGGGATGAGGTGCCCAAGGTCACAGACAGGACCTACTTTTCTTTTAGTCTGCTTGTTATGACAGAGAAGTAAAGTTCCACTTTGTGTCTAATAACCATTCTGAGTTTGAAGCTGTTACTTGATTCTGACACAGGCTATTTCTCATGTATCAATTTATGAATGAGTCTCATATTCTCTCAGTATTAATTAGCACAACTGACTTCCAATCAATTAATTCTGTCTAAGCCAGGCACTCAGGATCTCAGGAGGCAGAGATCAGCAGGATTGTGGTTCGAAGCCAGCCTGACCAAAATAGTACAAAAAACCCATCACAAAAAAGAGCTGGTGGAGTGGTTCAAGGTGTAGACCCTGAGTTCAAATCCCAGTACTGTAAAAAAAAAATTAATTATGTCTAACCCAGGAGAGAATACTAAATTTAATTCTTGGGCAGGAGGTGTGGCTCCAGTGGTAGAACAAATGCTTAGCAAGTGCAAGTGCCTGAGTTCAAACCCAAGTACTGAAAAAAAAAAGTTTTAATTGTAACATCCTAACTCAGAAATGACTGCTGAGCTAACAGTATGGCCCAGAGGAGAGTGGCTCAGTGATGAGTGTTAGGCAAACCTGAGGCCCTTGGTTCAATCCTAGCATTGCAACAAAACAAAAACAAAACTCCAAAACCCCAGTGTGACCTAAAAGACAGGACACACCCTCCTACAGTTTCAGCCTTCAAAACTCAGATGGCAAACAGAAACACAGGCAGCCCTCCAGCACCCTCCAGCTGGAGCAACAGTCTGTGCTCACAGCGTTTCCTTGGAACCTGTCTGGCTGCTCCTGCCACATGTCACATTTTATCTTTTACCACAATTAACTACATTCCTGCCTTTCTGGAGAATGGCAGGATCCCTGTCTGAGTCCTCATTATAAACTCCTGTCTTTCTGGCCAACCCTCAGTGATTTATGAATCCCTGAATAACCTACCATGTATGAAACAATTCTGACCACCTAGAATTAGAGGAGTTACTCTGTCAAAACCCTGTGGCCCTCCCCTCCCAGGGCCGGGCAGGCCCCCTCCTACTCCAAACCTAAACTCCTAAGTGTGAGCAACTACCATGGCTGTCCACACAGGGGCAGTGGAGGGCCATGGCCGAGAACTCAGGCTCTGTGCTCCTGCTCTGACTGCAGCTTGGTCCTCAGGAGCCCAAAGCATGGGGCAGGTCCTGAGCTCCTGCCTTCTCAGCCACCAAGGGAGGAGTGCCCAGACTTAACGAAGGAGCACATTCACAGTTCTGCACAGTGCTGGATGCCAAGCCAGCCCAGTCCCTCTGGCCTGTCACTAGTTCTGTCCCCCAAGGACCAGCACAGCAGGTACCTACCGCTCTGTTGATGTGTTTCCTGACCAAGAGATACAGCAGGGGCAATAGGACATAAGCCAGCATCTCCCACAGCTTCCCGGTCAGCAGCATCCACAGGACACGATCTTTGGCCTCTAGATCAATCCAGCACCAGCCCACGGACACATCTGAAGCATCGTAGCCAATCTTCTTTAGAGCAACAGCTGTCACTGTGATGGTCAGCGGAACACCCCAGCTGAGGAACAACAAGAAAAAGGAGGCACCGAAGTCAGGTCAGCACCTGCACACATGACTGGGTGCTCGCTTCGGCAGCACATATACTAAAATTGGAGCGATACAGAGATTAGCATGGCCCCTGCGCAAGGATGACACGCAAATTTGTGAAGCGGTCCATATTTTAAAAAAAGAAAAACATGACTGGGGATGTTCTTTGGAGAAGGGGACAGTGCTCCCAAGCCTGGACCACAGTGTCCCTGCAAAACAAGAAGGGGAAGAGTGTTGTCCTGGAAGCCTGGTTCTACTTTACAATTCCAGGACTCCTTGGAGATGGGGCTAGATGGGGCTATGCAGAGCTGGCTCCCACTCGCTGGGCTTCTCCCTGCGCCAGCCCATCAGCCGGTGTGTCCAGGCTTTGCATGCGTGCTGCCAGTCAGCCTCGGGCCAGACCTCGGGGGAGGGTGCCATGAAGGCAAATGCCAGGGTTCAGAAGGGGAACGTTGGCTTTGAGTGGGCACAGCCCCTTGCCCTCCTTGCTCCGTGGAGGGAGGGTATCCTGGCAAGGGTCACAGGAACCCTGTAAAGCATTAGTGGGCAGAGACCCCTCTAAAAGCACTGCCTGGTTTTAGCCCAAGTCCTTGTCCCCAGGTTCCCCACCCAGTCTCTTCCTTACGAAGCAGCTTAATGGGTTGGGGGCTACCCACAGGCTACATAGAGTTTCTCAAAAAGGTGGCACATAGGGTAGGTGTGAGCTTGGACTTTTGTGCAGTGTACCAGGTCCAAGTCATGGATCTGTTCCCACTATGTGAGTTCTCACAGAATGGGGACAAAGCAGTGCCACATGGGAGCTGGATGGATCTGTGTGCAGAACACAGGACCTGGTAAGTGCACACGAGTCTGCTGCCGTTAAGACTGTGGTGAGAGTGGGGCGATTACAAAACTTGTCATTTCAGTGCCTGGCATGCAGCATGGTGGACAAAACAGACCTCATCTGTAACTATGCAAAGCTGTTTATGTGGTAAGTTAGTATGTCTGAGTGTCAAGCTGTTTTGACATAAGCAACTCATGCCCCCCTCAGGATTTCAGGACAACATAAGTCACAGTTCTGAGCTCCAGAACAGGCCAAGTGGGTTCACGAGTCTACTCTCCAGCATCTGGCATAGGGAGGGACAAAAGAAGGGCTTGTTTTGTTTTTAGTGGCACTGGAGCTTGAATTCAGGGCCTCACACTTACTAGGCAGGTACTCTACCATTTGAACCACTCCACTAGCCCTTTTTTGTGATAGGTTTTTTCAAGATAGGGCCTCTTGAACTATTTGCCCACGACTGGCTCTGAACAGCGATCCTCCTGATCTCTGCCTCCTGATTAACTAGGATTACAGGCATGAGCCACCAGCACCTGGCTAAGGGTTTGTTGAATGAACAAATGAGTGAGTTTGAGCCCATGGGTGGAGACAGTGCTCCTCAAGTCACTCCTTACATATGTACTGCCAGCAGGATGTCACTGAGAAGGAAGTAAAGGGCTCCTAATGTGCTAAACCCAGTCTTCTTTTTTTTTTTTGAAAGCGTTAGGGTTTGAACTCAGGACCTTCCACTTGGTACGCAGGTGCTCTCCCGCTTGGGCCTTTCCAACAGTCTTTTTCTGCTGGTTATTTTTGAGGTAGGGTCTCATGATCCTATTTGTGTTGCCCCGTGAGCTGGGGATGACAAGCCTGTGCCAACTGTGCCATGCCCTGGTTGAGAAGGGAGTCTCTCAACTGCCTAGGCCTAGGCTGGCCTCAAACTGCAATCTTCCTGGTTTCCACTTCCTGAGTAGCTGGAGTTACAGGCTTGAGCCATGGCGTCTGGCCTTAAACCTCCAATCTTAAGGTCACGGTGTGGGCTCCTCACCATTTTATAGGGCCCTGCACAGGAATTCTGAGAATGGTGGCGGGACAGCCATCCTGAAGGAGACTGAACTTGAGGGGAGTCTCGGGCAAGGGCCGGTTCCCATGGGGTCAGGTTAGCTCTCCTTTTGGCTCCTTCTGCATCCTGATAAGCCTTACAGGAAACGTGGCGGGCACCCAGTGACAGACCCCCACTCTGCAACTTCAGCTTGGTGGATCCAAAGCTCCAAAGGGATGTTCGTGGGGAGGGGTTCCAAAGGGCCAGGAAGAGGGGCCTGCTTAACAGGGAGTAGTTGAATGGACTTGAGCTGAGACTGTAGCAGTCATGCTGAGGCCAGAGCTACTGGGCAGGTGTTAAGAGGATGGTACAAAGACAGGGTATCAGGAAGCTGGTGGGGTGGAGGAGGAAGAGGAGCAATGGCTTACTAATCCCACAAAGCAGGCTGGACCAGAGTGGCGACTTGTGAGTACAAATGGTGGCATGCTGATGAGGCTCCACAATGGACTTGTTAGAAAAATGTCAAGGTGTGTATGCGTGTGCACGTATACACACACACCTAATTTATAAATTACACTGATATCAAGGATGTGAAGTATACAATAATACAAATAATAATAAAACACATAATACAACACTCCTTGTGTGCAACCTCATATAGCCAGCTGAGTCTCAGAAAGCTTTTGCTGGTTTTTTGCTGAACCCTGGAATCCACAGCCAACATGGATGCGGTCAGCAAGTGAGAGTGATCCCATCGCAGGAAGTTGGTTCAGACTTTCATTTTTTCCTTAACACCGAAGATGAAAGTGAAATACACAAAACAGAGAATAAGACACAGGAACTTCACTGGACAAGGACCTACTTCTTTGCTCAGGTACTAGTCTTCCCACACTGGATGAGTGTTTCCTCATTTTTTCTGCACCAGGACACAGCCTCTTTTTCACCACCTACCCCTGAAATACTTGGCTTCCTGTCTGCTCCAACGTGGCGGCCATCACTGCTTAAGTTCAGAGATAAGCAACACTTTTAAGCTTACTCTCTACTACTAATGTTACTTCCATTACTTTGATTTCTGTTTTTTTGATACAAGGTCTCATATAGCCCAGGCTGGCCTAGAACTCACTATCCTCCTGCCTCAGTCTTCCAAGTGCTGGTGTGGATTGGCTCTGTCATTTTCTACAGCACACTGTGGCCCTCAAGCCAAATTTGGCCCAAACTGTTTTTTTTTTGGTGGTACTGGGGTTTGAACTTAGGGCCTCTTGCTTGCGAGGCAGGCACTCTAACACTTAAGCCACTCCACCAGCCCCGAAGGTCTGTTTTGTTTTGTTTTTTTTAAATACAGTTTTATTGCTGGCTGGGTTGCTCAAGTGGTAGAGAGCTTGCCTAGAAAGACTGAGGCCCTGGATTCAAACGCCAGTACCACAAAAAAATTTTTTTTAAATAAATGTTTCAAGCCAGGTGCTGGTGGTGCCTCCTAGCTACTCAGGAGGCAGACATCAGGAGGATCATGGGTTGAAGCCAGCTCAGGCAAATAGTTCTGAAAGACCTTATCTTGAAAAAACCCATCACAAAAACGGGTTGGTGGAGTAGCTCAAGGTGGAGGCCCTAAGTTCAAACCCCAGTACAGCAAAAATAAATAAATTAGTAAAATAAATGTTTCACTGAAACAAAGTCACACCCATTCACCTACATATTGCTTATAGGGCTGACAGCTTCAATTGTGACTGTAAAACTGAAACTACTTCGGGACTTCGCTAGCCTTGGTTTACTACCATGGTGGCATCCTACAAACGATGGGGAACAGGGCCCAGGTTCTGGTCAAGGACTACTATTGCAAGTCCTGGGCCCCACATACACCATGCCTAGGCAGGCAGAGCTGGGTGGGAACCTGGGTAAGCTCAGGGGAGGGAAAATTGACAAAGTGCCACTGGGGTTTTTGCTCTGAACTTTGCCCTTCTTGGAACTCAGATCCTTTTAAAGTCTCTTCCAGGGAAGAGGAACTGACTTACCTCAGGGGTTCAGCCAGAGAGTGAGCTAACCTCCCTCATGCCCAGACTCCCTGGCATTTGTGTGATGATCACAGGCAGATGGCTGTCTCAGACGATGCTCCTAGCTCTGACATCAACCCGCTGGAGCCCAGTCCTGGGGGGTTTCCAGCTTTGCCCAACGGGGAACTTTAGTTCCATTGTCCCTGACCTCTCCCTACCACTTAGGATAGGGGCATACGTGGTGAGCGAGGCACCTCCACTTCATAGAGGTCTGCTGAAAAGCTGCCCACTGTTTTTCAAAGACCTTTGGATTCCTCCCTCTGCCCTCCAAAGGGCTTAGACTGAAAGAGGGCTCAAGGCACCGACTGCACAGTTGCTGCTCCCACCAGGCTCCTCACTTTTCCTTCACCCCGAACCCACTCTTCTTACAGATCTTTGGAGGTTGGCACCTGCTGGAAAGAAAACAAAGGGGTCTTCTTTCTCCCCCTTCTGTGGGCTAACAGCAATTCCTTATTTCAAAACCTTGTGGCTATGGAATGCCTTACAAGTTAGCACAACTCAAAAACTGCTCTGAGAACGAAGCTATCATGCAGCCACGTGCTAACAGAAAAGTCCTGGGAGGGAGCGGGGTCTGGAGAGGCTGCTATCCCAGGACAGCAGTCACTTATTGTCCAGCTCATGGGGCAGAGCCTAAGATGTGGCAGAAGTACGGCAAGTCAGTCACTGGGTCAGGCCACCATGAGGTCATGCTACAGCTTTAGCTGCAGGACCAGATTAGCATGACCTTTCAAACGTATATCACACCTGGTGCCACAGTGGCCCTCAGCTCAGTGGTTCATCTGTCCTGTCTCAGTCCTGGCTACTCTGCCTGGGTTAAGGATGGTCCCTGGTGCTGGTTCTCCGCCCCTGCGTGGGCTAAAGGAGCTCTGTGGTGACCTCACCACTTAACAGTCATCTTGGAAAACTGTTTTGTAGGAACAAAAGCAAGTTCACCTCTTGTCACTTTGGGCAGAGTGGGTGATGCAGGGTGGGATTTATGAGGATGATAATCCCATCTCTCTCTGAGATGCTGTCTGCTCAGAGGTGTCTTAGTCCATGTTCTGCTGCTATAACAGACTATCAAAAGACTAGGCATAAACTAAAGTTTATCTGACTCATGGTCTAGAGGCTGGGTTAGTCCAAGAACACAGGACTGGCATCTGGCAGGGTCATTCCATGGCAGAAGGTGGAAGGGCAATTCAGGATGGAGAGAAAGGGTGGGACCAAACCTCCCTTTTATAGGAGCTCCCCCACTTCCATAACTAGCCTTAATCCATTTATGACTGTGGTGCCCAAGGCCCCAGTCAGCTCTTGAAGGTCCACCTCTCATTTATTCATTTGTTTTTTTGGCAGCCCTGGGGTTTGAACACAGGGCCTCACACTTGTTAGGCAGGTGCTCTACCACTCGAGCCACTCCGCCAGCCCACAGGCCTACCTCTTCATACCACCACAATGGTGATTAAATTTAAACATGAGTCTTTGAAGGACCATAAGGAGGCAGCAGGAAGGACCTCTGAGACCAGCTCTCCCCAGGCTTTGTTACTTTGGCCACACCTTGAGCTTGTTTCTAATGAAGAGAACTCAGAGCCCCCTCCCCTGAGGTGCACATTTCCTCTTTTCACTGTGTTGGGACTTCCCACTCCCAACCCCCTCAGCAGGATTTTTATGGTCACCTTGGGGCTGCCAGATACTTTCTTCTTCCATAACCCCAAGGGAGCTCCAGAGGGGTGATGCATACACCCCACTGTCACTCAGTGGAGCCAGAGAACAGAGATGGCAGGAGACAGCCAGCTGGACCAGGACCCTCACCTCTGACCCTGCAAGATGAGCCACACCCAGCCTCAGCCTTCCCCAAACTCGCAGGACATGGGGGCCGATGTCTGGCACCATGGAAGAAGGGGACTGTTCACTGGACCCCCGCTGACCTGAAATTGTTCTCGCCTAAATCAGGAGGAGCCCACCACCCTGGGGCCAGCAGGGGCTGCTGGCAGCTGCAGGAAAGGCAGGACACCTTGTGCCAGGGTGGGGGTAGCCTCAGGCTTATCTACTGCAGCTCTAGCCCCTCCCTTGGTGAATAGATGGCCACACGTGTACATCCACATAACAGCAAAATAATAATTACGAAAGGGAAAGTGGGAAGCCTGGCAGATATCACCCTAGCCAAGTCATCAGAGCTGATATCACCAGCAGGGAACCAATGAGAAAACAGGCTTCTGGGATCAGCCTGCCAGAAGTGTACAACCTGAAACCACTCCCCAGGAGTCACGAGACAAACCCAAATGAAAGACAGACTACAAAGTGATAGGCCTATGGTCTTCAAAATGTCAATGTCATAAACGCAGACAGACGGAAGAATTGAAGGGAGTAAAGAGACATGGAAAGAAGGCCACATATAAGCCAGGATTTCCCTTTGCTCTGGGGGACACCATTAGCTCATGGAGATGAGCTCAATGTAATCCACCAATCAGGTAACAGTATCGCTCAGGTTGACTTCCTGCTTTTGGTAGGCACAGTAGGAAACTGTGCTTATCTTCTGGAAATACACACTGTATTCAGGGGTGAGGGTCATCATGTCTGTTCCAAAAAAATAAAATAACGAGAGGATAAAGCTAACATGGTAAAATGTTAATATCTGGGAAATCTGGAAGCTAAAAATAAAACTTTGTTGGAAATTTTATTATTATTTTGGTTTCTGAGGTAGCTCACTCTGAGGCCCATGCTGGCCTCAAACTCTTGACCTCCTGCCTCAGCCTCCCGAGTGCTGGGGTTATTGCTGTGCATCAACACATCCAGCTTTGTTATTAGTAATTTTTTTGTGTGTGTGTGCTGCTGGGATCAAACCCAGGGCCTTGTGCACGTTAGACAAGTGCTCTGCCATTGAGTCACACACCCAGCCCTATTGTTCAAATAATATCTTAAGTTTTTTGAATTGTCAAGGCCAAAAGGCAAGGCAGAATCATAAAAGGGCACAGACTAGGTTCTACCCTGGGGCGTCCTACTTACTAACTATGTGGTCTTGGGCGTCTCTTCGGCTATGGATGCAGGATGACCACCCTGTTCATCTGGTTCGGGTTACTGGTGATCCATGAATTTTGCAAAACGTCAGGAGCCAGCTGCAGCTTGTGATGAAATCCCATTAGTGTGAGGATGAGAAAAGACTGTAAATGCAGCCATGCAGGTTAGGTATTTGATGGGCCCAGGGCCACACCTGTGCTTCCCTAGGGACGAATCGCGTATGTGCAGAATTCTCTGTAAACCCCTGGGCTCCCATTGCTGCAATCAGCATCCAGATGGCGTTTTTCACTTCACACTCTATCACGCCATTTTAAAATTATGACTTAGAATGTTCCCAACCAAGGGGAGGGTTGTCTCTACCTTGCTGTTCCCCTGTTGTTGGACATTGAAGTTGCTTCTAAATTCTCACTGTGGCAACAGTCCCTCACACTCTGGAGAACACATGGCTTTTTGTATGTATTTAGGATTATCTCCTGGTGAGCAGGATTACTGGATCAAAGAGTATGAACAAATACTTTCTACAAGGATTATTTTAATTTATAATGCCAATAATAATGTCAGACAATAGCAATTTCACCAGCACATTTCACATTAGCATTCTACCTTAGCATTTTCTTATCATTTAATGAGGAAATTATATCTCATTGTTATAACGTATCATTTTGAGTATTCATGGGGCTAAAATTTTTTCCATATGTATTGATCGACTGCTTTTATTACTTTGTGTGAATGTATTGTCTTTTGTCTAGTTTTCAAGATACTTGTGTTTTGTTTTTTTAAAATCAGTTCCCAAGAACTCTTTATAAACTAGAGATGCCCATCTTTTGTGTTATCATATTTTAAAATACTTTCCAAGACTGGAAGGTTTGAAGAAGAGGGCTGATTTTAAGTAGTCTGAAATGGTCAGGTAGTCCATGCCTGAAGTCAAGATTGCTACATCAACACTTTCAGCAAGGCTAAACTAATTCTCCAAAGAAATGCACTGAAGAGTCCTTAGCTAAGTCATTCACAACAGTCTGGGAGGATGTGGGTCAATAAAGGAACCTGTTGGACAAGTCTTCCTCATTCCTTAAACACAGCCTTCCCTAAGCCGCACAGAAAGCCATCTTTGAGGGTTCCTCATGAGAACTAAACAGAAAAAACTCCCACTCAGATTCGTTAGGAAACTTGTTTTCTGGAGAAGTTGTACCCAGTCTGTGTATCACTTTAAAAATACATTATTATTATTATTATTATTGTCATTTGGCAGTGCTGGGGATTGAACCCAGGGCCTTGTGCCTGCTAGGCAAGAGTTCTACCACTTGAGCTATATCCCTAGCCCTCGATTCAATATTTTAAAAAAGAAAGGGGGAAAGAGAAGAGGTTCTTGAAAAAAAAAAAGGTCCAGTCTTGAGTTCCTTTTCAAGTACCTATGAACTTCTGGGTTAGAGCTGCCTATTGCAACCTGCACCTAGACACACTGGTCTCTGACAGTCCCTGTCAGGTGACATGCTGGAGGGCAGGGACGAATGGTGGCTCTCTCTCCATGGGCCCCTACAGCATGTGAGCCACTGTTTGAGTAATGTGATGCAAAGGCTTTGCTTTGAACAGTTGAGATGCAGGTCCCTGGGTTTCTTAGGGACCAACTGGCTTTCGTCCAGCAGCTACGAGAGCTAAGGGCAGGTGACTCTTCCCAGTTTGTTGCCTCAGCGTGTGACACCCAGGTGACCTACTAAAGTGCTGACTATCCCCTTAGTCCTTGGAAAGCAATCAGGTTTTTAATAGAAAGGACCTATAATTAGGGCAGTCTTTGGTGTTCTGATCTGGGGGCAGGAAAAGAGGAAACTAGCCATAGGATTCCTGTCTTCAGTTCAGCACAGGACACTGAGAATTTCAGACTCTGAAATTACAGGGGTAGGGCTGGCCTTCTTTTCTGGGTAGGGCTTACTTGCTGACATGCGGAACTCAGGGTAGGGCAGGGCAGGGCAGAGCCTTCAGTTTCCCTCCTCCCAGAGCCTCTTCCAGCTCAGCTCTTAGCAACTGAGGACAGCATTAGACCTCTTCAATTCTAGAAAGTCAACATCACCTCGAAGAGAAATGCAGGAGACAGGAGTCTGAAGTCTAGAAACCATCAGACCAAAAACCAAAACCCAGTCCTGACAGTCCTTTGCAAATTTCCCAGCTGTGAAGGCATGGGATTGGGAGTGGCAGGCTCTCCAGGCCAGGGCAGCCCCTAACTCATCTTCCAGCCTGGGGGTGGGCGCTTCTCCCCATGGGCAACAGAGACCACCACAAACGTGAAGCAGGAGACAAAGAGCAGAGTGTACCCCCAGCTCTTCCAAGGTGACCAGGGCCGGGGCCTGAGGGTAAGCTCTGCCCCTCACCTTGCTGGGAGGCTCAGGCTGGGCAGGCACAAAGGGGCGCCCTCTGCGGAGATCTCAGGCAAGGCTGGAACCTCCAGTGGGCCCAGGGCTGCCTAGGGCACAACTGCCCACTGGGTGCCTCACGGAGGGAGCGCGAGTGCCAGACGGCAGCAGAGGGGCAAGACGGGGGTGGGCCTGGGGGAGAAGGCGCTGAGGGTTAAGGCTTTGAAAACAGCACCATCTACCCACCTGACGACGTGGAAGGCCCAGAGCAGGAGGTCAGTCCCGGGTCCCCGCGCGGCGCGGACGATGCTGAGATACAGGTAGAGGGCGATGGCCACGGTCCAGAAGAAGGAGCTGGTGTTGGCGAAGGTAGAGAGCGCGCCCTGCAGCACGCAGTCCCACGAGGTGTCCGCGAAGTCCTGCAGCACCCCGTAGAAGTAGGAGGCGGCCGAGAGCAGGTCGGCCAGCGACAGGAAGAGCAGCAGGCGCCGCGCCCGGCTGCGCAGCTCGGGCCACAGGGCGTGCGTGACCACCAGCAGGCCGGAGCCGAGCGCGGACAGCACGCACGACAGTAGCACCACGGCGCGCTCCGACGGCAGCAGCAAAGTGGGCGGCGCGGGTAGCGGCATGGTGGGCTGGAGGGGGTCAGGGGGCCGGGGCGCGGGAGCGCGGCGAAGACCAGGCCGGGCGCCGCAGCCGTCTGGGCACCAAGACGCCCGCGGCTTGCGTCCCAGCGCCTGCCCCGCCCGCGTCCCGGCCCCTGCAGGCCCATCGGGTCGGCTACCCCGCGGCTCCGCGCCCCAGAGCCCCGCCCCTGCGCCCTCCACGCCCCGCCCCTAAGCCCTGCCCCGCCCCTGCGCCCTCCACGCCCAGCCCCAGTAGCGCCTTGTTCTGCCTCCCTGGCCCCGCCCCCGCCTCGCCCCGCCCCCGTGGTCCCTGTGCTCTGCCCTCTAGCCCCGCCCCTGAGCCCTCCACGCCCCGCCCCGAGAGTCTCAGTGCTCTGCCCTCCGCCCCGCCCTGCGACTCATCCTCACCCCCCCAGGACCCCGCCCACTATGCCACGCCCACGTCCTCCACCACGTCTCTGTGTCCCCTGTACCCCTTCTTCTCCAGGGCCTCCACGTCTGGTAGGAATTAATTTCCCCTCCCCCCCCCACCCCTGCTCCTGCCAGATGGCTAGTACGTCCTGTCCTCTGGGGGGTAGGAGTGGCATTTTTAGGGCTAATGTTACTCTCCTCCCTTTCAGCCAGCTTGAGTGTGTTGGGGGGGTGGTGAAGACATTCTTTCCACTGGTGACAAAAACAACTCCGGAGTACGACCCACATTCCCGAAGCCGTGATGCTTTCTGTGCTCACAGGTGCTGTCTTGGGGGAAAGAGTGTTTTCAGCTCTTTTTTACAATGAGCATACTGTTTTTTAAATTTGTTTTTGGGGTGATGAGGATGGAACCCAGGGCCCTGTGCATGCCAGAGAAATGCTCTACTGAGCTACACCCCCAGATCCTTGTTTTTAATATACAGCTTATTAGGTGTGATTTTAAAGGAATGACAGTTTGTAGGGTTTGTTTATATTTTTTATTGTGGTATAACTCACATACTATAAAAGTGACTGGTCCTTTTAACAGAACAATTCATTGGTTTTTTAGTCTCCAAAGTTCATTTCACTTTGCTTTTTTTTGTTGTTGTTGTTTTGCTTTTTTGGCGGTACTGGGGTTTGAACAAAGGGGTTCACACTTGCTAGATAGACACTCAACCACCTGAGCCACTCCACCAGCCATGCAGTGAGTTTTGAAATCAGAAAGTGAGTCAGAGCTGGGTGCCAGTGGCTCATGTCTGTAATCCTAGCTACTCAGGGGGCAGAGATCAGGAGGATACCGGTTCGAAGCCATCCCAGGGCAAATAGTTGGAAAGACCCTATCATGAAAAACCTATCACAAAAAAAGGGCTGACTGAGTGGCTCAAGTGATAAAAGCACCTGCCTAGCAAGAGTGAGGCCTTGAGTTCAAACCCCAGTTCTACCAAAAAGAAAGTGAGTCAAGCCAGGCACTGGTGGCCCATACCTGTAATCCTAGCTACAGGAAACAGAGATCAGGAGCATCGTTGTTCAAAACCAGGCCAGGCAAATAGTTTTTGAGACCCTATCTTGAAAAAACCCTTCACTAAAAAGGGGAGAGGGCAGTGGAGTGGCTCAAGGTGTGGGCCCTGACTTCAAACACCAGTACCACAAAAAAGAGAGTCAGAAAGTATTTCATCAGAAAGTATTTCATTTTTGCTATTGTTTTGGCTGTTTGAAGCCCCTTGCAATTTGAGTTGAGGATCAGGCTGGTGGAATGGCTCAAGTGGTAGAGCATCTGCAAGCATGAGGCCCAGAGTTCAAACCCCAGTACTGCAAGAGAAAAAAAAAATCTAATTTCAGGATCAGTTTTTCCATTTCTGCGAAAAAGTTGGCTGGTAATTTGGGATTACTGGGGCATGCACCATCATGCCCAGTTTAAGTCTTCTATTTTTTTGTTCAACATTATTTTTATGAGAGTTTCCACATTCTTATGGGTAGCTGTAGTCCATTCATTTTCATTGGTGCATAGTATTCCATTCCATACATAATATATTTATCCATTCTTTTGTTTTTGGACATTTGGATTCTTTCCAAGTTTTGGCTATTATAAACAATGTTGCAATGAGCATATGTTCTTTTATAATCAGGAAAAAAGTTACTACAAGCAATTTTCAGCAGTGTCAGCAAACATATTTGTAGAGTTTGCTCTGAAGACAGGCCAACAGCAGCTGCTTTCTTTCCAAGTCACTTTGGGCTATTCAGAATCCCCTGACCTCCTCCAGAGAGGACCCCGGACTAAGAAGCCCCTCAGCATTTTACTGAAAATGTAAATGAACAGTTTGAAGCTTGAGTTTTGCAACCAGCCCTGGGTCTCGGCACATGGCCTGGCAGGAGCCTGGAATGGACTTCTTCCCCCCAAGCCACAGTCACTTAATCCTTAGGGTATTTTGGGGAGGGGAGGCGGGTGAAGGGAGACAGGAGACAGGAGACAGGAGAGGTCTTCTGGCACTGCTTTGTGGCAGATCAAGTTCAGCTTCACGTTCTTGCTTTATTGAGACGAAGGCACTTTGTCTCCTGGTGAGTGGGTGGCTGTTTTACAAGCAATGTGGATTCAGAGAGGGCTTGGTTCTGTTCATGCAGGAAAACGACACACCAAGAATGTTCTTCTTTTCCACTTCTAGGGGAAAATGGGCGAGCCATGCCGTGATACAGCTTCAACTTGCTGAGGTTTAAACTTGAACCAAATTTCCACCATCTGTCCTCACAGATGTGAGGATCCCGGTTCTCAGGTGGTCTTGAGCTTCCCTGTGTGTCCTCCATGCAAGGGACCCTGGGTGTCTTATGGCCCTCTTGGGGCTATGCTCCTCCCACCCCAGGGGCTGTGGTTCTTGGGGTGGCAGCGGGGGCAGCCTGGCCAAAGAGAGCAAAATGAGAGAACTCCAGGCTCCTAGCTGAGCTACCTGCACAGGAAGTCAGCATCCTGTTGGTCTTGACAGCCTCCCTGCCCTCATCCTGGGGGAATTGGTAAGATCAGAGGAGTTAATCTAACCCAGAGTTGTCTCCACGGCTGTGGAAAGCCAGCTGGCAGTTATCAGCAGCTGCACGTCCAGAGGGCCCGTGTCCAGTGGCCTGCTACATGGTTACAGTATCCCTCATACCCAGCTGTCTAGCTAGAACACCGGAGGCCCAGACCCAAAAAAGCCTCTTAACTGTGGCTAGTAGTTCCAGGAAGAGGTGGCGTCAGGATGCTCTTTTCTCCCCCTCGAGGCTCAGGGATCTCTTCCTCTGACAACTGCAAAGGGGTGACAACTTGGTGTCTCTAAGTCAGAGAAGCCCTAAATGATTTTCAGAGGTCAACTCCAACCTAAGTAACTAGCCACATCTGGGGTTTTTGAAACTAGAATGGAGCCAGGCGCTGGTGGCTCATAGCTGTAATCCTAGCTACTCAGGAGGCAGAGGTCAGGAGGATTGTGGTTTGAAATCAGCCTGGGAAAAAAGTTAATAAGACCCTATTTTAATAGAGCAAATGGGGCTTGTTGAGGTGCACCTGTCATCCCAGCTACTGGGGAAAGCATTAATAGCAGGATCACAGTCCAGGCAAAAATCACTAAAGCCAAAATGGCTGCAGGCATGGCTCAAGCAATAGAGCATCTGCCTAGCAAGCATGAAGCCCTCAGTTCAAACCCTAGTACTACCAAAAAATGGAGAGGGACTTTCCTCATGTTTTAGGGAGAAACATGGCCACCCGCCCACTTCCCTGTTTGAAGGTAAGTATGACACAGGCTCTGCCTTGGCTGGGAAAGAGGAACCAGGACCCACAAGAGCCTCTTTCCCTGTTTCCCCCATCTACCTCCAGCCTCCCCAGAGGAGACGGTATCAGGTGACCATTGGGCCACACCAATGGAAGAGTGTCATGGCCATGTTTCGGGAGTTGGGACCCTGGTTGGCAAGGAACACCATTGGGTGGTTGTGGTTTCCTACAGGGTCCCTCAGGACCGTGAGGTATGTTTAAACTCTCCCCATAACTTGGCCATTCCCTCCCTTCCCTCCCACCCAAACTGTTCCCCCCAGCTAGCTGTGCTCCCCACCCTCCTGCCTGTGCACACCCTGAACACCATCCTCCCTGGAGGTCCATCCATTGCTGCAGCTGGAGTGACCACTGCCCCAGGAGGCCTGGATTCCTGGGTCAAGCAGGGCTGGCCAGAGTAAAGCCTAGCTATGCCAGCAACGGGAAGTTATTTTTCCTCTATACCCCTACTCAGGGTCTCACTTTGCAGGTAGGAGTAGCTTAAAATACACTGCTGCTGCCAGAGAGGGTTTTGTGATAAGGGAGAAGACTCGGGGCCTCCCCGCACCTTGGTCCTGGCCATGTCTGGTGGGCAGAATTCTGACATTCCACCCCACTCTGTCAAGTCAAGATTCCCATTCCCTGATTATTCAATCAAATGCTAATGTAGGTACTCATGTGAGGGGATTTTGGAGATGTGACTTAAGTCCCATGTTGGTGGTAAGACACAAAATTTACCCAGATTGGTCTGGACCTACAAGATGAGCCCTTTAAACACAGAGCTCTCTTTGGCGGGGATGGGACAGGGAGTTAGAGGTTTGACCCAGGGGGGTGCTGTATGAAGAAGACTTGGGGGCGAGGCTCGTGATCTCGAACCACGAGGCTATGAGGACAGGATTACACAGGGCCTATCATCAGAGGACACACTGGTGGCCTGGGAGCCATGGAGGGCTGAGCCAGGCCTGCAGGAGCTGACTTGGAGGCAGCTGCAGCGCTGTGTGCAGAGTTAATAGGATTTCAAATGGGTCAGCTGTGGGGTGAGCAAAGGAGTGTGGAGGAAAATTGTTCAGTGGCTCTTTACAGGAAGGAGGAACAGGCTTAGCAGGAGACAGTGCCCACAGCTCAGGTCTGGACCCATTAGATATGAAGGAACCAGCTCAGGGGGCGGGCTCTGGAGCTGGGGCAGAGCATCCTCTGTTAAGCTGGCAGTTTGGCAATGGCTAACATAAAGATGGCGTTAAGGCCAGGTTCCCACTGACTCACTCCTGTAATCCTAGCTATTAGGGAGGCAGAGATAAGGATTGTGATTCAAGACCAGCCCAGGCAAAATGAAAGTGAGACCCTATCTCAAAAATACCTAACACCAAAAAGGGCTGGCAGAGTGGCTCGAGTGATAGAGCATCTGCCTAGCAAGTGCTCTGAGTTCAAGCTCTAATACTGCAAAAAAAA